TGGCATTCTATCTGACATATCTTCTGGCATTCTATCTGGCATTCTATCTGCATATCTTCTGGCATTCTATCTGGCATTCTATCTGGCATTCTATCTGGCATTCTATCTGGCATATCTTCTGGCAAATCTTCTGGCATTCTATCTGACATATCTTCTGACATTCTATTTGGCATTCTATCTGGCATATCTTCTGGAATATCTTCTGGCATATCTATCTGGCATATCTTCTGGCACATTTTCTGGCATTCTACCTGGCAAATCTTCTGGCACTCTATCTGACATTTTAATCTTCCTACATGAGGTCCGGCAGGGAACACTGGGCGTGGATGGTCGTGGTTGAGGTCCGGCAGGGAACACTGGGGGAGGATGGTCGTGGTTGAGGTCCGGCAGGGAACATTGGGCGTGGATGGTCGTGGTTGAGGTCCGGCAGGGAACACTGGGCGTGGATGGTCGTGGTTGAGGTCCGGCAGAGAACACTGTGGATCGCGGGTCGCAGTTGGACGAGGACGACGAGGACGACGAGGACGACGAGGACGACGAGGACGACGAGGACGAGGCAGGAGGAGGCGGAGGAGGAGGAGGAGAAGGAGGAGGAGGAGAAGGAGGAGAAGGAGGAGGACGAGGAGGCAACTGACATAAAATCTAACAACCCTCACCTGGCAGGTGGGGAAATACGGAAAATCGCAATTTGTCATGGTAAATCATCATTTTTATCATCTGTAAATGGACAATTTTTCGTTAAGAACACGGAGTTCTGAATTCTTTTTGGACAGAAGAGATGGGGTGAGGCGACTGTTGCTGATTGTAACGCGACTTCTCAGCGGTTTCAAATGTTGTACCCTCTGGTAATCAGACATGGCAATTGGAGAATTGAATAGAGGTTCTTCCCATTCAAAAAAACTCCATTTGTAGGGGATTTGAATGTTTGACTAGCGGAGGGTTTTGTGTTTAACCATATTTGGGATGATGATCCCTATTGGCGAGCATATTTTCAGATGGATTGATGCCACCTATCAGACCTTGGATTCAAACAGTTGTGAGTACTTGATGCCTCATGTATGGTGATCAACCTTGTTTGTCGTGTAGCCCAAGCATATACACATATCTCTATGATTGCCTATGATTGCCTATGATTATATATATATACACACTAATATACACTAATGATCTCAGAAATGTGACAAAAACTATATACTCATATATATATAATATAACATATATATTATATAATAAATAATATATATATAGTATTTAATATATATTATATCATATATATATTCTATAATTATATAATATATATATATATAATAATATATATATATATAATAATATATATATATATCATGTCAATGCATTAAAATACCCAAATCATTGACCACTATTATTCTTGGATTTTACTTGTCCATCTCTCCGGGTCCAAAAAACACCCACGCCAGGAGTCTATTGGATGAAGGACAACGGCGTTGGCTCCCTGGCGTCATTGGCCGCGACTGGTGCCATAGTGGAAATGGATGTACCCTTTGGTAAATTCTCCTATTGCTATGGAAAATCACTCTTTTAAATAAATCATCGAAGTAAATTCACGATTTTCCATAGCTATGTTCAACTGACGGTAAATGGATTGATAGATTTTCATGTATGTTTTGGAAGTGGGTCAGTTGTTTTTCAACTTTATTGCAACTTGGGACCCAATAGAAATGTGGAAAACTCAATAACACTCCTCCAAGTGTCAAAAGTGTATTACCCCAAATGGTCAAATTAGGTTTGGTTTACCGAGATTGGTATATCCTTCTATCTCCCGAGCTGTCTTTGTTTTCTTCGGTTGAACTCTTTGTTTGGACTCCGAAAAGTGATGAAAAATGGCTGGCTACTGGCTACCATTGAAATTGACATTTTGACATCCGGTTCCATGAGTCTTGACATGCATTTAAGACCCATTGTCCCACCGTTGATAACCGTTTGACATGGAGCACATATGACATATCCATTTGATATCGAATTATGAAAGCTGTGTTTGCCTTTAAAATTCTTACCATATTGCTACAATGCGTTTGAACAACATGAAGTACTAAAACTTATTAACATGGAACACTATCAATCTGTATTCAATATGTGCACAAAATAATGATTAGCCACTGACTCTTCGAGCTAATTAATTGATTACCAAGGATGAGTATTAGTGGCGATTAATAATTGCTGATCATTACTATCAGTAATTACTAATCATTACTATCAATAATTACTATCAATAATTACTATCAATAATTACTATCAATAAGTACTAATGTGGGTAAAACAATTTCACAAACCATCCCCCAAATCACCATGTTTAGGGGTGGTATGATTACCATTCCCAGTCATGGGTGGTTTATGGCATTGTTTTACCCACATTATTCCACTAATATTCCTTATTCCTATAGCCATTATAGTTGGTCTTATCTTACTATTCCATTAATATTCCACTATTGGTGGGAATATTATACCAACTATTACTATCATTATATAGCTACTATAATAATTTACCAATTGATACTATTACAATCATCATATAGCTACTATAATTACTATATTACTATTACTACAATAATTGCAATCATTATATATATATATATATTACTATACTACTATTACTATATTACTATAATTACTATTACTATAAATTATATATATATATATTTCACTATCAATTCACTTGCGACGCGACGACTGGTGGACGAAGGTGAAGAGTTGGTGGTGATCCAATGGGGCCAGTGGTACGAGGAGGCGAACAACTGGGGGTCGCAGACCAGATTGGATCAGATCCACATATATATATACATATGAATATATATATATATATATTTAAATATACATATGAATATATATATATATACATATGAATATATATATATACATATGAATATATATATATACATGTATTATGTACATATATTCATATATATAAACACATGCATGTGTATATATATATACATATGTATGTATATTAGTTGTGTATATATATATACTTGAATTGGCTCGGATTGAATCAGATTGGATCAGATTGCATGGGATGACATGTATGTATATATATATAGGTTCATAGTTCATAGCGTTGATAGATAGATGGATCTGAAGAAAGAAACAACATCAAATAGGATCAAACCAGGCAGGTGAGCTGTTGGATCCAGATTGGCGCAAGGAGCTGTACAGATGGGACATTTTACCAATCCAGGGCGCAATCATTGGCCCCTAGTTTGCTAAGTTGGTTTATAAAGGTTTACAACTGTAGATACCCTCTGTTAAACTAACATAACTATGGAAAATCACCATTTATAGTGGATTTACCCATTAAAAATGGCCATTTTCAATAGCAAACTGTTAGTTTACCATTGTAGATATGTCATATCTAGAGTTTTTTCTGTGGTGATCAACGGACTTCTGGCACATGGCACATGGGGTCACCATCCTGTAATATCCTGCCGCTGCAATAAGGCAATGTACTGATAGGAATTCAAGCTGGGATGATCCTTCAAGAATCAAGCAACAGAATTATTATATTATTCAGTTGATTATTATTGTTATGACAATATGTTGTAATATATAAAGTTATTATCGAATAAACTTAAGTTGAGTTATTATCATTCAGTTGAATTCTTATTATCGAATTGGTTATTCAAGTTGATTATTATTGTTATCATGATTATTGTTTATGAGCAACTGAACAATAATCATGAACAATAGTTCTTTTGCACTCTAGTCAAGCAAGCTCAAGCATAGATTTAATCTGAGAAATCTCCATTCTGAACTGGAAAATGATATTCCAACAGGATGTTCGAGTGTTTTTGTTACTTTCTATGTTTTTTTTTCAAACAGGGGTAATTAACCACATCAGATTCATATCTTGTTGATTGGTTGGTTATAGATTCCCACACATCATCCCAATGAATTCACCATGAACATCCCATTGAACCTTTCAAAACCTCAGCCAGGAGGGTGTCTTACTGGTGCCAATGGCCAGCTTCATGTGGGCTTGGCCCGATGGTATTCCAACCAATGCACCATTCGGCGGCGTCATGCACTTTGGCGACGTACTTCCGTGGCGGTTTCCCGCTTTTGCCCTAGCAATGCACTGGTGAAAATGGTGATTTCATGTAAGAAATGAATGAAAATGATGTTGTTTTACCCTCTGGTTATTTAACATAGCCGTGGTATAGATGACCCATTTATAGATGTTTACCTATTAAAAATGGTGGATCTTTCCATCGCAAACTGTTAGTCATAACCTGTTGTTTTACCAGAAATGGAGATATTCACCAAGAAATCATTGACATGCAATCATATGCAATAATTCATGTGTACAGAGCTGCAAACATAGGAATAGACATTTTTCAGGAATAACAAGCCATAGTCACACACTATCCATCCATTGGTTCATGGATCCCTTCATCAACGTAAGTGGAATGCCTGCTTGATGACGGGCATGGAAGCGTCAAGTTTCTGGGATGCTTGGGGATGGTAATATGAAACACCCCCAGAAATCATGTTTTTAACCATTACTGGGTTAGTTAGTAACCATAGTTAGTAACCATAACTCTAATATAACTATAGGGTTTATGGTAGATATATGGAGGTATCCCAAAATTGAGCCACGTTTTTTTTTCCAGATGGAATTTAGATTGAGGAGGAACTAACATCATTCATGCGTAGGCTGTTCTGCGTAGGCATATGGCGTAGGATAACGTAGGAGAGGCTGCGTAGGCAGTCTCGCGTAGGCGCTTGTTTTGGTGTTCTAGATTGTTTGTTTCTGACCTCGGACTCTTGTTTTTTCTTGGTGGGTTACAATGATTTTGCATGCAAACTGGATTGTATGATTCATATAGCTGGAAGAAAGGGAGATTAAAGAAACAAACGCTTTTTCAGAAAATTACACTGCCAAGTTTTCAGAAATCCATTTTCGGTTCGGACTTTCGCGTAGGCTCCGCGTAGGCCCTCGCGTAGGAAACGCGTAGGCCCTCAGGTCAAATTGTGGCCTGTAGCCCATCCAAAGTTTTTCCAAGGTCAATATCTGACTATCTTCTATGACAAAGTGCTCCACGCTTGATGAGGTCATCCAAAGAATCGTCATCTTCCAATTCTTCTTATTCCTCTTCTGAACCAGAATCGTGACTACATCACGTCAAGTAAAGAGATCGTTGCAGCAACTTTCGCGGAGGCAAGCGCGTAGGCACTTCTTAAAAGGTAACTCTCGCGTAGGCAGTTTCGCATGGGAGGAGTGGTTTGCGTAGGCCCCGCGTAGGTGTCCCAATTTGTGTATTGCAGTTTAGCAAGGAAAAAAAACACAACTCAATTGGGATAAAACGCATTTTTGGGATCATTGACGTGTTTTTATTTGAACGAAGGATGGGATTGTATGAGCCAGTGATACATGGAATAGTCCCATGTTTTATTTACAGAAATAGTAATTTTCAACCAGATATTGTAACCCAATCATCAGGGGTTGGTAACTGTCCCATTTTGGGTATATTGGACATCACTATTATAGTAGCCATTATAGACCATATACCTAATGGTTGGGTGATGTTCAATGGGGACATTTAATGACCCATGATCATTCAGAGTCCCAGGGTTACATTGCTATTTCTACGGCTATTTCCATCGTTCATTGGTGCCTATCGAAGTGTTTGGTTTCAGGTATGGGCCGCAGACCACCGTCACCGGCGCCAGTCGCTTGCACAACGGGGTCTGTTCGTGGTGTGCAGTGGATATTCAACCAATGGGTACAGGATGGGGCCCCTAAGATAGCTAAGTTGCCTTATAAGTGGTTTAACAATGGTTTATGGTAGATATAACTATAGTTAATGGGGGTTATAATGGTATATAAACCAACTTATAACTGGGGGACCCCATCCTGTATGTCTGAAAATAGGGGGATACCCTCTGGTAAACTAACGTAGCGAACTGGAAAATCACAATTTTTCATGGGAAAACTCACTATTTCGACTGGGCCATTTTCAATAGCTTTTTGTATGTTTACCAGAGGGTACCCCGAAAGAGCAATTTTTTGGGAAAGTGATGATATATACTTTGTAGAATCCATTGGAATTGGTTCTACCCATGGGTACCCGATTTTCAGACTAACCCAAATATCCGATTTCGGCAGGTTTGAATCGAATTCATGTTTATGGAAACCAACCTAATGAAATGGTTCTGAATTTGCTTGTTGAAGCATTAGGTTGGTGAACGATTTCAATGTAGGTTGGTCTACGGTTCTTTAACCAGGTTCAACAAACCCTTCATGTTTACATATGTGGGTTTCCATAAATGGGGATACCCCAAGCTCGCTGCATGGTTTATATGGAAAATCCCAATCTAAAATAGATGATTTGGAGGTACCCCCATTTCAGGAACCCCCCATATGTTTACTATTGGAGCAGTTAGTTGTTTGGTTCTTAAGCAGCTTCAACCCTCAATCGGGATGACCATGGTGGTGTGGAGAAAAGGTAGAGAAAAACCGCAAATTGGGAGGTTCGAAAATCCAAAAATTGGACAACATTACCATTTTCATATATTTTCATATTGGGAACAGGGTCTGAAAATTGAACACTCCTAAATCAACTGGTTTCATCATAATTTTCCCAATGAAAAATGGCTATTGTAGGGGTATCCCCAGTTTCAGACAGAGCCAATTCAAGAATCGTTTGGCTAGATGGAAAAAAACACGAGCTACAGATGTTGGTCATTGCTACAGGAGCATTCAAATCTTCTGTTTTTCTGCTTGGGTTCCTCAAGATTCCATTGATTTGGGAGTTTTCCAATGTCAAGATGATCTTTTGTTGTGCCGATAAACACTCAAGATATATTTCATGAGATGGTCACTCCGACATAACATAGGCCCTGAGAAGGATGTAGAGTACTGATATGTACTGATCCAGAAGTTTTCTGCGTTGACTTCAGTTTTTCTTTGTTAACCGCTGTTCACCCCAAATGAAGATGATCAAAGGCGGAAAAATGCATCCCACTTTTCCTCTTCCTTCTTTCTCTTCGTAGCGATTCTTCAACGTTCAGCCATGTTCAGGGTCTCTTTTACTTTACCTTCTGGTAATTTCTTGCATAGCTATTGAAAATGGCACCTTTATAGTTGATTTACCTATTAAAAATGGTGATTTTCCATAGTTTTTGTATGTTTACCAGAGGGTAGGGAACCAGTTTTTTAAAGATGTTAGTTTACCAGAGGGTAATCATCATGCCAATCCCCTAAGGGAATGCCTGACAATGAGAGGATTGATGTCGGTAACTTGGGAAACCCATGATCTGAAGGGTAAGATTCCTATCATCTTAGATGCGATATGCAGATCAGATCCCCACTTCAGCACCCGCTTATACAGATAGATATATAAGTTGATATATATATATATGTGTGTATATATATATATTAATATTATTAATATTATTATTATTATATATATATGTGTATATGTTATTATTATTATTGTTATTATTATATATATATATTATTATTATATATATTATTATTATATATATTATTATTATATATATTATTATTATATATATTATTATTATATATATTATTTTTATTATTATTATTTTTATTATTATTATTATTATTATTTATATATATATATATTATAATGCAATATATATATATATATTATAATGCAATATATATATATAATGCAATATATATATAATGCAATAAACACACCGTATATGTACATTCACTATTACCCCCACTACTTACTACTTGAGGGTGCATCCCCGTTTATGAAGTGATTAGTAAGCCATATAATCTCGCTGGGGTAGATCGTATTTCACTGGTTTCTTTCATCAAGGTTATTACCCACTAAGAGGAACCTATCCCCCAACTGCAGTTGCATCATCCTTCCAAACTTCTGGTTATGTTTGTTGGTTTACCCATTTAACTATCGTTTATACCACCCATAAACCCAATCACTAACCGTTTGTCAGTTCAGTCGCAACTTACCGTAATCACGCATCAACAAGGCATCAACATCCCCATGTTTGATACTTAAATCGTGTCTAATCCGTTTTTTCCGAGAACAAAAACCAACTGAGCCAACCAATTTCTACTGTTAAAACCACGGCCAGGAGTGTTGCTTGGATCTGGGAAGCCTCCACCAGACAAGAATGGCCCCGGCTGTTTGTCCTTCAAATTCAATCGTCACTGGGCCGCCATTGCTGGAAATCGTTGGTAACGATGAAACTGGGGCTGATACAACGAGATATTATAGGTTAACTACTAATAAACGTATAGGATATCACATGTACGTATATATTTGCTGCTAAATATATAATTCTATGGAAATGTATGTGTAATATATAATGGTTTGTAATGGGTTGTTTGCCCAATGTTTTTTTTTAAATCACATTTCCAGAATATCTCTATGACATCCTCATAATCTCCTCATCATAATCTCCTCATCATAATCCCATCCCCCTAATGTTAAACACCTCCTCAATGGTCCCAAATATGTTGCCTTATCCCGTACTTTTTACCATGGGTTCTAGGGAGGTCTTTGATATTAGGGGGAAGAGATTACTTATTTTTTAGATATAAATAATATACAAAGCTGTTTGATGGGCCCCCCAAGATTGGGGACTGGATTATCACATATTAATGTGGTTAAAGCAATTTCATGTTCACCATCCCCCAGTCATCACCATTTTTATAGGTGGTATGATTGCCATTCCCAGTCATGGGTAGTTTATGACATTGTGTTAATGGGATTACAATTTTAACTACATTATAATTGGATTATACCCTCTGGTAAACGTTTACATAACTATGGAACATCACCATGTTTAATAGATTATAACCCATATTTCATGTGCCCCATTTTCAATCTTCATACTCTCCTGATCTCCATCTCCGAAGATTTGGACGAGAAACTCCGGGTGACGCGAGGCGATATGAGCTACGGCACTCTGCAGGGACATTTCAATGACGTCCGCGATGCCGCCCGGTGAGGGTCAAACGTTCGGAACCGGACCCGGGATGGGATGGGATTTTTTGGACATTTCGATGATTTGAGGGGTGATTTGTTCGCCGCTTTTGTAGCGGTAAACATTAACGCAAAAGCTATTGAAGCCATGGCCCAGTCGAAATAGTGGATGCAGGCCAGCTATAAAATGGTGATTTTCCATATGTAAACGTTTACCAGAGGGTAATTTGTTACATAGCGAACTGGAAAATGGATGAATATGGCCCATGTATCGATGATTTACCTATACTGAGTGGTGGTTTCAAGCATTTTTTCCATAATATGTGGGATAATTCTTTCCATTGACTAATATTTTTCAAGATGGTTAAAACCACCAACCAGTATATTAATCATGGATATTTTCGAGATGTGAAATTAAAAAAGAGAGTAACAAAGCGCAATTCGATGGGGATTTAGCGAACGATTTTCATGGACGTTTCTACAAAGTATTTACAGGTGTACGTGATGAAAAAGACACTACAGCATGGGTTTTTCATCATCCGGATTTTCTTCGACTTAGACTTAGATGATACTTGTAGCGACTTGTTTCGCTTTTATTGTGGCACCATAGACTTCTGGGATTTTTGCAGTCAGATCGGATAGATCCAAGAGGCGAAACAGTGGGATCCAAGGGTCAAATTCTTCAGCAAAATACTGACATCCCAACATCAGCTACCCTCTGGTAAACGTTTACATAGCTATGTTTGCGAACTTGAAAATGACCATATTTATAGTTGATTTACCCACAAATAGCATGTTCCATAATTATGTAAACGTTTACCAGAGGGTACCTTCCGGTCATGAAACGGCATAAAAATATATGGGAAACTCAGCAAAAAATGTTTGACCAGAGGAATATCCATGCGACATTTTTTTGCGAACAGGTGAACATCAGGGTCCCAGCAAATGAGTTGGACCAAAAAATCGGCGGCCAGATTTGTGAACTTTTTGTTGGAAGATGGCCACGGAAATCCCATGAAATCCCCCATATTTCTAGATGTTAATTAATTAATTAATTAATATAATATATATATATAACTAGGTCTTCGTTCGTAGCACTTTTTTTTGGGAGACTAGGCTGTTGACTTCTTTTTGAGATATCGGTCAGAAAAAGTAGCTCTTGACCAAAGCGCCTACTTTTGCAGTTTACCTATGATTTCCCTGGTTTCATGTCATGCTGCATTACCATGTTACACATTCAACATCATCCAATCCTATTTCAATTGAATTTTCTAATGTGGACCATTGATAAAATTAAATGATGCAATGATAAGTGGCCCCAAATCGATAGGGTCAACCACCACCTACCCTCTATCCACCATAAGCGAATAAAATCGACATGCTAAACTCTGACCAGCCATGTCAGTTGGTCAATCGGATTTGAAGTGCCACTGACAGACTCTTTGGCTCACCATTTCTTAGATTATGTTCATGTTTGTGTGAGATGTGCACGTTTTATGCAAAAGTTCGCGCCTACAAAAACCTTCAAAACTCCTTTAAAAAGCTTGCAAACGACTACAAAAACCATCAAGCACCTACAAATCCCAAAAACTAGGTAACTTTGATTTTTGAACGTTTTAGACAATATGCCAAAAGAATCGGAAAAATTGAGCGTTCAGCTTTTTTTTTTGCATAGTTCTCACAGGATTAAGTCTTTGGAAGAAGCATGGTCATGATGGCAAGTTTGAACACTGTGTGTGTGCATATCACCATGCGGATTGGGGTGCACGTTGTGGGAGACAATTTGAAACTCCTGATCACTCCAGGCTTTTCCATGACCAAATTCTATGATCAATGCAGGGGGTCGAGGAGTGACAGAAAGTTCAAGGTTGCAGTGGAGGGCGTAAAGTTCACGACCGGTTTTTGGAGATATCGACCAAAACGTCTACTTTTTGAACGTCCAGAAAAAGTAGAACACCAGGGGTCGACCAGAAATTCTTGATCTTTTGAAGACCTGGGTATATTAATCTGTTTCCCATTGCATTGGGATTTGATCGCGGAGCTGTGCTCAGCGAAGCTTCTCTGAGGATACCGTGGATTTGGGGACCTTCATTCCTTTCTGCCCCTGCTGTTCCTGCGTTCGTATCCTGGCCAGCGAGCTGATGATAAACCGGTGGAGTTTGTAGCTTATTTTCAGACCCCAAGTTGAGGATATTGGTGATCTGCCTGTTGGAACTTGCCATTTCTTGGGGCTTCATTGGCTAAAAAAATCAGGAGTATCTTGGGCGAAGAACAAACACATGCAGAAACTGAGCCCGTTCGTCCCCACTTGAGGTAACAAAAAATCATGGTTCTGAGCCAATCTCCAAACGGTGCTTTGAGCCGCTGCAATCCCATTGATTTCTTTGAACCCCATAGCATGGGCTCTTGGCTCTGCAGGTTCCAATTTGAAGCCAGGGTTGACTTTTTCCACTCATCCCGACAGGCCACATTTTCTCCAAACTGTGAGTGGAAACACCTCACCTGGATTCAGGAGGCCAATCCTAAAAGGCATAAGATTGGTAAAAAGGTACCACCAATATACTTCAATAATTTTCAATATACTAAACATTTCTGGAGAATAAGAATCAATTTAGATTACTCACATCCTCCTGCTATATGCTAATATTGAGTACCCCCCCCATACGGGACTCCAATTCATGGAAAGACTCCAATACTAAATCAGGGTTTCGTTTGGGCGGGGCATAAAACATTGGGTGCAGGGAACCACAAGTATCCAATATTGTATCACCATAATATTCATTCAATTATTAATAGTTATAATAATGATCAACCATTATATCATAATTGTCAAACATTATCCATCCGCATCAATCACCATGAATTCTATGCCCAAAACTCAATTATCTCAATTGACCTCACCATATTTTTGGAAAAATCCCGGGATTTTCCATGATCTTTCCCCCCTTCAGGTGGCCTTTTCACCATGGAACTCTTGGACTCCCAAAGCAGTGAGCTCGGCTCGCGCTATAAGCGCGGCATCTGGTGGGGCCTCGGCCGCTCGTTCAGCTCGTTCGCTCGCATGGAGGGAGAAGTTGGGATGTCATCATTTGATGGTTAGTAAGGGGGTAGCTATCCCCCAGTTGGAGAATTTCATCCCCAACTGGATGGGTAGAAACTATTCCTTTTGTATTTTGTTGCAATACATGGAAAATAACCAGAACCAGCAAAAGATGACATTTTTTGTGTACCAGAGGTGGATATATCCCAACTTTTGGGTGCATATAACCATGGTGAAAAACCACATTTGTAACCTCTGCAACTATTGATGGTGAAGGGGTGACTATCCCCAAGAGAATTCATGGTTTTTCATGTTGAATCGGTTGTATTTCAACCATGGATAGAGCAAATTCTTGATGGTGAATCAATCCCTTCCGTATGATTAGAAGGTGAGACATGGTGAGACCCTCTTCAGAAAGATAGCTAAGTTGACGCAAATAAGATGTACCCTCTGGTACATTAACAGTTGGACCCTGAAAATAACCTAACTTTTTAGTGGAAACTAATCTTCCAAGCTCTATCTGCCAGGGTCTATGTCAATTTACTGGAGGGATACTATATTTGATGTGCTTAATGAACCAACTTGTAACCGGGACGTAACCGTTGATGGTTAGGAAGGGGTTTTGTTATTCCCAATCATTTGGGATAATTTCTTGACTATGGAATACTATGGACTATTGGATGCTAATGGGTTATTCACCACAGTATAAGTATGTAAAAACACTTTCTGTATAACCAGGACCGTGGAATGGGGGTGTTTAATATTCGAGGAAGAGATTAGTGGAACAAAAAACCAAGTGGCCTTAGTTCAGGTGGATTCAGACGGAATTTCTGCAGATTCATTGTGTTGGCTCCAGCAATTAAAGCTTTACTTACACCTTTTTAAGGCTCATTGGGAAGGTATTAAAAACTGCTTGGTGGTGACTGGAACCATGGCATTTCGAATGACTTTCCCATCATATTGGGAATTTCATCATCACTGACTTTCACTCCATTTTCAGAGGGGCAGGGCTCAACCACCAACCCGTAAACCATGAGCCGATACCGAAGTTGGAGTTTCTTATTGAGTTTCCTAAGTGCAACGTGCAACGGATTTTGAAGAAATCAACTGTGCTTAAACAACCAGCCAGCTGGAGGGAAAAATAGAGCAAGTGTGGATCTATAACCAGCCAGTAATTTGGTCAGTTGCTTGGTCGTTTCGGATATACATTTTTCCTTTCCATACGCATCCCTTTTGGAGAAAAGGATCCCAGATAATGATCATAGTTTGGGGACGGGACAAACATTACTCATTTGTCACAAAAATTCAGGCTGTTTCGGTCCTCAGGTCTGTGGTAAACTCTCCGTGTTCTCTAAAAACGGCCGTCAAAAGGAAACTGATCCCCGACCACCTAATATAATTAGGCATGAATGCACATGATTTCTAGTAGGAATGATATGTATGTATACATATATATATATATATATAAAATTATATATATATACACAGGAATGAATATAGGAATGAATGCAAATGATTTTCTCATATTTTCTCAGGGAGGTAGTTCAACCATCACATTGCTTATCTGCCAGAAAGCTCAAGCCTAAAGAGCCCCTGTGAGCATTGCTCAAAAATGGGGTACTGACAATTTGTGGATCGTTTTAGATAATTAATATAGGATCAATATCCATTAATTAATATCCTTTGTAGAAAATTAATATCCTATTATACAAATTATTTTGTTCTATCGATTAATTAATATCCTACTAATATAGTTTAATAAGGAGAAAACCAAAAAATAGGAGATTAATTGATAAATCAGATCATTCATGGATAATAATAATAGGAAACATCATGGATTTTCAACACCTCCGGTAGTCTTGGTTTTCAACACCAGCAGTTTTCTTGGCTCTGGGCCTTCGGTAGACTGGGGGTAGCTCCATGTTTTTTTGGGAAACCTCCACTCATAGACATATACATGAAAATAGTGGAACTGATGTTAATGTATATGTCTATTAGTGGAAATGATGTTAACAATGGGTGTCTTCATAACATGAACAATGATGTCAACAATAGGTTTTTCCATAATGCTGTTTAATTGGGAGGGTGCCATTTAAGTATTGGATTATGACTATTGGTGGTGTACCCCCCTGATTAATAAACCATGATTTAGCAAAGTCCGGGGTTGACATTAATATGATTATTATATACCATCCAACGGATGTCTTCATAACATTAACAATGATGTTAATGTTAACAATAGTTTTTTCATACTACCCTCTGGTAAAGAAACATAGACCCTGAAAATAGCCAATGTTTAATGGTTTCACTAGTCTTCCAACCCCTATTTGTGAGGGTCTGTGTTAATTTACCAGAGGGTAATGTTATGAAGATTCGGTATGAAATGATGTCTTGTGGTCGCCCCATCGGATCCATCGGATTCTCTCGGCGGCGGCACTCAGGAACCTTTACGCCGATCGAATTTGGATCTTACACGCTGACCAAGGTCATGCTACTTGGACGACCGTGTGAGATTCCCACTGGTTAGTTGAAAAGAGGCGTTCTTGGAGGGTACCAAAAAAATTGATCAGTGGTTCACTACCATAGTTATATATAGATGGAGGCATTTATAGATGGAACTGCCCATTTATAGATAAACCCATTTGTAGATGGAATCAGCCACGAAAAAGGGGACGATTGCCCGGGTTATTAACCATAGTAGGATGATCCCGGCTTTTTAGGTAAGTGGCTCAGATGTGGTTAATGGTTTCCCCATTTATGGATGATTGTCCTATTAAAACGACCATTTCTGGTTGGTGGTGACTGGAACCATGGAATTTTGAATGACTTTCCCATCATATTGGGAATTTCATCATCCCAACTGGTCCGAACTCCATCATTTTTCAGAGGGTAGGGCTCAACCACCAAGCAGATTTAGTTCAGGGATTCAAACAGCTTGCCAGGTTTTTTCGCGATGACTTTCACAAAACGGGAATTTCGAAGCCACAAGGTGGTGCCCCATAGTTAGCTAAGTTGGTTTATAACTCCCATAACTATGGTTTATGGTAGATATAACTATAGTTAATGGGGTTTATAAACCAACTGACATCACTGGGGGGCACCATCCTGCAGGCATCTGAGACTACCAGAGGGTACCATTTCGGGACGGGCCATGATTTTGAAGCCAGATTTCATCGGATTGGTTTGTTGGGGAAAATATACAGGAAACCCATGGGTTTTTGCCATTAAATATGGGGGTTTCCTGTAATTTTTCCCTTAAACAAATCCAATGAAGATTGTAAGATGTTCTTCAATGATGTGTGCAATTCTCTTAATGAATATTCCAGCCACTTGGATAGAACTCTCAAATCTTCGGTGCAGTTCACTTGAATTTGGGCATGTGTACAGTTTCCTACACTATCCATTATCCAGGCATCAGATTCACAAGCCAGGTATCCTGCTGTGATCTTCATGGCTGGATTCAAGCTGGGCCATCCGATCACTGAGGAAAGGAAATGGCGAGCCCAACGAACCCTACTACAGCCACTGGACAGCGCAAGCGTTGAGTTGGCTGCCACCCACTGCCAAAGTGCTGGATCAGCATCTTCCAGATGGAGATATTCTAATGACATATAATGACTATACTCCTGTATTAGTATAGTAATAATTATTGGCTTATATACATCTAATGATATTAATGACTATACATCTAATGATTATTATCATGGCTTGTAATTCTGTATTGGTTACATCTCTATGACTGGGAAGAAAATTTATCCCAACAAACTACCCAGCTTCGTATTGGAAGATGATCTGCAGGCGCATTTCGTGGCCCAATCGCTTCCAGGGCTTTGTGGCAAACGTCCCAAGATCACCAAACCACCATGTTTTTTCTCGGCCGGTGCTAGTTGGGATCATTCGGAAAAATCTATGGTACAATTTGTGCACCAACCAAGCCTTCAAACACCATTTTAGTTCTTGATTTTCAGCCTCGTTGTGGGGCATTGTGGGGCCTATTTGAAACCCTGATTTTGCTTCTGCCCTCGAAAAATCCTCCAGTTGGAGCAGAGTAAAACCCGATGCAATAGCCTGTCTAATCATATTAACCAAACATTTAGGGATTAAAACATCATCCCATTGCTACAATGTGGGGCCCCCGTTTTCGATATCTAAGTTGGAAAAAATATACCCAGTAACTCTGGTTAATGAATGTTTATGATACTTATAAACTAGTTATAACTATAGTATTCATGGGGTTTATAAACTAACAAACATCTCTGGGCACCAAGTATTGTAGGGCTATTCCAACTTGATCAGCAGCTCGGGCCTCGGGCTCGCCCGTTGGGCGATTTTTTTCTCCAGGCGAATTTGTGGAATACATGGGCGATGCTACTGGGCTCACATTGATCTGGGTCAAGCGAGTGGATGGGTAATTTTTTCTTACTGGTGCTAAACGCAGGGAATTTTCGGGAATGATCCATGTCATCACTAGTAATAGTAATCCCAGCAACCCCCATCAGCCCATCCATTCCCTACTAAGCACCAGTAAGTTTTGCATTCCCCAATCTTTTGCTATAGAAGTATCTGCTAACCAGCTACTGATTTTTTGATGCAGGGTATCTAAGATTGCTCTTGTGATAGACCCTCTGGTTATTTAAGGATTTGCGAACTGGAAAATCACCATTGTTAATACGTTAATAATCATGTTTATGCTAACGGGTGCAAAACCGTACGTGTAGTGACACACATTTTCAACATTCTCAATTTCACATCATGTTTTTGAGCTTACACATCATGTTGCACTCTTATGTTCACATAACTGGCAACGCGGGATGGGCTGGGGTGGGGTGGGGTGGGGATGTGAACGTTCGTTTGAAGTTGAACACGCCATTGATGCTACGCTGAGCATGGGGTGGGGTGGGGATGTGAACGTTCGTTTGAAGTTGAACACGCCATTGATGCTACACTGAGCATGGGGTGGGGTGGGGATGTGAACGTTCGTTTGAAGTTGAACACGCCACTGATGCTACGCTGAGCATGGGGTGGGGTGGGGATGTGAACGTTCGTTTGAAGTTGAACACGCCATTGATGCTACGCTGAGCATGGGGTGGGGTGGGGTGGGGTGGGGATGTTAACGTTCGTTTGAAGTTGAACACGCCACTGATGCTACGCTGAGCATGGGGTGGGGTGGGGATGTTAACGTTCGGTTGAAGTTGAACACGCCATTGATGCTACGCTGAGCATGGGGTGGGGTGGGGATGTGAACGTTGTTGAAGTTGAACACGCCACTGATGCTACGCTGAGCATGGGGTGGGGTGGGGATGTGAACGTTCGTTTGAAGTTGAACACGCCACTGATGCTACGCTGAGCATGGGGTGGGGTGGGGATGTGAACGTTCGGTTGAAGTTGAACACGCCACTGATGCTACGCTGAGCATGGGGTGGGGTGGGGATGTGAACGTTTGTTTGAAGTTGAACACGCCATTGATGCTACGCTGAGCATGGGGTGGGGTGGGGTGGGGTGCAAGGTTTCAAATCCTACTGGCTCGGCAGCTTCCCATTCCGGGCGAACGTGTCTAGCACTTGGTTAGCACATTTGCCGCGAGCTGGCGGCCGGATGGCAACATGTGGGAACAGTCCCCACCCAGCTCTTGGATTCGAAGTTCATGGTGGCGATCGGTAGAAATACAATTTTTGTCGATAAGGCCAGGCTCCACCCGCGGATGGAGCATGGACCCTTCTGCTAACAGGAAAAGGGTAAATTATAGTGACCTCACGTCGTGACCGAACCCTGAAACCATGGTGAATGTATTGGGGAATTATCCCCAATATGGCCACCAGTTCCAGATTAGTGAAATACTATTATTATCATTTACCCAGATATATAAATGGATATTATTGGGGAGTTTCATATTGCACTGCGTGCTTACTGGAGATCGTATCATGTAATAGTTAGAATTGAGTACAAAGCGTGGTATGACGGTTTGAATCTCCAATGAGCGTGGTTTGTTTCTATAGACTTGTACTGAAGACCAGTGCGTTAGAGTGTTTGAGATTGAATTAATCAGGACCATTTTATTTGATGGCATTAGTGGATCAAGAATCTTACTTGTAGCAGCTCGATTCAGGTCGGGTAGATCTTGCCCACGGAAACACATATGTACACATAAGATTGCATATGCGCGCATGTTTTCACGTTCCATCTATCCATTGCCTTGGCGATGTCATTTGGGATGATTACAGCAAGCTTGGCTACGTACAGCACCATTGGTGGGTTAGGTTTGACTACTGGAGGCTATTCCTCGATGCTTTAGCTGGTGAAATCCAGTTCCTGTGCTGAACGTCAACCACTTTTGCTGGTCAAATCAATGTAAATCCCATGAAAACTCTTGGTTTCCCCCCTCTGCTGAGTTCCAAAGTCTTGGTGGTTCAATTCCCAGTCTTGTTGGTCTTGTTCGTAACATCCTTTTTTTAACATCAAATCACTTTTCTTGATGAGGTCCATCACTGTGGTGGCTCTCATCCCCATTTACACACGTGCGTCAAAATCCATGTGCTTCACTTATGTCCACTTGGGCATCCTAATTTTTTGTTCACCAAATCGCGCTCTAGTTCATGTTTTTGTTGTTTTTTCGTGCGCCACATCGTGCCCTACTTCGTGCCGCTGTTGCAATAATTGGGCAAAACACAATATAGAATATACAAACGAAAATAAATAACAACAGAAACAACCCCACAAAAAGATGGAAAAATGACTGATCATTATTGGGTAGGATTTTGTTTTTTTTTGGGGGAGGGTTACTATGTATTATATAGATATACATGGAATATCATAGTAAATGTCCACTGGGACGCACAGCCATTGTTTAACAGGGTGAGCATCAGAACATGGGTCCCCATTTGCGCAAAGTTGGTTGAACTAGGTGAAATTTCTGGTTGTAGATCGGTCTCGGAAGTTAATGATGCAAACCATAGACTATAGAACAATAGTTAATGATGCAAACCATAGTTAACCATTAAAAATGTAAACCTAGTTTTAAAGTAACTTAGTTACATCATGTTATATCCCCATTCACCATCTGGTTGGTGGTTTGGAACCATGGAATTTTATGATTTTCCATTCAATTGGGAGTTTCATCACTGACGAAGTCCATCATTTTTCAGAGGGTTAGGGCTCAACCACCAGACATGGCGCCAAGTCGAAGGATGTGGGGCCCCCGTTTTCGAAAGCTAAGTTGGTGCAAATAACATCCAATAACTATGGTTTAAATAACTGTACGATAACTATGGTTCATGATATGCTTAAATAACTATATTCAATGGGGTGAATCTAAACCAACTTATAATCACATTGTAGGAAACCCTCAGATATCTCCATATATCCCAAGCAGGGAACCCCCGCAAGGTACGGCTGTTCACCTGGTCGGGTTTCGTTGATCAGTGCCGTGGCAGCTTTCACCGTGGCACCGGAGCGAAACGCTGTGGATATACAGGATGAAACACCAACATTAATGATGGTATAGATTTGAAATATAATGGGAATATCATGATAATTTCTGTATTAATCATGGGATATATATATATATATATATATAGTGTGTAGTGTATATCACTGTAATATGGGTTCATCACTGGTGGTGCCGGAGGGTTAGCTAGGTTGCTTTTATTAAATTTCCAACAGCGCCAGCGGGGGTTACAAACCAACTTATAGCTGGGCACGACCTTTCAACCAATGAGAGAATCAAGAAGACAAAAAAGTGAAATCCTACTAAAGTAGTGATAAATTTACCCTGTGGTAAACTGACGTAGCTATGGAAAATCACCATTATTAAAGAGTAAATCAACTATAAATGGCAATTTTCAATAGCTATGTTAAATTAACAGAGGGTAACCTGTTCTGCATCTTTTTCAGGGCTATGGAGGTGTCCTTAAATGGGGGGGGTACCCCAATAGCTGACTGGTTTATACATCAAAATCCTGTTAAAACTGATGATTTGGTGGGTACCCCTATTTTAGGAAATCTCTATATTTTTGGGTGATGAAGATCCACAACTCCCAGCTATTTTGGGCTTCACCAGGCCAAACCTGTTGGTGAAGATGGCCAAGTTAAACTCCTGAGATCTCTAGCATCAACCACTAGTCGCCAATCCCAACATTTTCGGCAATTGGAGATGGGTCAATTTATTGGATACGTAGCCCAAAAAGAAATAGAATAGCATCTACATCCGATATCTATGGTATTTTTTAAGGATCTAAATTTTGGCGAATAGTTAGAATACCCAAAAAATCGCCAAAATCGAGGCCTGAACAGGCAACAATGGGCTGCGGTTGCTGAATGGCGCTTGACCCACGAGGTGCCAATTTTGTGCGTGTGGCGTGTGGCAGCGCCAGAGATCTGTTTCTCCAAAATAATGGGTTTGAACCGTTTACACCCCAAAGTGGCAACTTGACTGAGAAAAATGAAATGGCTATGGGTCAATACCTATAGATACCATTTTTAGTGGGATGAACATCCATTTACCAGCTATTTTGGGGTTCACTAGGTACCAGGGTTTTGACCCATCCCCAAATCTGAAAGTTTTTCTACGCTATGTTTAGCTCTCCTGTGCTTGGACGAATCCATATTTGGGTCGTTTGCGGCACAAGGCGCTTGCGGGTCCACTGCAACCCCATTTTTTCAGCCATAGCTGCTGATCTCAACAGCAAACCCAAACCATTGGTTTCCGCTATGAACACAAACCAATAACTTGGAAGTTATTGGTTGATGACTTGGTGTCACCCATGACTTAGGAAACACCATGAAACACCTATGGAATTGGGTTTGGACAGGTACCACTGAGTAAAAATCGGGGGATGAACCATTCTTGATCAATCCCACCCATTTTTTTTCCACGATATACTTCTAGTCAGCGAACATAGCCCTTGACCTTGTTGGGTAGGGAAAAGACCCGTGGATACTATTGCAAGATATTGTCCAGCCCTCAATATTGGATTTCCAGGGTTATATCATATATCAGCTTATGGTTTGATGTTTAATCTCCACAGGTGTTGCTGTAGCTTCTTGCGCTGGCACTTCAATAGTCTAAATACAGTAATCTTTAGATATTTATTACTGTAGTCAGGTATTTAATTAGTGATACTTACTACATCACAGTAATACATCTAATAAATCACTGTATTTAGGGTTGGAAATTAAATACCTGTATTTAGGTTTGTGATTTAATTTCCAACCCTAAATACAGTGATGTACCCTGATTATACATATCCTGAACGGTCCTTTAGATCGTCACCACGATCTCACCTGTGGCAAATTCTCCAGAAGAAAAAACGTTGAAGGCATGATTTTCACATTATTTTGTACATATAATATCATATATATAATATAAATAAGATAAGTTAAGATTAGACTAGCTCCTAGATATGACATGATATTAAGCTAAGATAAGATAAGGTAAGTTAAGATAAGATAAGGTAAGATAGATAGATTCGGTTAGATGAGATGAGATGAGATTAGATTACATTAGTTAGATAGATAGATAGATAGGTAGGTAGATATAGATATAATTAATTAATATGTATATATATATATATATTATATATATATTATATATATATTATAGATCCAGATGTTTTTCCTACCATTGGCACGCAATTGCTCCAGGTCACCATGGGGATGAAGTCAGTTCCCTCGCAGTTTCGGCGGAGAAGTTTAAGACGAAGTACTGGGTATTCCATGCGAAGAAAGATCAAAGAAGTGTTTGGTTAGTGGAAAGGTCAAAAATTACCAGTGTATATCATTGAATCAGGTTAGGTATCAATTTTTCTAACAGATTCGAGTAAATCTCAAATAATAGGAAATTTACAAGGTGAGGCCTCAGGGATGTTTTGTTGCTTGTTGGAGCATGAACTAGCCATGAACTGGTTCAATTTTATTATCCCTCTAATCAGCCCAAGTTAAGCAACGTATTGAAGCGTCAACTGAACGCTATCGTTTGGGGGCCTCACCCTCCTAATGATGAAGGGGTCCCCCAAAAAACATGGATTTGGTGCTTCATCGTACTTAGGAAGCTGAAACAAATCTAAGGATATCTGGGGACGCAGTTTTGAGGTGATTTTTGTGCTTAGGAAGTAGGGGTGAAATATGACTGGAGAACCATTCTGGTTGGTGGTTTGGAACATTTGTCATTTTCCATCATATATATATATGATAATAAATGGGATAATCCTTCCCAACTGACTTTCATATTTTTCAAGATTGTTAAAGCCACCAACCTGGTACAATTTTTAAGTGGTTTTATATGGCAACTTGTAACTCGCTGAAGGCGCAAAAATTGTGTAATCAGCCACTTCTGATTGGTACTATCTGGTAAACGTTTACAGTTGGCGAACTGGACAATCACCATTGTGAATAGGTAAATCAACGAACTAAATGGCAATTTTCAATAGCAAACTGTGGGATATATATATATATATCCTATGGTAATATAACATAGTTATTGAAAATGACCCATAGAAATAGTGGATTTACCCATTGAAAATGCTCATTTTCCAGTTCGCAGACTGTTGACATAACCAGATGGTACTGTTCTATGGAAACCGCTTTTTTTCATGGCCATCTGGTGATAATTTACTCAGTACTTTCAGGCACTTCTCCAGCTTTGCAGTGGACAAGCGCTGAGTGGCCCGAAATGCTGACCCTCACTATTTAAAAACCTAGTTTCAGGGGTGAAAAAATGAGAATTGCAGAAATTTATCAACAAAAACACTATGATAAAACTGTTAAATATTTATATAGATACACATCTAGAAAAGTAGATATGTGTTCTACATAGTGATTTTACTTGAGCTGACTGGCCACAATCTCGAACTTCAAGCTCCGTGAGCTAATCATCCTTGACCACAGGACTATGGTCAGCATTGATTTAGCGAAGAGTCGGTGATGGGAATTTAACATTTTCAATGGGTACTGTATATCAAATATAAATAACCATTTTCCATCGCTATGTTAGTTTACCAGAGGGTAGGTTTCTCTTTGCCAGAATACATATTCGTAAAGATTCCTTTTTGGGTTGCAATAATTCACGGTTCAAGAAGCAGCCATTCGAGCGAGAAACTCCAAGCAGGAATCATCTTCTCTTCTTGAAATCAAAGTGCACTCCTGCAGATGCTCTGAAGTTTCATACTGCGAAAAAGGCCGCAAAAAATGCTGCAAGAAAGGCTTCCACAAGTGGGAAGAGCGGGGGTTCGAGGATGTAGTAAACCTATGTAAACCTGATCATTGCTCAACTCAATAACATTCAAGAACAATGATTATCTTACAGTATGGTAAACTTGAAAACCCATGAACTGATATTTCATGAGTATTAGATTGGACACAGCTTGAATGATTCCTGGAAGACATCACCGTTCACGACCATTCTGGAAAGGCGTTTCTATCTTTTTTGGGGGGTTGCTATGTTTGGAACCATACAGAAAGGGGTCCCCAAATAGCTAAGTTGTTTTTATGCAACTTGGCCAACAATTCAACGAACTGGGGAATTTTGGCCGTGAACTGTCAACAAGAACAACCAAAATGCTCCAGCAAGTTTGCAGAATGTATAGCGACTTACGTCTATTGGGGAGAGCATCAAGAATCTGAAAAAAGAGCAGGATTCTTGCTTCTGCTATATTTTTCGTGTTCTATTCTACATTGTGTTCGTGAACCTCCCGAAAGTATTTGAGCTATGTTTCGAATCGATTTCTGCCTGGGTTCAGGCGCGGCGCGGCTATTTGCAGCAAGGGCAAGCAACCTGGGCCACTCATTGTGATGGCTACATCATGTGGGATGAGTCGCTTGGTTGGGGCTGCAGAGGTATCATCAAATGGCTGTAACCATGGGTATAAACCTTCATACCTTGGAATAGAACCTCTATAACTATGGTTAAAATCCACTTCTGGAACTTCCAAGAGGATCATGCCACTTCGGGAGAAAAAGCCCTCAATGTACTATTGGATGATTAGCAAGGAGCGGGCCAAGGAGCGGCCTTGGGTATCCATATTCCCGAGATGGGGAGCCAGATGGAGCCACTAAGAGTTTTCCAACCACATGGCTGAAATATATCTGATTGATAGGACATATCCTCAAAATTCATGAGTCGAAAAAACTTTTGATACACCAAATATATCCAAAGATCCTCAACATGTTAGCACGATTATTTTTTGGTTGAACCCTCTTGCTTGCAAGATTCCTTTGTTCCAATTTGCACTGCTCGTTGGTTAAGTGCACATTGTTGGGTACATGTCCACTTAACAATAAAGCAATCCTAGTTGCATTCCATGTTTTCGCTTACTATGAATTCCTGTTTTCGTTGGTGTGTCACACCTGCATTCCATGTGTTTAGAGAATTTATCTCGTAGTGACAGTCTCCAATTAGCCAAACCCATGTGCTGATCAGTCTGGGATGTGTACTTTCGTATAAAGAATTGATATCATCGGCTCTAAATGGGGATAAATCAACTTATTCAGCTGAAAAAATATTCAACATGTGTGCAGGTTTATCCTCCTGTACTCATGGCTAGCTTTATGTTCTCCTCCATAGCTTTTCCTAATGATTTTTAACTTGAAAAAATGCAAAAAAAAAGGAAAACACATGGAAAATCAAAAAGCACAACTTCAAAACTCAAAAAAACGGAAGCAAAATACATGGGAAAAAAAGGAACGTCAAAAAGGGGAATAACATGGGAAAAAAAAATGAACTTGTCCATTTGCATTTTTTCAGTTATTTTGCTTTTTTGATTTGCTGTTTTTTTTGCTTTTATTTTGCATTTGTTTTGCTTTTTTCCAGGCAGAAAGCAAAATAAATGCAAAATAAAAGCAAAAAAAACAGCAAATCAAGAAAGCAAAATAAATGCAAAAAAACTGCAAATGGACAAGACCATGTTTTCCACATGTTTAACCCCTTTTTGACTTTCCTTTTTTTCCCTTTTTGTTCCCCTTTTATTTTGCATTTGTGTTTTTTGAATTTTGCTGATGTGCTTTTTGTTTTTTCCTTTTGTTTTGTGCATTTGTCTCGTTTTTTTTCAAGTTTGTTGATTCTTAGAATAAGCTATGGTCTGGTGAACATAAGGCTGGCTGGAAAATCCCCAATTTATGGAGGTTTATAGCTGGGGAAATCATCTGTAAATGGTGTATTATCAATCATATCAATTGCATTCAATTGCTATGTTTGAGTACCAGATGGTATCAAACCATATTCACACGTCATGAAATATCATATTATATCTGATTATATCCCCAGAAAAAGCACCATTCGTTTGCAGCGTTTGAGTTGGTTATGTGTAGCCCAAGATTTACTGGCCCTGTAGCTAAGATCGTCCAAGAGCCAGCGTGCTGGCCCAGGTCTCGCGAAGACATTGCAGAATTCGACAGTGTCGTTGCCTCGAAAGATCCACTGGACATCAGGCGCCCCATGGGGACGTATTGGGTACAACGGCAATGTAAAACCCACCAGTTGAGACATAAGCCCTAATAAGCCCTATGGTTATACAACCACTTAAAAATGTTAAAAGTTGTTAAAATACGGCTATATAGTTGTATAACCACTTAGGTGTTATGACACCATAGTTGGGTGTGAAAATTTCACCAGTTGGGAGGTTTGGGCCCACCAGGTCAAAAAAAACATACACTTCACTTAGTGTGGAACTGCACCACCAAGTATCAAGGGATATCATGGGATATAGTCAAATTTGTAACCAACAATATGATATCTGTTGAACAAGTTATTCAATTAACGGTGATTGCACCATGAAACAGTGGGTCTAACCATCAAACATATGGAGATATCATTGATAAATGATGCTCGGTTGGCAGGGCGGTGGAGGTATAACCCAGACACACTGGGGGTGTAACATGATGTAACCCAAGATTTCCCATTGTTCGGGATGATCATCACCTAATTATTTGTGTGTTTTTTCCATGTGTTGAAGTGGGCTTGGAACCAGCAACCAGCAACTGGCCAGATGAGCATTTCAAGAATCACAAGTGAACCACAAGTGGTTGATGAAGCTGATGAAGACCTACTACGGTATTTTTACATGGCTATGCAAATGGCCCAATGCATGATTTGGTGTTTTTCCGTGCAAACTCTGTCAGATGACCAGAGGGATCCAGCTCCCGATTCGTGCGGTACCCATGTAGAACATCGCATCCAAATTTGTTTCAACATGGTCATCCCAGGAATCGAAACAGCGCAACACAAGCGCAAGTTTCACCAAGTTGTTCTTAAACATACCCGGCCTGGTAAACATACAAAAAACTATGGAAAATCACCATGCTATTTATGGGTAAATCCACTATTTCTATGGATATTTTCGAGTTCGCAAACTGTTTGTTTACCAGGCCGGGTAACCTGAGTGGATGGATAACCATCTGCAACGTGCCCCTTGCCATTTGTGACACGGGAACCACGTAGGTAGGATCACAAAAAAAACGCACTTCCGAATGGATGTGCAGTTAGTACGTGGTTGATAATCATAGTATAAGCCATTTATCGGATATACAGAGGATTATCCTTGAGTAATCAAACATAGCAATGGCAAAATGGCTTCTTTATACATGATTTTCCCAGTAAAAGATCTATTTATAGTGGATTTCCCATCGCTACATTTGATCTACATTTGATTACTGGAGGGTATTTGTGTGTTTCCATATGTTGCAGTGGATTTGTTTGACCATAATGATATTTGACCATAATATATTATAATGATAGAATAACCATAATATAACTGTATAATCCAGATTAAATATGATTATATCATAACTATAATGGTGTAGTTATTGTTGTATAGTTATAGATAGTTACTGTATAGCCTTGCCATTACACTATAACCATGATGATATCATAACTATTATATTATAATGATCCTAACCCATCAATAATGGTAGTTAAAGCCTATAAAACTTTTAGACTTGACGGTCTTAAGTCCCATTAAAATACCATTCCATAACCAGTCAACTACGATATGTAAAACTATGCCATACCCCACAATATATCCATATTATATATATATATCCCATTCCTTTGGATTATATAATATGATTGTATAGTGTTTTGAGTAATCACGCCACTTCCCCAAACTAATTCATGGTGAAATCCCCATAAATCCATCGACAATGGTATCTGGTTGGTTTCAAACATGGCTTTTATTGTCCATTTCATATATGGGTTGTCATCCTTCCCATTGACGAACTCATATTCTTCAAGATGGTTATTGCACCACCAGCCAGTCTATTATATCCCCTATTGTTCTCCTATTTTGGGATTTTTTGGGTAAATTTCCATACAGTTACTATATATTTCTATAGTTACCATCTATTTCTATCGCCACCAGCCATAGTTATCCAATATTATCCAATAATTATTCATATGTATGGTTATTGCACCACCAACCAGGTCTGTTTTTCATGGCTCAAATGGCTCCAGGCTGAAACCCTCCGGCCTGTCACATCGCTGGCTACGCACGCGTCGCCTTTGGCGTCACCTCAGCGGCCGGGCCGCTGGGTGGCTGGGTTCCACGAAGGAAATGGCCCTTTGATCTGAGAGAAATCCTCGAAAAAAGGGAAGATGTTCCAGAGGAAACGAAGCTTTATATGTGGGAAAATGAGGGAAAAAAATGTATCAACATGTGGGGAAAATAGATCATCAATGATCATTGTTTCAATAGTAAACGATTTGTTTACTGATTATACTAAGGGACTAAAGCCGAAATGATGTTTTTTTTCAGCCAAGCATTTTCTGCATGGCAAAGAAATGGGAATGGGGGTTGCTGGGTGAAGTTGATAGTTAGCCAGTGGATCATTCCCGAAAAACGAGCACAAGTAAGCTTACTTCAATCTGGATTCAAATGAGATACTGGTTGGTGGTTTGGAACATTTTTCATTTTTCCATATATTGGGAATTTCATCATCCCAACTGGTCCCGACTCCATCATTTTTCAGAGGGGCAGGGCTCAACCACCAACCAGATTATTATTAACCATCATTATCCATATAATAACCATTAGTATATTGACCATTAATATTGACAGTATATTACCAACCAATGGTAGGTTGAAACCACCAACCAGACATTTGTGTTTCGTCAAAATTCCATGATGGCTCGGATCTTTTGAGCCCCAACATCAATGCAGGAACGGAATTGGAGAAGTACGACTGGTTTTGCGTCTTTGATGATGGCGGCTTTCCCATTATCGAAGCTTGACGTGCTTGGGGAATGGGGAATGGGCTGTGACTGTGCCAAGAACCCATTATATCATTTATACAATTTTTATATCAATTATATCCGTTGTATTCCCACCCATTGACCAACATTACACCGGTATTTTGGTTGACTACCTTAAGATAATCAAACATGGCAGTGGAAATGTCCCCATTTTTCTCAGGGGCAAATCACGCATACATTGGACAAAAGGGAGGATTTTCCCTCACCACAATGAAACAACCATCTACACTCCCTAATCCAATCCTGGCAACAGAAAATCACTTCATTTATGTATATGATATATATATATATATACATACTTATACATATGGATATAGATTTACAGATGATTCTCTCATTCCAAATTTTTCAGATATTCCATCGGCCACGGAGCAGACCGTTATCTCACCTTGGTGATGCGATTTTTTTCCCAGCGGTGTTCCCTGTGGATTGTCCAGTGATCATCCAATTACCATCCAGTTATCAAGTTATCATCCAATTAGTAGCCAGTTGTCAGTGAAACTGGATGATAACTTGATGATAACTGGATGATACCAGTTTTCAGTTATCATCCAGTTATCATCAATTTGTCTTTTCAGGTTCCAGGTATTGGTTTTGCTTTTTTCTTTGCTCTTCCTGTGGTCCTGCGTTTCAGGAAAATCTGCGACCGCTCGTGCGGCATCTGTCGCCTGATGATGCGGTGATGATGTCGGATCGAGACAGGCCACTGGACAAAAGCTACGCAGAAGTGGATCCCAGTGAAGAACTGGAGAATCGTTGGAAAATAACTCGACAATCTGAGGATATCAATTGAATTCAATTGATATATATATATATATATATGTATATTGTGAATTCTCTAATCCATAATCACCTTCCAGCCGGGGTCATTCAGCCGTGAGTCGTGTCCCTCTTTTTGACCATGTCTGCCAAGGGGAAATCCGACATCAACTGATGTCTATCGTGGGCCGTTCCCGCTCAAAAGCCCATGAGGGGGTTTTGGTGCACGCTGAGTGCCAGGTAGAAAACAAACGCTTGGGGCGAGCGTCGGGCGCCATAGGTGTGGCATTTGGTATAACTTCAGGTGGTTCATTGGCGTGGACATCTACTCTTTCTCAACTGGTGCAGATCCCTACCTTTGTTGGACGCCCAATCCACATTGGTAGCGGAGCTGTGTGCTCCTCAGGTGCTCCCTGGAATCTGAAACAATCCGGTGGTTGACAGTTTCTGGAAAGCAAACCTTGGGAAAATCAATTTTCTTGTGCTTTCGGTGCCACGTCATTTTGACTGCACCCTGACTGGTGAAAAAGCCCTGGAAAGGAGTTGATCCAGTGGAAGTTTTTCTGTACATCCAGCGGTGTCCAACATGGCTGAAGGTGAGGGTCAAGGTGTTTCGTCACAGTCCTCGACCGGACATGGCACAGCATCACACCTTCCTTGGCACCTCATACCATCTTTTGAACCTGGTGAAACGGATTTGACCGAGTACACGAGACGGCTTGAGTTTCTTGCAGGAATTTGGCCTGTAGAACATCTGAACCAATTGGCACCCAGAACCGCACTGCAATGCAAGGGTTCTGCCTTCCAAAAGGTTGTCAGAGTTCAACCTGATAAGCTCAAGGTCAATGATCTCTCTGGTGTTCAGTTGCTGGTATCTACACTTGGGGGTGTTTGGGGCAAAACAACCCTCGAAGATAAGTATGAGAAGTTTGAACGGGCCATCTACGGCCTTAGTCAACGTTCGGATGAGAGCAACGAGAGCTACATGGCCAGGCATGAGATTGTTTTTGAAGATATGATTTCACAAGGTGCAAGTCTTTCGGACGTTCGTGCCTACATCCTACTCAGGAACAGTGCCCTTTCTGCTGAAGACAAGAAACGCGTTGTGATCGAGGCCAAAGGCAATCTCAAATATGAGTCAGTCACCCAGGCTATCCGGATGCTTGGTGCAAAGTTCTTTCTGGAAGTGCAAGGACACACAAAGTCCTACCGTGGCAAGACCTATGAGGTCAATCATGTGCAAGAAATGGAAGAAGAAACCCTGCCCTATGACGATTCCAGTTTTGCCTTTTCAGTGGATGCCTCTGATGTTCCAGACTCAGTGCTGGAATTACTGCTGGCCGAAGGAGATGAGGATGCATTGGTTGCACACCAATTTGAAGAGGCACTGATTGACACGATGCAAAGTGATCCTGAGATGACAGCACTCATGGGAACATACCTTGATGCCCGCAGAAAGCTCACCGAGAAGTCCAAGAACCGAGGCTTCTGGCCTATCCGTTCCAAGGGTGCTGGAAAGAAAGGAAAGTTCAAGATGTCCTCCTTTCGATCCCGAAAGCCACTTGCTGTCCGGATTGCCGAAAGTGAATGTAGAAACTGCGGACAAAAAGGACATTGGAAAGCCGAATGCCCAAAGAGGCTTCCTAGTCAGTCTGCAGCCGGCATGCCAAAGTCCCAGCCAACCAATATGCTGATCTCTGCCAGTGGTGTCGATGACGAGGATGAGGATGTCTTTTTGATGGAGCCGACCGGATCTGTCTTGTCTGATGTCGTTGTCGTAAGCCAGGACCCCGGGGTGATCAAAAGGGTTTCACACTCCCAAAACTGTTTTGTTAGTTGGTCTCATAAGGGTAATCCTTCCTATAAGGGGCAATACTATAAGCAAGTCTGCCAGAGGCTGGAAAAACTGTTTCAGGGTTCTGCCAAAGCACATCCATCCAGGATGACGCCAAGTGAACCACTGCAGCCGTGCGAAACCCCCTCTGAAAAAGTAGACGTCCGTGATTTCCAGAGCCGAAGCGCTTTGCCTAGATCGGATCATGCTGAGTTGTTGCAGAAGCCTGATGTGAGACCCAAGACTATGACCGACAGTCTGTTGGAACAGCCGTGTGAAACCATGTTTGCCACTGCCAAAACTCTAGGTATCCTGGATCTAGGTGCTTCACAAACAGTGATGGGCCGACATCAGCTTGATGAATTCATGCGTGGCCTGCCTGAATCTGTCCGCAGCAAAGTTTTTGAGCAGCCAGTGGAGATGTCTTTTCGCTTTGGAAACAACAGTGTGGTCCCGTGCAATAGAGCCATTTTTGTTCCCATTGACAAGTTCTGGATCAAAATTGCTATTGTTGAGTCTCGCACCCCATTCCTAATTTCCAACAATGTGTGCCGGAATTTAGGAGCGATTATTGACACCAACAACCAAAGCATTCGATTTCAGAAACTGAACTGCGAATTGCCACTTCAGCTGTCGGGAAGAAAGCTCTTCCTGCTAGACTTTTGTGACCTTGCTGCACAGAGACCACCTCAGACACCGACGATGCCTGAAAAATCAGCGAGTGCTGAAGATCGCATTTTTTCCTGTTTGGAAGACCAAGAGCCGCAGAAGCTAAACAATCAGCCAGAACCGGCCATTGAATCTCATGAGTTGGTGAACCTTGAAGAACACAAGCCGATCATTGAACATGCGACATGTCCCATGATCAGCAGTTTGGCCAGTGTTCCCCAGTCTCGCCCTGTTTGTGCTCAGTCCGCATCCAAAGAATCTCATGGCGAATCGCTCCCTAGCCGATCGATTTCAGATGATCCAGACGACTCAGACCAAGCATGCCCAAGAAGATCGTCTGATGTCAATGAGCTTCGAGGAAATGGGCAAGCTCACCATCCGTTTCGGAGAGAGCAAGGTGGGCCAACAGTACAGCGAGGTTGTCCAAGAGGATCAGAAATACTGTCAGTGGTTCATCCGCAAATTTGCGGAGTTGAGCAAGCGGGAGCATCGCGAGTTCCTGCACTATCTCAACCTCTATGTGGAGAGGAAGGAGCTCGAGGTGATTGGACTAGACCATGCAGCCCCAAAGTCCCAAGCCAAGCCTCCAAACAAGACCAAGGCTGGCATGGCACATGGGAGCCAATCCAATGGCCCATCGATGATCGACCTGGATCCCGAGGACGAGACCTGGGATCAAATCAGTGCTCAGGGCATGATCACCGAAAATCGCAACTCGCAGCGTCTGGATGTGATCGAGGATGCCCTCTCGCAGATCATGACCCAGCTCCAAGTACTGACGCAAGTGACTCAGAGCCCCAGCCTTGCGTAGCCGATCATGCCACGACTTTAATGCTGCAGCGATGTTTAGAAGAAATCCAGAATGCCAGTTCCAAGACTGATCCAACTTATCACCTCAACCAGGAACCACAGCAAAACCCCTACAGGAATGAAATCTTTGATGAATTGTTACTGTTTGGTAAACATCATGGTTTTCTTGATGCAAATAATAAGATTCTGATGAGCCAACAGCCATTGATTGATTGCCTGGAAGTGTATTGTTCGGATGAAAGCCAACTCACTCACCAATGTCGTCAACAAGGTCTTCGTGCAATGCGATTCACTCTCAAAGACGGTGATTTGGGGACATGGGAGGGGCGCCAGAAACTGTATCACGTGATCTTTCGCTATCGACCCCGAAATATTTGGGTTTCTCCAAGATGCAAAGCCTGGTGCAAATGGAATCAATTTAATGCCTCAAAGTCCGCTGCAGCAGCACAGAAAGTCATGCTGGCCAGGGAAGGTGACGAAGTGCATCTCCAGCTGTGTGAAGCTGCGTTCCTACATCAGCATCGGATGGGCACTGCATTTCATTTTCACTTGGAACAGCCAGTAGGATCAGACATGCTGTATGAAACTCCAATGCAATCGATTGTAGAATGCTTGAAACGCATCCGATGTGATCTCTGCAATGCAGGCAATCTCAAACATCCAGTCAGCGGAAAACCCCTTCAGAAGGGTACACAAATTTTCTCGTCATCCATGATCATGTCTCGCAGTTTGGAACAACTCAGATGCCCTCGCAATCATGAACATGAACACGTAGCGGGGAGCTTTGTCAAAACCAAAGGACAACGATGTCTTACATCCGAGTACACCGAATTGTACACAAAGACTTTTGGTAGACACCTTGCAAAAGCCATGAAAGCCAGTAGTATGACTAATGAAAAGGCTCTGGGGTGTCCTTTGCTCATGTTCCATAGTCACCATGGAGAGAGAAATGGCCCTGATGAGGGTGAATCGGACGTCAAGCGCCGTCGATTGAATGCCAAGACAACCAATCCGGCAGGATATCCAGAAACCGCTGTACCAAAGGATCCTGATGCATGTCCTGCAGGCCAAGTGGTGCCTCCAGCAAGTTCCCAAACTGACCTGCAACAGGAGATTTTGATGAAAGCCTTGAAGATTGCCCCCCGGGTTGGAAAGATGGTTTTAGAACGTGGTGAACTTTTTGAAGAACTCCAGATGTTATTCCCTGAGTATCGCATCCGAGTTATCGAATTGTGCAAGGGGACTGATCGTTTTCGAAAACCTCCTGTGCGATTGGTCTCTCAAGAAGCACCATGGAGACTGTCCTTAGGTTTGCACAGACACCAGCTCGAGACCGTAGATTTGGGTCCATGGATGCAGTGGCAAGGCCTCAGCAACCGAGAGCTTTGTAGCAAGTCACCACCCTTAAGACTACTCATCTCTGTGTTTGCACAAAAGACCATTCCTAACTCGAGTGAAGAGAAGGCGCCTCCAAGTCAAAGTTTTGAGGGTATGAATCCAGATGATACCCAGGACAGCCCTGTAAAACCACAAGAGATTGTCCAGCCTGAGACCCACGGAGCAAAAACCGAAACGAATGAAAACAGGGTCTTGGAGCCAGTTCCCGAAGTCAAAGTTCAATGTTTATCACATGGTCCAAAATTTCGGATGCTTTCCAAAGAACAACAAAGTTGGATTTCCAAAATCCACCACAACTTAGGACATCCTAGTGCTCAGAAACTGCAGAATGTACTCAGACACCAGGGCTATGCAGATCACATAATTCAAGGAATCATGGATTTTCGCTGTAATACATGCCATGAAACACAGAATCCCAGGATTGCTCGACCTGCAACCTTGTCTGACGTGCGTGAGTTTAATGATTGTGTTGGGTGTGATCTGATTACATGGACCTCCAAGTCCGGAAAGAATCACCAATTCATCCATGTTGTGGATAGCGCAACAAATTTCCAACTTGCCATGCCAGTGTTCAGAACGGATGCTGAGAGCCTGTTTGAAGCATACCAGAATGTCTGGACCCAATGGGCAGGACCATGCAAACAACTGGTCATCGACAATGCGTCAGCGCTATGCTCTGAACAGTTTTCACAGTTCATGCAAGGCCAAGACACACACCTACGGGTTGTTGCTGCTTATGCTCACTGGCAGATGGGTAAGACCGAACGACATGGTGAAATCATCCAACAAATGTTGAAGAAGTACGATCATGATCAAAGAATTGAAACTGCAGAAGATTTTCAACAAGCCATCCGTCAGTGTTGTCAAGCCAAGAATGCACTATCAAGGGTAAAGGGATACACCCCAGAAATCTTAGTTCTTGGGAAAAGCCGACCACTTCCTGGGAGCGTATGTGAAGATGTTCCAACAGCTTCTCAATTTCTGGCTGACAGTGACACGCCTGAAGGCATCCAGTTCCGACAGCAACTTTTGAAGCGTGAGTGTGCTCGAAAGGCATTCGTGGAAGCTGACAACTCAGAGCGGCTGCGCCGAGCCTTTCTCCGAAGACAACGCCCAGCCCGAGGCTTTTTCACGGGTGGACTGTTTGTGATGTTCTGGAGACCGGGTCGTGGAGAACAAGCCGGTCAGTGGCATGGGCCTGCCAAAGTCATCATACAAGAGTCCCAACATGTTGTGTGGATTTCCCACTCCAGCCGTGTGTATCGAGTAGCTCCTGAACATGTGCGTTGCCTTTCCGAGAGAGAAGCGGTCCAGCATCAAATATCAGATCCGCAAAAGACAGATGAAAATCCTCAGATCAGCAGTGGGAAAGGAGTGTTTCAATATGAAGACTTGACGGACAATATCCACCAAAATCACCCTACAGCCATAGACCATGAGACCATTATCATGCCCAATTCCAACATACCACCAATGCCTGACAGTTCTATGCCGGAACAACCAGACTCCGAACCCAGTGACCTGCCAAATGAAGCCATACCAAGATCACCATCCAATGCATATACACCCACAACTCCCATGAGCAACCCACCATTAGATAACCAGCAGAACGAAGAAGTCACCGACCCGAAAGATATCCCTATTCCAACTGATGATGATGATGACGAACTTGTAGCTGTTGACTACTGGTTAGTCCAAAAAGATAAGCTCATTCGTGTCCATCAAAAACCTCGATATGATGCCTTTGATCCGAGCCAATGCTGCGACTGTCCAGTGGACATCCTGTGCGTCAGTGGAGAAAGATTTTCAACTGGCAATGCGGCAGACCAAGAACTGTGGTCACATCATGACACGTGGGGAGAAGATGACAGCAATTGGCATGTTTCCCAACCCTGGACTGGAGTGACAATTTTTTCTATCATAGACGTCAACAAGGCCGAACGAAAGATGCCAGAAGTGGAAGATGTCTTGCATGTAGAGAGTCACCAGGGTCTAGTATGTGAAATCTTCTTCTCCCAAGAAGATGTCGATGCGACCATCCGAGAACCGGAAAATTTGCCTGTTCTGCTAGCATCCGCAGCCAAGCGACAGCGTGCTGAGGTCAAGGTCAAAGACTTGAGTCCAGAGGAAGTGAAACAGTTTCAAGGGGCGAAAGAAAAGGAAATAGACCAGTGGCTAGCCACCGAAACAGTAAGAAAGGTCTTGCGAAATCAAATCCCAGAGAAGAATATCCTTCGTGCCCGATGGGTTCTTACATGGAAAGAACTAGATCCAATTGCCAGCGCTGCAGAGGGATGCACTCGAAAGGCAAAAGCTAGACTTGTCATTCTCGGTTATGAAGATCCGGATATCACCTCAATCCCAAGAGACTCACCGACTCTTCAGAAAGAATCCCGATCTTTGTTGTTACAACTGTGTGCATCCCGAAAATGGCAGATTCAAAGCTTTGACATAAAGACTGCATTTCTTCGAGGGTCAAGAAGAGATAATAGACAACTGGGTTTAGAACCTCCTAATGAACTTAGAACCAAACTCAAGCTGAAAGACAATGAAATTTGCGAACTCCTTAAATCAGCCTATGGTTTGGTGAATGCCCCATATCTGTGGTATCAAGAACTGCGTGAAGCCTTGTTGCAGCTCAATTTTACCATCAGTCCACTGGATCCTTGTCTCTTTGTCCTAGCCAGCCCAGATGGATATGTACACGGAGCCATTGGAATGCATGTTGATGATGGATTGTGCTGTGGCGATAGCAAGTTTGCGACAGTTCTGGCCCAACTTGAAAAGCGTTTTCCCTTTGGTTCCAAGAGAGTCGGAGATTTTACCTTCACTGGTATTCATGTCCAACAGGATGAGGATCACAACATACATCTTGACCAAATGGCATATGTACAGAACATAGATCCCATCAAAGTTGAAAGAAATCGCCGGAAACTCGAACAGGAATCAGTGAATGAAGGTGAACGTCAAGGACTCAGAGGCTTAATTGGATCCTTACAATATGCTGCCACAAACACACGTCCAGACATTGCCGCTAGATTGAGCTTTCTTCAATCCAAGATTAACTGTGCGAAAGTAGCAGACCTTCTTGATGCAAATCGTTTGCTGGGAGATTCCAAGAAACACAGTGATGTCAAGATCACAATTTCCAGCATTCCAGAAGAACAAATCCGAATGGTAGCCTATTCAGATGCTTCTTTTGCCACTAGGGAAAAACAACAAAGTCAGAAAGGAAGCCTGATCTTAGCAGCCCATGAGAAGATTTTTCATCAGAAGGTAGCAATGGTCAGCCCTTTATCTTGGTCATCAAAGAAAATTGATCGTGTAGTGGCAAGCACTCTGGCGTCAGAGACTTTTGCGCTGTCTCATACGGTAGATGCATTGAACTGGATCCGCTTGGCCTGGGAATGGATTCGGAACCCTTTGACTCCATGGCAAAGACCGGAAGAAGTGTGGAAATCAACACACCCTGGCATAGCAGTTGTAGATTGCAAATCCCTGTATGATGTGATCACCAAGAACACCACTCCCCAATGTCAGGAACATCGAACCTTAATCGAAGCACTTGTCATCAAAAGTAACCTCAATACTGGTATCCATCCCCACTGGGTCCATAGTGCCGCACAGCTTGCAGATGCTTTGACAAAACACATGGACAGTTTTCGATTGCGCGAGTTTCTCAAACACCGACAGTGCTGTTTACACGACGTAGACGAAATCCTCAAACAAAGAGCTGACAGAAAAGCCCAAAAACACTGGCTCTCAGAAGCCATAATGCCTCAACCCTCCTCAGGGATGCATGCAAACGGATGTCAATCCTGGTAATAGTAACAACATTAGGTTTTGAGTTAATTAAAACTTTTAATAAAGAAAATTTTGGGAGTGTGAATTCTCTAATCCATAATCACCTTCCAGCCGGGGTCATTCAGCCGTGAGTCGTGTCCCTCTTTTTGACCATGTCTGCCAAGGGGAAATCCGACATCAACTGATGTCTATCGTGGGCCGTTCCCGCTCAAAAGCCCATGAGGGGGTTTTGGTGCACGCTGAGTGCCAGGTAGAAAACAAACGCTTGGGGCGAGCGTCGGGCGCCATAGGTGTGGCATTTGGTATAACTTCAGGTGGTTCATTGGCGTGGACATCTACTCTTTCTCAACTGGTGCAGATCCCTACCTTTGTTGGACGCCCAATCCACAGTATATATATATATTATTATATGTACATGTACATATTTGTACATAATATGTACATTTTACACACACGCATCCACAGAAGTGCTGCTTTGTGAGCAGAATTCAGGACGAGATAAGACCCTAGGAGTCGACCTTCATAAAGGGTGGTGCCCCTGAAAAGTTCGTTTTCGTTGGTTTAGAAACGTCATTAAGGGATACTAAGTGTCGATATGTGTTGATATATCTACCATTATCTACCATTAAACCCCAGAAATTTTGAGTTATGAAGCAACCCAGCCAACTATGTTGCACCATCTTGTAGGAGTGGTTGAGCAGTTAGTTATCCTCCGGCCATCAAACATGGCAATGAAAATCCCCCATTTATAGATGAATTTCCCATAAACAAATCTCCATTTAGTTCGGAATTTTCCCAGCCATCTTTGATTACTCAAGGGTACCACGTGTTTGCGCAGTGATATCACATGGGTTCAGTAGAACCAATTTTTTCATGCTGCAAGACTCTCAGGATGGGGCCCCCCAGTGATGTGAATGTTGGTTTATAAGCCATGAAATTTTCCCCATGAATACTAGTTCGTTATATCTACCATAAACCATAGAATTGTTAAGCCACTTATAAACCAACTGAACGCGAGCTCGACTGGGGGCCCCATCCTGCAACAAACACTGTAATTTCCAATTGGAGGGTGAAAATATTAGGTGAAATAGGGAAATCCACATTGGGATGTCAAAATCTGGGTCATTTAGGCTACTCCCATTGTTTTTTCCGGAGGGAATACTGCACTGGCACGTGCACCCATGATTTCCAGTGGACCAGAGGTTTTCCTCTACCCTCTGGTTATGACTAACATAGCCATGGGAAATGGCCCATTTATAGATGGTTTACCTATTAAGAATGGTGATTTTCCATGGCTATGTTAAATAACCAGATGGTAAATGTTCAGATAAATCCATTTTTTCCCACTATTATCCTATTATTTTCCCACTATAGTGATAAACCTACCATTTGGGAATGGTTTATACCACGCATCTATGTAAATTATTCGGAATTATTGGGGATAGTCTAATTATTGGGCTTACCGAATAATTCTCTCACCATTCTCCCATGAGTTTCCCACTATTACCCGTATTTTCCCACTATTTTACCACTATTTTCCCACTATTTTGCTGCTATCCTATTGTGAAAAGCCACTGGTTTCGGTGAAAACCTACTGCATTTGTTCAGGCCTGCAGCTTTTGGATCGCTGCTGAGTCGTGGTGCCGTACGAGTGCTTCAGGCGCACCAGAGCCAGGGGATGGGTCAAAACTGTGGTACCCTGGGTACCCTAAAATAGCTGGTGAATGGATGTTGATTCCCGAGGATATGGCAATAGGTTTTGACCCATCCCTATTTTACTTCCCCTAGGGACGTCAAAAGTCGTTTTGCCAAGTCGTAGACACTCTCTGAGGAGTGATCAATTCGGAAAACAATATGAAATTACGATATAGTTTATGTATATTTACGTGTGTTCACCATTCATACCGAACATTTTTTGGCATTATATATGAACTATACCTTGGATCACTCCTGAACCCTGGTTTCTTGGGGTGCTGAAAATTTTGGGGGAGGGATTGTTGTGGTTAATAATCATGGTGACCTCACGTCGCATTACCCTGTGGTAATCCACCATAGCTATGGACAAGTCAGTGGGAATGGCTCATACCCAAGCCAATCGCTGCTCAATGGTGTTTTAATCTTAACCAAAGTTTAACAAGTAATAGTATCATTAAATATCATTAACCTAAATATCATTTAAGGTATCTAAATGAATCATTGAACTATATATTAATGTCATATCTTATGAGCTTCAAGTAATAATCATCACTATCATGACTGGTTGGTGGTTTCAAATATGGCTTTTATTTTCCGTGATATATGGGTTGTCATCCTTCCCATTGACAAACTCATATTTTTCAGGATGGGGTTGAAACCACCAACCAGTCATCATATCACCCCGGCGCCGCATGTTTTCGCGTCAGGGGTTGTTGGACAAAGATCGCCACTGCCCCCGGCCCACCAAGCAGCAACCGCTGACAAAGCTGCAGGCAGGAGCAGTGGCGACCCCTGAGGATGAGGGGGATATCACCATGGTTTGAACCATGGGCTTCGAACCAGAAAGGAATACATGGGGATAATCCTCTGGTAATGACTAAAAGTCTGCGAACTTGAACATAGCCATAGAAATAGGTGATGTTCCCATTAAAAGCATGGTGATTTGCCATAGCTATGTTAGTTTACCAGAGGGTAATCATTGAATGTTATGAATGATATGACATATTTGACTCATGATGTTGCAAATTCATGATTCTTTTTTGGCTTGTACTATCGAGTTAGGGATGAGCCCATGATCCATGAACTGGTGAATCCTATTTAACCAACCAGTAGACATATCCGAGATATATTTGGGGATTTTATCAGCAAGAATAAGGATGAAACCAATGGATAGTGGGATCTCTTATAGGATAAAAGGAGATATCTAATCAACAAGATATTTCGACGTGTTTGTAGTTATGGGATATACCTTTCCAGTTATGCGAAGGGATTTAGGGATAGCTGATGACCCAATTATAATTAACCATCCCCAAATTTTTACTAGCTGGAATGAACCACCTCCAAATTGGTGCTTGATGATTGCGTTTACCACAATAAAAGCATCCTTGAGCGCCTTTTCAAGATGAGTTTCCTCCGGCTAGGATTTGAAGCTATGTCCCCATCAGAATTAGTCCCATACTCCTGCAAAAAAATAATGGAGATCATTTTCTTACTTCGATTGTCCCTAAATCCCACTCATCACCATTCACATGAATCCTATATTTATCCAAATTTATCCATATCTATCCATGTTTATCCATATTTATATGGCCATGAATATTTATCCGTATTTCATACTAATTTATGGGACATTCACCGTATTGATCCATATTTCTCCCCATGAATGTCCCATCTGCACAGCGGCTGGAGGCGTATTCCACGCTGTGGAGCTGCTTAGTGCGTCACTTGCTGGGGATAGGGGGGATGATCCCGTAAGGAACTATCTCTAAATACACCATTCTTTTGTGGAATAAGTGTTGAAAAAGGTAACCATATAGATTTATAGTGCATATAGATTTATAGTGCATATAGATTTATAGTGTAATTAATATAAGTGTTCGAACAGTTTATACCCTTCATCAGCCGTTCATCAACGTTAATCACGTTAGTCCTTAGTCACCCCTGGTTCGTGGCCAAGGTGCTCCTGACGTCCGTCGCATCACCTGGGACCAGCCCGACATGCGACACCTCTTAGGTGAGGATCAGCCCAGGGTTTTCATCATCCGATGTGGTTAAACATACAAAAATCGATGGAAAATCACCATTTTTAATAGGTAAATCAACTATAATTAAATGGGCCATGTTTAATAGCTATGTTAAATAACCAGAGGGTAACCAGAGGGTAATCCATAAAACCAGATAACTATGGAAAATCACCATGTTTATAGCTGGGTAAATCAAGAAACATCAACAAACTACATGGTCCATCTATAGCATAGCTATGTTAAATTACCAGAGGGTCATATTCATGATTCATCCATTTGAAATATTGGGATGAAATTTGGACACGATTCATTCCTCATCGGTTATTATTTAGAACATGATTTGGAAAGTATCAATCGCAATTTTCCTTTGAAACATGTTTCACTATGTTTCACTATGTTTCACTATGTTTCACTATGTTTCACTATGTTTCACTATGTTTCACTATCATCATTTGGATACTTTCAGACTATCAGTGACTATCGTTTGATAACAACTGTTGGATTGTTGGGTTCGTCTGAAAATTTAGGTGAAACCTTTATCCGATTCCAATGGATGATCATCAAACTCAAGTTGGAAAACTTGGAAAAATATGTAGAATCGAAGTAGCATTCCTAGAAACACGTGTCGTTTTTTTTTGGGGTGCTATAACGGAGATTCATGAAAATTAGCCATGAATATGCGTGATTTGTGGATAATGCTCAATGGTATCCAACAATTCTCAATAATGGTTTTTTTCTTTTTAAAAATGATGTTGGTCATGTGGGATTTGTTTCAAGTATCATATACATAGGTATATTCTGATGGATATTCATTGATAATCAGTAGATCAGTAGAAAAAAGAACGGAAGCAACACATGGAACCAAAGGGATCGAAGTTGATTTGACAGCCGAGTAGTGTCTATGCAGATTAGGACGTCCAACTGGGTTTCCTCGACATGATGTCACTTCCAGTTTCCAAAGCATTTTGGCAGTCCAGCCCAGAAATTGTTTTTTTTATAATTTTCACCAAAAATCCTATAGTCAATCTCTTAGCATCTCCTATAATTCCCCTCCAAAAAATAATCCAACCTATTTGATTTCCCAGTTCAGTTGAAAAGTCACACTTTTCTTGCGTTGGTGCTGCAGGTTGCCAAGATGGTGATGAACCAGTGCTGAACTTCAAGGTGTTGAGCTTTATCGGAGAGATTTTTGTGGGTTTTGTTGGTAGACTGTTCTTCTATAAATGGACCATTTTTCCCAAGCTGCTGTTGATTAATGGATATGAACGCTTATTAATCGCATGATTTTGATATGCGCTAAACCCTATGATGAATGGGATTCCCTTTGGTAGACTTAGCAATGGAAGCCATGGCCATTTAGTTCCTTTAGCTAGATAATAGCTGGTTGGTGGTTTGGAACATGTTTTTTTCATATATTGGGAATACTCATCCCAACTGACTTTCATATTTTTCAGAGGGGTTGAAACCACCAACCAGATAGATTTCGTTTTAATGGTGGGTTTTCCACTGCTGGGAAATTCCCAGTGGCTATCCCACACTCCTAAAAAAGCTGGTTCCGCATAAGTGTGATTAACCTGCCATAAACCACTAGCATTTGGGGATGGTTTCTACCACCGATGGTCATATTGGGGATGGTGTGTGTGTTTTCGGCTTGGGATGATGATTTGCCCTCTGGTAAACGAACAATTTGCTATTGGAAATGGCTATTTATAGTTAACATACCTATTTAAATTGGCGATGTTCCGTAGTTATGTTGGTTTACCAGAGGGTAAGAACTATTTGAACTGATTCTTGAATGAGTTTGCCCAAAAATGCAGGGGATATGCAGGGGTCAACCTACAATATATGACTATTTCATTGGGAAAATCATGCTAAGCCTCTAGCTCTTGGTTTTTTTAACCCTCCTGAAAGCAAACATAACAATGGAAAACCCACAATTTGTGGATCACTGTCCTAGGAGAACCCATGGCTTTTCAGCATCTAAAGCCAGAAATGTTTGCCGAAAGCCATGGAGATTTGTTCCCGAGCCACGGATCCCTATCCCAAAAAAGATGGGATTACCCTCTGGTAATTTGTTACAGTTGGCAATTTATATTTGATTTACCTATTAAAAATGGTGATTTTCCAGTTCGCTATGTTAATTTACCAGAGGGTACTGTTCTGGTCAAAGGGTTATGAGGATATAGCAACCCCCAAGCTATGGACCAGTTGCAAGAAGACTTAAAGATTGCATGAAGAAGTTTGAACTTATGATTGTTAAATTTGTTTTATCGATACTAAGCTAACATGTTTTAATGATGCTGGGATCAATTTCGTGATATCATGGATGATTCAGTGGATAAAAATGATGTCACGAATAAAGATTATCGTAAAATATCGTAAATCTGAAAAATGTTAATTCCAATCTATTTTAAATGCCAATGAAAAAAGATGAATAGACCCCATGTCATGCCAATCCCAACAAACCCAACTACTAGAACCCCAAACACCAAAAATTCCAGCATGGTTCCCAAAATTGGCCTATCATTCGGTGGATGGTTGCCAAATCCTGCATCAGTTGATAGCTGGTAAACATCCCACTATTTATAGGGTTTCAACCATCCTTTTGGTGGTGCAGGATTTCGCGACCATCCACAGTATGAGCAGTGTTTAAAACCCCTGTTGTTTGATGATTAGTTTGGATCATCCTTTCTGATATATTGAAAATATTTGGGAATGATCACTATCCAAGAAGCCTACTGACATGGATATAGTAGATCGTGTTGGGACACCGGCAATGTTTGGCAATTAGGGAATCTATGTCATATTATCAGATATTATCCATATTGCCACATTATCCCTTGACAATGTAACACTAAAGATACTAGTTTGCAATCGATCTATCTATCTATATATATATATTATATCCCATTCTATAATATCTATATATATTATAGTATGCCTACATTTACATTCTATTATAGTATCACTATATATATATTGTATATATAGTTCATATATAACCATGTAATGTTTTAGATATTATATTACCATAGATAACGTTATTGCGCTATAATACATTATATATATATGATATACTACCCCATATATGTGAAATATATTATCCATATTACCTTGATCACTACTGTCGCAGGCCCGGCAAGCGGAGCCCTTGTGTCGCTACACGGCCTTTGCCTTTATGATCCCGGAGCCCTCGTGGCATGCAGCGCGGCGAATCAGTCATGTTTCATGGAAAGGTCATAGTAAATCTAGTAGATATGGTAATGGTAAATGATCATAAATATAATATCATAATCTAATATATAGATATCATGTAAACAGATTCTAAAATGATATCATAAATATGAGATCATAAATGGTAACAAGTAATATAATGGTTTTATAAATATATTACATTGTAATTTGTAAATATGAAAGGTCATGTATAAATCGTGTAATATATATATAATGGATCTATGTACACTTAATTACATTTCATGTAAATGATACAAATAATGTAATGGTTTTATTGTAATGTGTAAGTAATGTCTAAATTTAAGTATGACATGGTGTATTTGCACACACATGGTATATGGTACAGATGGTTTATGGTAAATGAAATGATAATCATACATTTAGATTAAGATTAGTTGCATTATTAGCGCATGATACTACTACATTTAATTAGGTATACATATACGTACATTATCATTATATCTTGTACATTATACTATGTATATTTATTTATTCTATGTTTATACCTTGTGTCATATCAGCAAATTTATATTCTATATAGTTCATGATATCTACATTCAATTGTATATATATATGCATATATAATATAAGTACACATGTACCTCTTTACATAGTTCTTGTTACTGTCTGGAAGAGGAACCCAAATTGTTTATTAAAAACATGCTGGTGTACCAAATGGTAAGCATCAAACGATGTGAGATTGATTTATGATTTGACTTGCAACAAATGGATGATGGAAGCCAGTGATTGCAACCAGCAAGAATGGGTGAACAAGTGTAATGAATCAAAATTGAATATCAGCAACAGAACTTGTGATCTATTGAGAGGTTGTCATAATCACTGATTCCATTGATGTAACCAACAAGAACAGGCAGAGTGCACGCACGAAAAATTTCACATCGGACACCCTGAGTTTAATATGGGGTAAAATGGGAGATGATTTTGCATTTCATGGATATGTTTGGAGATGTTTCGATGTGGATTTAGGATGACTTAGGTTTTATTATATAATGTTTTCTATATTTTAGGCTTATTATATTAATGTGTTCCATATGTTTGGATGTTCCATCTTAAATGACCAGCGGACTGGATGACCAAGGCCACCATCCACCAGGTGCTCTACGAAAGCGATCGTTACCAAAAAACCGTTGCGGGCGGCCGCGGAAAGCGTTGGTTTGTAAAGGGGATCACTATGGGTTTGTCGCCAAAGGGTATGATATCTCTCGGATTCTAAGAGTTTGCGAACTGGAAGTCATGGTGAAAAATGAGTTCGATGATTTGGCTTTGAAACATGGTGATTTATCCTATAGCTATGTTGGATTATCAGTAGATCATGTTTGGATTTGTGGTTAAAACACTATTTAAACTATAGTTCAATGGGTAATAAGCCAACTTCTTAGTGGAGGGGACACCACCTTGTAAGTCTTTGGGCGAAGAAACGTTTCAGAAATCTTCAGAAAAATTGGGGGAAATTGAAATGGGTTGGAATCATAACAGTATGAAACTCTGAAGGATTTCTGCTCATATTTCTGCAGAACTGTGCTGGCAGCTTGGACCTTCAGCTTGTACTTTTAACCCTTTACCATTTCCATGGTCCACTACCGCCCTGGAGCATCGACCAACTGTCGGAAGGAGAAAGAGGAGAAATATGAGGAGAACCTGGGAGACTTGTCGCTGCCTCAGATTTTGCTTGCACTTGCTGAAGGCTTCAGTATTTACAGCCATCCAAATACTGAAAAAAAACAAGTGAGCTGGATTTTTTGCTTTCGTTTCATATGTTTCATGAGTTTTTCAGCAATTTTCAGCAATTTTCGACAATGTTCGACAATTTTCAGCAATTTTCGACAATGTTCGACAATTTTTCGCAGCAATTTTCGGCCATTTTCGACAATTTTCAGCAATTATTCAGCAATTTTCAGCCATTTTCCATACATCCAACGGGTGAAATGTGCAAACAGCTGAAGGTTGGAGGCCGACACGACCGTCGACACGGTGGTTTTCCGGCCTCAGCTTGGGGGGGCAAATTTCACCCGACAGGTTAATGGGGATATCACCATGCCATGAAAAAACTGTTTTCCCCCACCTGCCAGGTGAGGGTTGTTAGAAGATTTGCCAGTAACAAAATGTATAAATGTCATGGTGGGGATCACACGAAGTAAAGTATTTTTTTTCACCAGCTATACATGATAAACTGATGGGTTCTTGATAATGAGAATATTCATGAGAATATATGGGAATATTCATGTGATAACCAGCGAAAACATGGGAATATATGAGAATATTCATATGCTATAACGGATAATCCAGGGGTACCCCCATTTCAGGAAACCTCCATATGGGAATATTCATGTGATATAACTGATTTTTATGAGGGGTTGTTTGATGACTTCGGAGGATATCACCATGAAATATAGGGTTCAAGCAATACATGGAGATCATGTGTGATAAATGATAACTAAATGATGTTGGTTGAGGATCGGTTTGGGGATTATCCCAATGACAATCCCATGAATCACCATTCAATGTTCATTATGGGGGTGTTGTTATTCGTTAATTTTCCCATATTGATCTCACTAATCACCATTAATATTACCCCCATAAATCACCATTACATAGGTGTATACATACATACATACATACATACATACATACATACATACATACATACATACATAGATACATACATACATACATACATACATCCATGCATGCATGCATGCATACATACCATACATTACATTACATTACACTACATTACATTACATTACATTATATTACATTAATATTACCCCCATGAATCACCATTACATAGGTGTATGCATACATACATACATACCATACATTACATTACATTACATTACATTAATATTACCACCATAAATCACCATTACATAGGTGTATAAATACATACATACATACATACATACATTACATTACATTACATTAATATTTCCCATAAATCACCATTACATAGGTGTATACATACATACATTACATTACATTACATTAATATTTCATTAATATTACCCCCATGAATCACCATTACATAGGTGTATACATACATACATTACATTACATTACATAAATATTTCATTAATATTACCCCCATCAATCACCATTACATAGGTGTATACATACATACATTACATTACATTACATTTACATTTACATTTACATTTACATTTACATTACATTACATTACATAAATATTTCATTAATATTACCACCATAAATCACCATTACATAGGTGTATACATACATACATTACATTACATTACATTAATATTTCATTAATATTAACCCCATAAATCACCATTACATAGGTGTATACATACATACATTACATTACATTACATTAATATTTCATTAATATTACCCCCATAAATCACCATTACATAGGTGTATACATACATTACATTACATTTACATTTACATTTGCATGTACATTACATTTGCATGTACATTACATTACATTACATCAATATTTCATTAATATTTCATTAATATTTCATTAATATTACCCCCATAAATCACCACTACATAGGTGTATACATACATACATTACATTACATTGCATTAATATTTCATTAATATTACCCCCATAAATCACCATTACATAGGTGTATACATACATACATTACATTACATTTCATTAATATTTCATTAATATTACCCCCATAAATCACCATTACATAGGTGTATACATACATACATACATACATTACATTGCATTAATATTTCATTAATATTACCTCCATAAATCACCATTACATAGGTGTATACATACATACATACATTACATTGCATTAATATTTCATTAATATTACCCCCATAAATCACCATTACATAGGTGTATACATACATACATTACATTACATTGCATTAATATTTCATTAATATTACCCCCATAAATCACCATTACATAGGTGTATACATACATACATACATTACATTGCATTAATATTTCATTAATATTACCCCCATAAATCACCATTACATAGGTGTATACATACATACATACATTACATTACATTGCATTAATATTTCATTAATACTACCCCCATAAATCACCATTACATAGGTGTATACATACATTACATTACATTACATTACATTAATATTTCATTAATATTACCCCCATAAATCACCATTACATAGGTGTATACATACATACATTACATTGCATTAATATTTCATTAATATTACCCCCATAAATCACCATTACATAGGTGTATACATACATACATACATTACATTACATTGCATTAATATTTCATTAATACTACCCCCATAAATCACCATTACATAGGTGTATACATACATTACATTACATTACATTACATTACATTACATTAATATTTCATTAATATTACCCCCATAAATCACCAGTACATAGGTGTATACATACATTACATTACATTACATTACATTACATACATTTAAATTTTCAGGATATTACCCCCATAAATCACCAGTACATAGGTGTATACATACATACATTACATTACATTACATTACATTAATATTTCATTAATATTACCCCCATAAATCACCAGTACATAGGTGTATACATACATACATACATTACATTGCATTAATATTTCATTAATATTACCCCCATAAATCACCATTACATAGGTGTATACATACATACATACATTACATTACATTACATTACATTACATTAATATTTCATTAATATTACCCCCATAAATCACCATTACATAGGTGTATACATACATACATTACATTGCATTAATATTTCATTAATATTACCCCTAATCACCGGAGTACATAGGTTATACATACATTTACAGTACATTAAATTACATTACATTAATATTTCATTCATTTACCCCCATAAAATCACCCCCCAGTACATAGGTGTATACATACATACATACATTACATTGCATTAATATTTCATTAATATTACCCCCATAAATCACCATTACATAGGTGTATACATACATACATACATTACATTACATTACATTACATTACATTAATATTTCATTAATATTACCCCCATAAATCACCATTACATAGGTGTATACATACATACATTACATTGCATTAATATTTCATTAATATTACCCCCATAAATCACCATTCATAGGTGTATACATACATACATTACATTACATTACATTACATTACATAATTTCATTAATATTACCCCCATAAATCACCATTACATAGGTGTATACATACATACATTACATTACATTACATTACATTGCATTAATATTTCATTAATATTACCCCCATAAATCACCATTACATAGGTGTATACATACATACATACATTACATTGCATTAATATTTCATTAATATTACCCCCATAAATCACCATTACATAGGTGTATACATACATTACATTACATTACATTACATTACATTACATTAATATTTCATTAATATTACCCCCATAAATCACCATTACATAGGTGTATACATACATTACATTACATTACATTACATTACATTAATATTTCATTAATATTACCCCCATAAATCACCATTACATAGGTGTATACATACATACATACATTACATTGCATTAATATTTCATTAATATTACCCCCATAAATCACCAGTACATAGGTGTATACATACATACATTACATTACATTCAAGTAATATGTCCATTATATCTCCATAAAAGTTGGCTTTCGATCTATCCCCGGGGCCCTGGGGGATCCTTCGTGCGATTCGTGCAACGGGACGAGTCACAGAAAAGTTTCGGATCGCCTGGATGAAGTTGGTGAATGGCTAGAAACTGGGTGGATCATTATATATGTATATACATATATATATATACACACACATTGAATCATTATTCATCCACGATTTTAAAGGTGGACTTTTTAGGATTTGAACCCAGTTGCTGGCCTGCCAGCTCTCCAAGGGGTCCAAGTGCTGATGGCACAACACATGTCACCAATGCTTGGGATATGACCAAAAATACCCCAGCCAAAATCATTGATTTGGCTGCTCAAAATGAAGATATCAAAACCTATACCCCTATTTTCAAGGTTTCCCCAAAATTGCATGTAAAAAAACGCCCTAGTTTTTCCGGCCAACCTCCCAACCTTCCCTGGAATTCTGTGGTTTTCCGTAAAATTCAACCGGTTCTTCCCTCATTTGTCTTATGCATTTCCTGAAAGCAACGGACAGCTAACCACATGCCTGTCCTGCTCAGGTCTTCTTTAAAGCCCTGGGGCAGGAAGAGCAAGGGCCCTTCACACAGGAGAAATGGGTCTCAACTGATGGAGATGGGCCAGATGCGGTACCAAGGGGCCACACAGGACATATCAAAATTAGATGAGGTACGGTATGTGTGGATTAGTGAATATTGGCTAAAACAATGCATTTTCTTGGGGTCAAGAATCTGATACCAGTATACTAAGAAACGTTTTTTTTTGGATTTCATGAGAAAGCAAACTCATAAAACGGGGGATGAGCCAATTTGCACAATTTCGGGTTAGCCACGTCTCCTTTTTTCCGCTGGTGCAACTCATTTTTCATAAGTGGGGTACATCCCATATCCAACTGAGTCTGAAAAGTGGATACCCCCATTTTTTTGTAGTCTATCATCTGTTTCTCTATTATTTGATTGCCACAAGTGGTGATGACATCCACGATTTGAAAAACACATCCAAAATCATTTGATATCATCTGGTTTTTTGTCATTGTATATCCCATTATTTTGTTATATATATATTGGTTGGTGGTTTCAAACACTTTTTATTTTCCATAATATATGGGATCATCCTTCCCATTGACGAACTCATATTTTTCAAGATGGTTAAAATCACCAACCAGTATATATCCCTATGATATCTCCATGTTTGATGATGTTAACCCCCCAAAAAGACACTACGTAGATCCGTGGAATCGCTAATTTTGGCAGGACTTTCTAGCCAAGCTTCTCATCACGCTACATTGGTGCAGCCCTTGGAACTGGCCCCGTGTTTGATGGGAATAATCTGGGAAGATCCATTATAAAAATATGAATGAGGATGAATGGGATTCTATAGATATACTTGGAATTTAATGGGACAATACTTGGAATGATCATTGGAATACTGATTTGGGATAAATATTCCTCCGGTCACCACAAAGGTGGCTGGAAAATTCGCCAGTTCGATATGATTTTCCACCGCCTGATAACCGGAGGGCACCCCGTTCATACCATCGACTGATGTGGGAAATGAGTTTCTCCACCATCAAATTTGGGGGGGATGGTAATTTGTTACAGTTTGCTATTGAAAATACCCCATAGAAATAGTTGATTTACCCATTAATAGCATGGTGATTTCCATAGTTTTTTGTATGTTTACCAGAGGGTATATGGTTTTCTGCTACAGCTTCGGACTTCAATCCAATGCAGATAGCCTCCAAAATTTACAAGCGCTGGATGACTAGCTGCAGGCTAATCCTTTTAAGCCATCCATAGCTGGGATTATGTTTGAAGAAAAAGGATTCGACTAGCTGCAAGTGATTTTCTAAAATCTAAACAAACGGAGCAGAATCCGCATCTGAAGCAGAGATTCATACCTTCAAATGAGCAATTGATAGCAATTGTCAAGTACAGTGTTTACGGTGGGGTAGTCATCACCTTCTATAATACGACAATAGAGGGGACATGTTCAGCCAAAATGGGCAGACAAATCCAGTCAAAACGGAATTGATCTAGGCTTGACCAGCATTTTCCAGTTCGCAAACTGATATATTTTTCCGGAGGACAATTTCACAAACCATCCCCCAGTCATCACTATTTTTATAGGTGGTAAAAAAATAAACGATTCCCAGTCATGGTAGTAGTGGTTTATGACATTGTTTGTAGCATGTTTTAGCCACATTACATGAGTGGTTGGTGGTTTCAAAGATGTTTTATTTTCCACAATATATGGGATAATCCTTCCCATTGACGAACTCATATTTTTCAAGATGGTTAAAATCACCAACCAGTATATATCCCTATGATATCTCCATGTTTGATGATGTGAAAAGATAGTGAAAACCACCAACCAGATGAGTTATGCAGCTTTCACAGCGCGTTTGTCGTTGGAGAACGAGGTGGGGAGATGTGGACATCAGCAGTCCATTGGCGCTGCTGCCGGAGGATGGCTATCGAGTGCCCTGCCTAAACCTGTGGCGTCGCTGCTTCATGCGGCATGATCGAAACAGGGATTAAAAAAGGGATATAAGCTGGGATATTAACTGGGTTATACCCATCTATAAATCAGAAATCCCATGATATTGGGAACGTTTCGAGGGTTGGTATATTTCATGAGATATTTTTGTGAGAAATGATAGAAGTGGATGGACCAACCATTGAACATCATTTCAAGGGGATGGAACCATTAAATTTCAGTGGTGCTCTTGATGGGATATGATATTTATGATATGGGACAGACTCATATGGGGCATGAGGATCCCTAAGAATGATTGGGCTATAAAACTCTGGTATGTGGATATGGCGGATACAATTTTTGACCCCATCATGAGTTGATGGCCGTTGAATGATGGAATATATATATATATATATATAGATAGTGGGAATATAACGGGATACAATTGGACATAGCAAATCGACAGTGGATAGTGGATAGTGGATTTGGGGTATAACACCTACCATGATATGGGATCAAATGGGATATGAATACATATACATACAATATTCCTGCTATTTGAGTTTGTTTGCATATGCTGGGAACTTCTCCAGGATCGGATGGTTTAACAAGATAAAACTTCCGCGCGAAAATGCAATTTTAGGGTCTGCCCACTTTCTGGGCAGTACAATATGTGTTGAGAAAATATCAAAAAAACATCAAAAATCACATGGTAGCACCTGAAAATTCTTACTGCTGCTTTATGGTGCTCACAGAGCCTTGTTTCCAGTTGTTTATCTTCAACAACATCCCTTTCTCCAGACAATGGCCATAAAGTTCAGTATCCACCATTTTGAGACACTCCCAGTTGCACTTAATCATCCCCATGTTTACAAAATAGTTCCTATATGTTCAACAAAATCTGTCATGTTTTGGTCAAACCCACATGGTTTTGCATAAAAAGGTTGGTATTTAGCCCTGAATCCACTAATCTTATCATCATTTTCCATATTTTCCCCTCAGACCGCCACAAAATTGGGGATATCTTCCAGCTAAAAAGGGCGCCCCCAACTCTTCGAAGCCCATTCGGTGTGTCATGTGTCGCTCGATCCTACACTGAGGAGGCTTTAGAGAAGGCCCCGGGGGGAGAATGTCTGATATCCAGATGGTAATTTAACATAACTGATGGGAAAATCACCATTTCTAATGGGAAAATCCACTATAAATGGCCATTTTCAATAGCTATGTTAGTTTACCAGAGGGTATCCAGATGGTCCATTCTGCAATCCGAAGCGTGACTTTTGACTCAAAAAATGTGTCACTGATGGCAAAAGATCACTGGTTGGTATTAGACATATTACTATTCCATGAAAATATTCCACTATTGGTGGGAATATTATACCAACTATTACTATCATTATATAGTGGAATATATATATATATATATCTACTGCTTGGTGCTTTGGAACATGGCTTTTATTTTCCATAATACCAGTATATGGGTTGTCATCCTTCCCATTGACGAACTCATATGTTTCAAGGTGGTTAAAACCACCAAGCAGTGATTTTTTGGGAATTCGAAAATACACATGCCATCAATACCCTCTGGCAATTTAACATAGCTATTGAAAATCACCATTTTCAATGGGAAAATCCACTATAAATTGCCATTTTCAATAGCTATGTTAAATTACCAGAGGGTAATCCATCTTCTATGCCAATAGTCCATGAGATCCGATGATTTCTGTGACATGATGGAAAATTCACCAGGGTTCCTCAGAGTTTCTGGCTTCAGCATGCTGAAGGTGGCTGGTTTTAGAAGGGATAGATATGGATGATATGCCAAGCAGAGAACTGGTCAAAAAGATGAAGACCCGCCGCGGTTTCATCCAATATGGTTGGGAAATGGCCATGTTACCTGTAAATGTCCATTTTCTTGGTGCGCAATCGCTGCAAAAGACGCCTGACGGCGTGGTGATTTTTAGATCTCTTGTAAGGATTTTTGGGGGGTTCAAACAGGCTCAGAGCTCCAAATGGATACCACCGAAATCCAGAACAGCCTGGCGGTTCTGTTGGTGAAATCCATCATTTCGTATGGGTTCTTCCGTTTCGAAGAAGATATTCCTGGCAGACAGAGATATTCTGAATGGAGTCCATGTTAGATTTCTTGTAGTTTCAGTTTCCAACAAAACATGCGAATGGAGATTCACAAAAAATTAGATGCCTGAAACATGTCAAGATTACTGGCTTAAATTGGGGATACGTGTCATGTCGCCAGCATCACCAGCGGAGTGTGGAGTCGAGCAGCAAAACTCGGGATTCCAGAAGTACCAGTCATTTTGGATGTTCACCAGATACCATGGCCCAGCAGGGGACCAGCGCTGTAAACCATGGCCCAGTGGTGAACGGAGGGAAACAGTTCGGAGCTGGAGGTATACAACGGTTGGTGGTGACTGGAACCGATGGGAATTTTATGACTTTCCAATACTTTCCCTAAATTATTGGTAATTTCATACTCCCAACTGACGAACTCCATCATTTTTTAGAGGGTAGGTGTACCACCAACCAGTATATATATATATATGTAATATAACCATATATAACCAACAATCAATGGGATGGTATATGGTATATGGTGTGTATATATTTTTTTTTCCCGACATTTCCCAACAATGGGGAGCCAAGCAGCTCCTAGGAGTTTCCCAAGCAGTTTAAGAATTGATTTGGCGGATGGGTCGTTTGGCCACAATGGGTTTCTCGACGTCAAACGTCAAACATGAACAGAGCTTGGTCAGTGCTTACCTGCAATTTGTAAGTGCAACGTATCATTCATAGAATTGGATGATGGGAAAATTTACAGGAAAGCCCTATATTTGATGGTAAAAACGATGGTTTCCTGTAGATTTTCCCTTAAACCAATCCAATGAATCATGGCTGGGTAAAGCTTTGTCGGGTTTTTTTGGCTGCTATGAATTGAGGCACAACCATTGCCTCTCTGCAAGGTCTCCAAGACCGTCGCATGGTAGGTCTTAGCGATTTGGATACTTTCGGAAAGGGCCATCCATCATAAAACACCCCAAGCAGGGTCCAGAAGATCATTTGCCCAGAAAAACATGACAGCATTCCTTCGAATGGCCCGAGGAAGTCTACAGGATGCCCCGATTGGGATGCAAAATGATGCAAAATACCATGGTCCGTAGGTGTTGCTTCAAATCAACCCCATGGTATCCCATGGCATTTCTTTCGTTGTGTGTTTGCTTTGGGTGATTGGATGATTCATGGGTTTTCTCACCATTTCCAAGCCTGGGGTTGTCGGCGGCTGAGCTAGCAGCTGCGATCGCGAGATGGTAAAATGATGAAACAAATCTACTCTTAGAACTGGGGACCAGCGTTGCACCCCCAAGCAGTCACTCCCTTGCGCAGGTCATGCAATCCGAGGAAGGCCTGTTCGTCAGCCACCCCAACTCCCCATCTTGGTTGGCAAACATGCCCCCGCATTCGAAGGACTGCCAGTTGGGTCGGGACATGCGGGATTGCTTGGCAGGGATATGTAATACACCTATTCACCCCATGAGTTTGGGCACAAATATGCAGGTGACCAGCATTTTCTCAAGAGGAAGGTTGATAGATTGTCAATCAGCAGCGTAAGAAACTATAAGCATGACCCTTTTCACTGATAGAAACATTCTTCTGTTGTTGGTGGTCCTTGGTCTGCCAGATCATTTCGTTCATTGTCACAAAGTTGTCTATGAACCCTTTCAACTGTAGATATATCTGCCATAAGCCCAAGTTATATGGAGGTGTCCTAAAACATTGCTACCCCAAACCATTGGTTTCCCATAGGTAACCAATAAATTGGACACGATTTTCATTGATTTTCTGATGCCGTTCGCCCCAGGATGTCTTCTGCGTGAACATGTTTTGCTTGGACCAGGCGCGGGCCAAGGGGCCCAAGGGCCACAATTTGGTTGGAATTGGCCGGATGAATCCACTGGGGATTTGTTGTCTAATGGATTTTACTTTTAAGTTTCAACCATAAACATAAAGAGACAGCCCAAATTAGCCATGTGTTTTCGTTAAGTATGCGATATCAACCATGTGATGAGTTTTAGGATGTTTTCCTTGGGCTGACCCCACCAAAAATGATGCTATGAAAAAGGAACGAAAGCAGACAGGATTTATTTTGGGCTTGGGAATTGTGATACATCCCCCAAAATTGGTGTAAACGCTACAGCCGATGTCAAAAAACAGAGACTGTAGGTTTCAACCTTTTCTACCAGCTCAACAATGCAACATATTATGGACATAGATGATCATAGATGCATATCCGTTTTTTTCTTCCAGGTCTGTCAGTCTGTCCATGGGGTTGCTGCATTCAAAGCACCTTCAAATTGGTTGAATACAGCAAACATACAAGAAACGCGATGAAGTTGATTGTCAAAACATGTCAAAACACTGATGTTTCCTGCCCATTTCCCGCCATAAATCATCATGGATACGTTTTACCCTGGTTTTACCCTGGCAGGCCTTTCAGACCCAAGCGTTGGATTTTCTGCTGCAACTTGGCTGTGGAAAGGGGTATTTCATCATGTTGGTTTGAACATGGCGGGATACCCAAAAAATGATGGTTTAAATCGGGGAAATGACGGTAAAGCCATTGGAATTTGCGATACCCTACTTTCAGAGAAACTCATGTTATAACAGTAGAACAGTATAACCTAGTTTGTAATGGAATATGATGGACTATGAATATTAGATACTCGTAGTGTGTACATGTTTACGGTATTATATACATAAAACTCCACACATGTTCACATGTACTGGGAGTCAACTGGGATTAAACAAATCGCGGTAGGATTGATGGCTAGCCACTGGGCGGTCTGTCGTAGAAGCTTCAAAAAGATGGGCTACCCGGCAGCGTTGTTCTCAGGTCTGCCCGGGGTTTCAAGCTATGATGATCCCAGCATCCGAGAATAACCCAAGATGAGTAGGTTTCATGATGATTTTGCCACCCCTGTTGGGTGGTCCGGCCACTGGGTAAATTTCATCCTACTGACATTGTGGCTTGAAACCAAGGTGAAACGTGCTGGATTTTGTTCGTTGATCCAAAATAAAGCTTTTGGTACCAGCGGGAAGGGATTCAATGCAACAAAAATATTGATTGAAAATTGATTGTGATTGAATACCAAGTTTCTTCTTTCCTGTAAATCCTTTTTTGTTTGACCAGCTGCTCAGCTTGTTTTGGGTAAATTTGCAGTGACGTGAAACGACCTCAGCAATGGTCAGAGGAATTAGGCAATTCCCAGATTCAGCGATGGGATTTTTTCGGCCAGATTCTTCAGAGCTTGTATTAATGATGGTTAATGATGGTTAATGATGGTTAATGATGGTTAATGATGGTTAATGATGGTTAATGATGGTTAATGATGGTTAATGATTAATGATGGTTAACGTTAGATCCAGTGTGATCCATGGGGGATTTCTGTGATCCATGGGGGATTTCGAATCAAGGCCGGCCTTCTCCTTGTTCCCGGAGAAGGACCGCGAGAACGACCGTGGAGCCAATGGTAAAGGTCTAGTTGGGGATGGTTTTTAAGCACCCATTTATGGGAACATTGTGGATAGTTTATTTTGGGATATTTTTGGGGTTTATGGTTTCCCACATCATATAGTGACATAGTGGACATATCATGATATAAGCATATCCAGACACAGCAGACACAGCGGTCGAAAGGCTCCATAATCCAATTACCAAATGCTGCCACTTGGCTAGGCATCATTCCAGAACAGGTCTTAATTTTTTGTGCGTCTCGGTTCTGGAATGTTGATTCAAATGGAGCAACATGTATCCACCACCCATGGGGCATATGTTTTTTTTTCAATTATCCCACCATCTGATTACTATGAGAGTTTAAGCCGCCATGTTCATTCCATGTCACCAAAGGCACCAGCATTGCGAAATGAAAAATTGGTCTCGAAGTCGCAAGGCCTTGTCGGATCCTGCTTCCAGCGATCTGCATTTGGGACCTCATTTTTTTCCCAAAAACTACGGGTTTTCTACGGAAATTTCTTGTGGCGGCAGGAGGTCTCATCATTGTCCCAAACAAATCTGGGGGCATAAGTTTCGCCCACAAAACAAAACACCCTCTAATTTTGACGCTCTGGTAATTTAACATAGCTATTGAACATGGCCCATTTATAGTTGATTTACCTATTAAACATGGTATTTTTCCACAGGTATGTTAGTTTACCATTTGTACAACCCAGAAAGAATGGGTGTTGGACGATAATTTTCCTATCGGATTTGACCCCATTTTACAGAGTTGGGACAGGACTACTGCATCATCACGCAGCCCCACACTGCACCCAACACGCCGTTGCTCAATGCGTCCCTTGGTCGGCTTTTTTGTTTTTGGGACTGGACTGTGGTCAAAACAGGGATTTACATAATATAGGTATATATATATACATAATAAAATGATGTTATACAGGGTACATATATATATATATATATCTATATCTATCTATATCTATCTATATAGTATAATATTATATATATTATACATATAGCAACCCCCAGATAGAAAAGAGGCTTCTGGCGGTTGCCCCTTAAATTTAACCGCCGGAGCAATGGAGCTCCATGTTCACCAACGAAGGATCGGCCACTTTGTTTCACCATGGGTTTTTACCATCAAAAAGGGGGTTCCATTGATGGTAAATATCCATGGTGAATTGGATAGTAACCCCCTTTTTTATCTTTTTTTGTAACCATGGTAAATATCCATCAATGGTAAATGTTCCCGCAATCCATTGATAAATATTGATAAATATTGATAAATACGTTTAGTTTTACAACCTGAATATGGGATGGGATGATGCTTCAATGGTGACAGTCTCACACATTCCGATTCATCCAATCTTTGTGGAATGCCAACTACAAGCTGTGGCTTACCTTGGACGATGGTCCCCAGTTGACCACTTTGTTCAAGAGAAAGTTTGAGAACCAACCAGAGTTGCAGTACTAATCACGATATATCACGATATGTTTGGTGTTTTGACCCATGGCATGTTGCAGATGGGATACAGATACCGATACTCTACTTGGGTGGCATTTTAGGTATAAGTGGTTAACCAATGTTAACCATATATCCATATGTTCCATACTCCATTTCTATGTTCAATGGATTGGTTTAAGGGAAAATTTACAGGAAACCATGGTTTTTACCATTAAATATGTGGTTTTCCTGTAAATTTTCCCCTAAACCAATCCATTGATATGTGAAATATCCCCAGCTATGGATTCTGAACTACATATTATGCCTAGGATGGCCATCCGCCGAGGTTTACCATTGTGCCACCGCAGCCACAAAACACCTTCGGCCATGTGCTCTATTTGATCCATCGTGCATCGTTATTGGGGCCACCCAAGGCCCACTGACTCAGAAAGCTGCTGGGACGTGGGATATAGCGACAAAAATCCTCTTGTAAGTTGTTACATAGCTATTGAAAATGGCCCATAGACCCATAGAAATAGCTGATTTACCGAACTTAAAGATGGTGATGTTCCATGGTTTTTTGTATGTTTACCAGGGGGTACCGTTCTGATCCGCTATGATTGTCACTCATGATTGGAGTGAATATGTTGATGGACTAAATATATTCAGCGAAAGTTGGGACAAATTGGTGATCTGTAGATACTTCCAGTAGCTAAAAGTTTGACCCCCTTATGCCTACCTATTCAAACATTGCTCCGTGCCATATGTCAAAAAAATTGGTACAGGATGTTCCGGGCCTACCCAATACCTTGGTTCACACTCTCAAATATGCTACAAGGTGGTGCCCCAGCTCGCTACGTTGGTTTAAACCTAGTTTAACTACGGTTGATTGTGATACCTATGAGTTCATAAACCAACTTATCCCAGTGTGTAGCAATTTGTATGATAGGCTTTGTTGGCCATACCATTGTCAGTTAGTTCCCCTGAATGATCCCATTGCTTTACTCATTGGTTCAGCGAGTTTGGTTCAAATCAGCTTTGAATTTGTGTGAAATGATGGACGAGCAATCTGTTCCTATCTTGACGATCTACTCTCCTATTTTGACCCCCTACAAGTGGGATGACCATTGGATGACAATTTAATTCATTTAACTACTATCTTTCGGCATTTCGGCTTTTATCATCTGTCTTTAGTTAATCGTTAATCCAGACCCAGTGACTGCCAGGGACCATGACTCAAATCGCACCAACCTAATTCCAAAAAGATAAGAGACACATTCAACGCATTCAACGTCCACCCGGAGTAATCCCCTGGGCCCCGCTGTTTAACTGGGGGGGGACACTCTTAGTAGCAGATGACATCCGTGAAATCCATTAAATCAATTCATTTAACCACAATAATAACATAACTGGTTGGTGGTTTGGAACATTTTGGAACATTTTTTATTTTTCCATCTATTGGGAAGAATCATCCTAACTGACGTTCATATTTTTCAGAGGGGTAGGTATACCACCAACCAGATAATATCCCATCTTGTTCTTGGTTCAATCCCCACTATTGCTGGTTCAATTAGACTTTGGTGGATTTACCCCATATTTCTTGCCATATTTCTTGATGTTAGTTTCCCCTTCAACCCATGTTTTTGGGCCATAAACCAAGCAGCAGTTGACCACCAGGTGGTGTCATTGAAACCTCACCTTCTGGAGCAAGTTCACCCGCAGCTCAGCTCGCTTTGAAAAGCTAAAAACATGTGTAGCCATTCGGTTATTGATTATACATATAATATATATATATGATATATGATATATGTTATAATTCTTTTTTTTTATGTGCTGTTTGTTTATATACATAGGTGTATGTGTTTTCGTTTATAGCTACGGATATTATTGTGAATGTATTGCAAAGTATGTATATATATAGTATCGTGTATATATGGCTTGTGTATTTAAATCCCTGGACGACCTTATCATTGATGACAAATTCTGGGTAACTACTATCAAGTTGTGGGTATTGAAACAGGTCTGGGATTTCTCCAACTTATCTACAGATGCCTGAGGTTGCTGATTGGAACTGTTTTATTCTGACATTATTTCTGAGTATGTTTGGGAGGCAATTGTAAACACAGCCAAGCATCGATGGAACTCTTACAATGGGGTTGAAAGCTCCTCAATGCTAGAGGGGTTCCAATAGACTTTGAATTTTAATCATCGCCGAAAACGAGAGCATGAAATGATGTTCTTTTTGTGACATGTAAGGTGTGTCGAATATATTTGCCATTTTGTGGGTATCTCAACAGCCAGAATTGTTGATTCCCTAATACTTTTTGTTGACAGTTGTCACCTCTGATCGCAGTGTTGGTTAACATCGTTACCACTTGGTGGTTGAGTCCATTGAATCCCTATATTTGTTGATATGGGGATGGGTCAAGACCTTGTACCCCTGTAGTTCACATCAAAATTGCTGGGAGTTATGTATGCTCATCTGTTAATCTGTTCATCCCCGTTAAAATGGTATTTATAGCTGGTTGGTGGTTTGGAACATGTTTTTCATGTTCCCCAATAGTTGGGATGATGATCCAATCTGACGAACTCATATTTTTCAGGGGGGTAGGTATACCACCAATTACATAGGTATTGATCCATAGCCATCTGGTTCATGGTCTTTTGAACACAACCTGACTGAGGCTGCTGGATGTCTTTGAAGAAGAGACCCGGCAGGCGAGGGATTGGGCAGCGGGAATATCAGCGATGATACAACGGCAATGAAAAATGGTATCCGGTTGGTGGTTTCAAACATTCTTTATTTTCCATAATATATGGGTTGTCATCCTTCCCATTGACGAACTCATATTTGTCAAGATGGTTATTGCACCACCAACCAGTGTTTTTTTAATGGAATATCATGGGATATAATGAGAAATTCCATGGGATAATTTAAATATTGATCATGGGATAATTGGAATAACCCTCTGGTAAACTAACATAACTATGGAAAATCACCATTTTTAATGGGAAAATCCACTATAACTGGCCATTTTCAATAGTTATTTAATATGTAATGGAATGTCCATGTCCAACCACCTGGATGGGTAGAAGTTTTAATCCTGGAGAGTTTTTTGATGCGGAAAATAACCAGCCAACGTATCCAAAAGATGACATTGTTTTAACAAAGATTGACCATGTATAAATAGTTTTTTGGAACGGAAGCTTTGGATTGATGTGATCTAATCCATTCTGTGGTGGCAGATTATTCCCATGATATATAAGAATGTAGAAATCCCATTTGTAAGATTATTCCCATAGAATATTATTTCTAATCCATAATATCTACCATGTAGAATTTCCATTCTTTATAAGTGTAATACACTGTAATGATATTATTCGAATGGAAATTCTACATGATCCATTACAGTTCTTGATATAGTGTCAAATATGCTACAAGGTGGTGCCACCAAATAAATAGGTGAATTCTACGGTTTAGCAGGACCCTTTGCAGCATGCCTTCGGCTACATGACCTCATAGCAATTCCAGAGCATGCTTAGACCAGAACTAGGGGGCTGGCCCGATCACAACAAAAAGAATGGGATATGAATCAATCATCCATTCTTTTATATCCCAATGGAATATGATGGGTTTATATCCCAATTTTATGAACCAATCACCATTTTATATCCCAATTTCCCAATACTCCCAATGGGTTTATAGGGAATCAACCATTGGGAGGATCTGGCTTTGTTGCACTGGAACTTTACCCTGGAACTTGTGAGCCTTCGGGCGTGGTCTCAAATACACCAGACGGTGTTGCCACCGTATCGCTATGTCATGACCTTTTTGGAGGACAAGGACGACAAGAAGGAAGCCAAACTTAACGCATGTTCCAAAGAATGGTCAAAGCGATCATGAAGGTGGCGTCCTTTGTCAATGACAACACCTCGAATAAGTTGACACGGGCTTTGCTGACGGATCTGGCAACTCACCACTGGGTGTTGACGCGAGAATTTATTGTTTTGGGGACCCAAAAAGGCTGGGAAGACGACGAATTCGTCGAGCAGTGCATTGCCGTGTTCGCAGCTGGCAACTCCACAAAATACACACTGGAGAGTGGCTTTAACCATCTGAAAGATTCGTTGCGACAGGCAAGGGTTTTTGGTAGATACATAGAACTACTTATAACTGAGGGTGTTCACCACCTTGTCGGGATTAGAATGGTTTTTTACCCAACTGCGATGATTATGTTGGTATATAAACCCAACCCATCCAACTATATAGATATATCCGTTATAAACCCATCCGTCAAGCTAGTTGTAAAATGTTATAACCCCCCTTCGCATTCTATTTTGGTCGTGCCCCAGTTTGTCAATGTTGCGTTGGTTTGGACTTGCTTAACGATTGGCCCTATTCTCATTGGAACTTCAAGGTATTCATTATTGATTACCATTTGGATCCATTTGGTAATTTAACATAGCTATTTAAAAAAAAAAAAAACATCATTTGCAATAGGTACCCTCTGGTTATTTAACATAGCCATGGAAAATCACCATTTTTAATAGCTAAACCATCTATAAATGGGCCATTTTCCATGACTATGTTAAATAACCAGATGGTAAATCATCGAACTAAATGGGCCATGGCTTCAAGGTCGCAAACTGTTAGTCATTACCAGAGTACCTTGGGAGAGTTGCGACAGGAAATCATCTCCCAGTCGAAGCTTTTCTTGCAGGACAGGGCTGGGATAGAGATACCTGGTAGTCCCACATCGGACCATCGGACCTGGAGAATCCCCTAGAAATGGAGCCTTAGAGCTGGAAAAATCCCAGGAAATCAATGGGGAAATGGACCCAGCAAGCCACGGAGCTGATGACCGGAGGGTTTTTAACTCGAAATGGCAGAATCATAGGCTTTCAGCCCATGGACTGATCGAAGTTTGGGACATGTAGCTGATCAGTCCACCACTGATTGCGGAAATCGAATCAGAATTTAAGGCTTGCGCAGATGATGTGAATCTTTGAGCTCCGGTACTATATGTACTATGTTGAAATGTCGACTGTCGATATATGTCGATTGTCTCCTGAAATGAAAATCTATGGAAATGCTGAGCACAACACAAAACATGCGGAGTGGCCATCCCTGGCTGTTAGCAGCTCGCCAGTGCATGGAGTGATCGAAGTCAGGGAATGTGTGCAGCAGATATTTCACCATGGGATGATTTTTCCACGATGTAACCCCCAAAAAAGGCAGCCATTCTGATGGCATGTTGAACCACCCGCTGGGTCTCCAATCTGTCGACGGCCAGTGGATGATGGGCTCATGGGATAGCTGAAAAGAGGTTCCAGCATCAATGCGACTCATCTGGACGTATCATGCGTCATCTGGATGGGTCAATAGGTGATACGGTGATACGGTGATAGATATCCACTTGAGTGGGGAAAATGATGATGAACCATGACTGGTTAGTGGTTTGGAACATTTTTTCCATATATCTGGAATGTCATAATCCCAACTGGTCCGAACTCCATCATTTTTCAGAGGGGTAGGGCTCAAAACCACCAACCAGATTATTATTAACCATCATTGTCCATATAATAACCATTAATATTAACCATGAATATTAACCATTAATATTAACAGTATATTCCCAACCAATGGTAGGTGGCTCAACCACCAATCCCTCAAGACTCATCGCCTTCATCGCCTCGTTTGGTTTCCGGGTCGCGGTCAGCCAGGAGAGAAAAGCCAGTGAATTGGAAGTCTTTGTGGTGGATTTCGATAGCCAGGCGAGCCTGGTCTGGTGCTGGAGCTTGATGTCTTGTGCACTCAAATGATCAAATGGTTGGTATTTACATATATGTATATACATGTATATACAACATGTATATATATATACACATGGGTTTCTTAAGAATGGAGGTACCCAAAAATGGTTGGTTGGTTGGTTTGTAATGGAAATTCCTATTAAAATGGATGATTAGCTCCATATATCCTCCATGAAACTCACCATCATATCCCACTAGATCCCTCGTGTTTAATGGATCATCCCGCTCTGGTTGTTGGTGACTGGAACATGGCTTTTATGACTTTCCCATCATATTGGGAATTTCATCATCCCAACTTTTCCGAAGTCCATCATTTTTCAGAGGAAAATGTTGGTATACCACCAACCAGCACTTTGTAATTGGTTAACAACCATGGTTAAGCCCCCTAAATCCAGCCCCATTTTTTGGTGGGTGACCCAACCCAGTTCTCACGCGCAGGTGGTAGGTCTCATTATGTGTGGGACCCAGCCGAGATTCGACTTCGGACTGGTGGTTAAAAATGGTTAAAGTACATGGGGATTCAATGAAAAATATGGATTGAACATGATTCAACCATAAAAAATCGCCTAAAATTGGAATTCAAGCCCCAAATATTGTTGGTTGGAGCTTTCAATTCTTGACTTTCATTCTTGACTTTCAACCCTATGGAACCTATGTAGGATGATAATCCCTACTGAAAATCATATTTGAAACCACTAACCATATTTGCACCATGAGTTTTGGAATTCACCATCGAACCTGGGGATATGAAGCACGAAGAATGGGATAAAGCTGTCAGCTGGTAATGGAAGTTTCCCAGTTCTACTTGATTCTCTCAGATTGCAGGACAGTAATATGGATATAAAGCCCCTAATATTGGTGGGATGTGGATATCGTATAGCGACCCCCCTTTCCAACCTCACTACAAATGATGGTGAATATTGAAACATAAATGTCATGGCCTTGAAATAACCTTTGGGAATCATGAAATGTTGTCCATCCAAGGAAAACAGGAGGATTCTTACCAGTGTTCATAGTTGATTCGTCGACTAGGATAGTGTTTATGCGGCATTGCGCAACATACTCAACACGAACAAAGACAAAAATCTATCTCATCCCAAAATACTATACGGTTGATTCTCTTTGATGGATTCAAATAAGATCAAACAAGTCCATTTTCCATCCCCCTAATGTTGAAGAGCCTCAATGGTTTAGTACAAAATAAAGCCACATATTTGACACATTCGGGGGGGTCATTTTAGATGGGGTGTTGTGAAGAGGGGAACCTGGGCCAGGAAACCATGGTTGACCCGGTCAGCTGCAACCATCGAAATTGATCTAATTTCAAGAAACCATTAATTGTGTAGCATTAAAATATATTTAAATCCCAGTATATCGTATTATTTTGTAGGATTTGGTGATACGTCCAGATATCCACTTGAGTGGGGAAAATGATGATGAACCATGACTGGTTAGTGGTTTGGAACATTTTTTTCCCTGTATCTGGAATAATAGTCCCAACTGACGAACTCATATTTTTCAGAGGGGTAGGTATACCACCAACCAGATTTTGAAGCATACCTAGCCATCTTCTTACTGGTGCGTTTTACGCAGGGTTGCTGGATGGGTTGCTGGGGGTTGCTGGGATGATGAAGTTGATAGTTAGCCAGTGGATTCCCGAAAATTCCAAATTCCCTACTTACTAAGCCTAAGCACAGGTCGAAGTTTTCAGTGGATTTCACCTAGATTTCACCTACCCTGGGACCCAGTCTCCAGCCTGGTCTCCAAGGTTGCAGATGCCCAACGCGGATGTGGTGGATCGGCCAGAGCCCTCGGCGACCTCGAGACCTTAGAGATAGGTGAGGTGAAGGAAGATATTGGGGTCACCATAGAAATACCCGGCCTGGTAAACGTTTACAAAAAACTATGGAAAGATCCACCATGCTATCATTGGGTAAATCCACTATTTCGACTGGGCCATGTTCAATAGCTATGTAACAAATTAAATTACCATAGAAAGTTCGTGGATTTTCCTACAGAAATAGCATGGTGATTTCCAACTTCGCTATGGATATGTTAGGTGTTTACCAGAGGCTATTGACCTGCGGTTCATCCAGGGGAATCCACTGGGATTTGCCGAGAATGTTCGTGACCTACCGCCGGAACTCATGGTTTTTCCAACGGCCTTGAAGCGTTCAAATCTGTTAGATTACTCCAAAGTCACCAGAGTAGCCAAAAAAAACAATATCGATGGCTATCCTGACTTTGGCCAAAGGTGCTTCGGGTGCTTTTCTGGCTCATATATATATATATAGATAGATATTTATGATTTTGAAAGAACATAATTCTGGCCAATTTCTGAAGCACTAGCAGCTGTAACTTTGTTGCAATTTCTGTTGAAGTTTCCTCTGGAAACTTCTCAGCTGAGGTTGAGATGTTGCTACCACTTGGACGATTATCTGCTGGTGGAACACCACGAAACCGGTGGTTTCAGCAACAAGGTCTGTGAGCTTGGCTGGTACCAAGAAAGATCATGATTCTCCCCTTGGGAAAATATGGGAATATGGCTAGAGAAGATGGCTACTCTTGCCCCAACCATTCAGTTGGGATGATGGTAAACATCCCATTATCGTCCCATTATAATGTGGTTAAAACAATAACACACCACCCATTTGGGAATGTTTTATACCACCTATTTATGGTGAAATTGGGGATGGTTTATTATTGTTTTACCAACATTAATCCCATGATTTACAGTGTTTTATAGGAATCCCAATAGTTACCCTGCCTGGTGCAGGAGTTCGCAACCAAGCACAGTATTTTTTAGGGTATTCCCATAGAGAGATACCCCCTTCTAGACATCCCTTTACCATTTCTGAGACCGTAACTGACCGGTGGTTTCACCCATTTTCTCCATCCACAGGCATCCTTTTCAAAGGGCCTAAAAAAAGTGTCAACACCAGTTAAGGGATCCCCATTGCCATTTCCTCTAAAAAAATTGGGGTCACTTGAGTTAGGGGGGCAAATGGCAGGATGTTAAGGGTTTCTGAACCAAAGGCACCAAGCACTTTTTTCTGTGCTACATCCAGCAAGCCACGTTTGACCCGCTCAGGGCCATGTGCGACTCTTGCACTGGGCGCCTTGGACAAAAGTAAGGATTTGTGGGGTTCAAGTTCAATGGGGGAGTACCTCCAAATGGAAGGTTTCATATGCAGAAACCTATTAAAAATTGATGATTTGGGGGTACCCCTATTTTAAGAAACCCCCATTTAACCCAGGTTTGTGAATATGGGGGGGGTCTTAAAATGGGAGATCTCCAAGTCACCATGAGTTTCAATACTACAATGATCGAATGACTTCGATGATTTGGGGGTACCCCCCCCATTTTTAGGCAACCTCCATACAAGGTACGATAAATGATGGATTTTGACGGCGGCTCATACGGATTTCTCTCAAAATGAGGGACTCACCCAAAAGTTATGGCCAATATTCATAGATATTAATAGTGAGTAAGACATGATGAACCATTTTTGTTGGTGGGTTAAAACTGTTAAAACCCATAAATGTTCCAGATGCTGAGTCCAATGGCAGTCGAAAGAATGGCGGCCAAGTTCTGATGTTCTCATGGGGGATGTTCCAGGGTGTTTTCATGGTACCCTCTGGTAAACGTTTACAAAAAACTATGGAAAATCACCATGTTTAATGGATAATTCCACTATAATTAAATGGCCATTTTCAATAGCAAACTGTTAAATTACCAGAGGGTACCATCCAATGGATTGGATGTTAGGAAATTTCAGCTGATATCATGGGATATCTACACAAACCCGGAGCCAAGGAGAATTTCCCAAGAGTTTCCCGTTCGCGATAGCTCATGTCGTCAGACCTGCCGAAGCTGGCATGATTTCATGTTTTTTTAGATGCCGAATAGATTAAAAGGATCCCCTCTGGTAAACGTTTACAGTTTGCGACATAGAAAATGGCCCAGTCGAAATAGTTGATTTAGTCAGCTATAAAATGGTGATTTTCCATAGTTGTGTTAAATTACCAGAGGGTAGGGTTAATGGGAAGATGCCGGACATTGCCATATTCTGATGGTGAAAAGCGTTGCCATCACCCTCTTGGATTTGACTCAAAAGTATTGTCACTGATGGCAAACGATCACTGGTAGTTTGGAACGTGGCTTTTATTTTCCCAGAATATAGGGAACATGATATACATATATATATTTACATATATTTCCAATATATATTGGTGATATCATATATTATATTATCCCATATATTTTTATGTTCCATCATATATGGGTTGGGATAATCCGAAACCCATTGACGAAGTCCATCATTTTTCAAGCTGGTTATTCAGGAATCATGTAAGCCTTGGGGGTCCGCTGTCAAGATCTTCCAAGGCTTGTGCCGCAAGCAGCTTGGAGAATGGTTTTTTCCCATTCAGCAGTGCTAAGGTCCTGAATCCACTCTTTCAGAAGTACACGCGGCGTTTGCTTCAGGCCGATTTTTCGGGTCCAAGGCGGCATCCCAAGGATTTTCCAGAGTTTCTGATGTTTCTTATGAAAAAAGTGTCATAAATGTGTTACCCTCTGGTAAACTAACATAGCTATGGAAAATCACCATTTTATAGCTGGGTAAATCCACTATTTCTATGGCCATTTTCAATAGCAAACTGTTAGTTTACCAGAGGGTATATACATTTACATAAATATGTCCCATTTGATCATTCTCCTAGGGAAACCATTGGTTTTCCGCATCTATACATTTAACATATATTCACCATACACTTACTGTAACCATGGCCGTCACCGTTGAGCTGTCACCGTTTCCATGGCCGTTGTCTTGTCGCGCTGGGCCAACGGCCTGGCGATAGGGAATCTGATTGAAAATTGGATACTCTATCTACTTCAGGATGAATACATTAAAGGAATAGATTTATATGTTTATGATGTGATATTATGTATACATATATTACATGTGTATGTGTATTGCTACTAGGGATATGTATATACATACATATATATATATATATACATATAATCATATATATATATATACAATGACACTCAGTGACACTCAGGAAAATCCTTTCTTTTTTTGCGGATCTTACTATGTAACTTTTGTAACTAATAGAATTACATCGGATTGCTCAACTGGTACCATGCCCATGGTGCTGGGAACCTCATGGGAAGTTTGTTGGGAGTTTGTTTGAAGACCTGTATCCATAAATTGGCTTTCCATATTCATGGGAATACCCTAATAAGAATGGATGGAACATCAATGGAAAATCCTATTGAAATGATTTAGGGGTGCCCCCATGACTCAGGAAACCTCCATTTGTTCTTTGGGCATAAGGGTTTGTTGCATGATAGATATCTGTGTCAAAGTCGCTCAAAAAAAGGTGGATCAACAGTAGAGAAATCTGGATCAAGTCTGTGGCTAAAAGAGTCAAGTCTGATCCAAATTTTCTGCTTACTCTAAACGACGTTTACATAGAATGTGAACCCGAAAATTCCCCCTGTTTTTTTTTGTGGATCATCTTCCTGGGGAGACCAGCCAGCTGCATCAGCTTTTCCACATCGAACTGTGTGAAACACACGTCTTGGCTGGGAAGAACCGCATCAACAGATGTCATCTGTTCACGTCCCGCAGGGCCAAAGACATTTTTTCTGGGTAAACAATAACTGAGAAATCCCTCATGTGATTACCCTCTGGTAATGACTAACAGTTTGCGACATAGAAAATGGCCCAGTCGAAATAGTGGATTTACCCAGCTATAAAATGGTGATTTTCCATAGTTATGTAAACGTTTACCAGAGGGTACCCATCCAAATCTTATTATTATCCATATATGAATAAGGTTAATATGTTTCCCATTTGGATAGTTAATGAACCCAAAAATGTTGAAAAGGTATCCATATCCATCAACTATTGGTGAATCATACATACCACAATTGCTGGTGAATATTGCCCTTACATCCAATCAATGTATCCCACTTTTGTTTCGTGAATTTCCCCTTGGTAAATTCCCCGTGTGGGTTGCTTGTTTCAAGTCATCTTTTGCAGCTTAATATCCGCATGTTGCCACCAAATGCCTATGGTTTACCTTCTGAATATCCTCCGTGTGTTTTAGTTTATTTAATAACAATGTTTGTTGGTTAAATTAAGTAATCCAATTGTGTATTGCTTAAGTCCCTAATCCTTTCAGATCCGCTTCCCAGATCACCCCATACTGAAGAATATGATTTCCAGGATGATAGGTAAAAATATTTCATGTTCCCATAATCTTACTGGTGCTTAGTAGGCAATGGATGGGTTGCTGGGGGTTGCTGCGATGATGAATTTGATAGTGATGACTGGGATCATTCCCTTCCCTGCATAAAACGCACCAGTAAGTAATTTGCCAGGTGGCTATGAGTCAATACCTATTAATACCATTTTTAGTGGGTTATTCACATCCATTTACCAGCTATTTTTATGTGAACTACAGGGGTACAAGGTTTTGACCCACTGCCAGGTTTCCATAGATTTCCATAGCTTTCCCACGATGGGTGCCCTCGACCTTGGTACCAAAGTTCACCGTCCCAGGGTGCCCTGCGAATCTGCGGCAAGACTGCTCTGTTCGTCCCGAAGCTCAGGAGAAAGTTTGGGGCTTCACCTGCAGAAATGGATGTTGAACGTACAACAAATGGGGATATATGGATGGATATGGGGCGATGAACCTACAATTTTCATGGGATCTTTAAGCTACAATTTTCATGGAGGGATGGATGGTGAATTCCAACCATACTATTCTAGCAACATCTTTGGGATGTGAACTGCTAAGAAGGTGAAATGCATTTCCATATCTTCTCAAAAATCTTCACAAAGAGTCTGTCGTTGAGGTCCGTTCTTGGTATGCATCTCAGACATGTCTGAATGAACGAACAGATTGGTTCATGTTTGTACAGATACCGATATATGCATGTGCCTTTCAATGTACCTTCATATACTTATGTGCAATTAAACATGTATAGCAACATAATGGAACTATATCGTTCTTTTAGGTACACCAAGCTATATATATATATTACACACAAATGATTATACAATACGCATGGGAACTCAGTATTTATGGAGACGCATGTCGACATGTCGAAACTGACCACGTCTCGAAACGTGGATCGTTTGCCTTGACTTACATTCCAGCTCCTGCATTTCACAGCTGTTGATGGGGCGTAGGCGTAGAAGGAGTTGATCCTTGGCCAATAAATGGCTGGGGGTTCAATAAATGGTGCAATCATTAAGATGGGATGATGATCCCAAAAGACAGATTTTTTCAGAGGGGTGGCTCTACCATCAGATACTCTTCGAATGGCGAACTTCTTTTTCTTTTTCGCTGCACCATGCCTTTTTATGCCTTTTTCTTAAAGCAACCGGCAGATTTTGGGCAGCTCAACCAGCTCAACATCCCATCTTTGTTGGGGGGACTTTCTATGACTTCGCCGAACCCCAACCAGCTCAGTTGGAGACAGAGTTGAAAGAGTCCGTTTCTTCCATCTACAGGTGCGGATCGGGTGGGGCACCGTTTCTGTAAGGAGATCCATATCGGTACCAAAACGTTAAGCTTCACCGTTTTTGGGTGGGAGAAGAATGTTGGGGCGCGTTCTTTTTGGGAAGGATGAAATTCTCATGAAATGACAGAGTTGCAATCAGGAAAGGCGCTGCTCTTTGCAATCAGGTTGTGATGGTGTGCGTGTATGAATTGACGAAAAGTGCGGTAAACCCAATATGCACCCATGAATGCAGTATGCTTCCAGAATGATGAAAACGGAAATTGGGCGACTCCATCATGCTGTGTGGTTTTTACCACAGTATACATTATTTGACATGACAACTTCGAAGTGATTTCATCCGGAGCTCATCTCATGGAGCACGATCCCACGATCCTGGCAGGGAACTCCTTCAAGTTGCGCCACGGAGGCGATGATGGGATTGGATCATCCCGTGGATCGTGGTTTTTCAACCTGGGTGATCACAAGTCCTTAAAATTCAGTGGACTATGTCATGTTATAAATGGTTGAAACGAACCCTAGTTTCTAACCATCTCATCAATTTAGATGACCAGGAAATATACGTATACCTATGTATATATATATCCCAATTATATTCTCACTAAAATGGTACATGTGGATATTTATGATATATATATATATAATGAGGCTATATCATCTATATGTCTATATTGGTATATATCCCAGCTTATATCCCCATTATATGTCGATTATATCTCAATGATATCCCCATCAACTGACATGAGTTCATCATTCTCCCATCGATGTCCTCGTAAGATCCCAGGAAAATCCATTTTTTTTGGTCAAAACCCTTAGGTACAATGTGGGGCCCCCCAGTGATGTGAATGTTGGTTTATAAACCCCATGAATACTATAGTTATAAGTACCATAAACCATAGTTATTGGAGTTATAAACCCACCTACTTAGCTATCGTTTGGGGGCCCCACATTGTACCCTAAAATAGCTGGTGAATGGATGGTTATTCCCCCAGTCATATGCTAATATTATGGTAATAATAGGTAACTGGACCCATCCCCAATGTATTCCCCTGGAGGGTAAAAACAAAAAATCATCTTCACCATCCCCCAGACGTCACCAGAAATATATAGGCGCTATAAACCATTCCCACCCATATGGCTGGTAAAAATGGCCTTGTTTTGCCCAGATGATCTCCCAATGATCGTTCCATGTGCCCCATGTGCCCCATGGGCAAACTCGGCAAACTCGGTAAACTCCCACTGGACGTAGGCCTCCTCAGTTGAAAAAGATCCTGCGAGAACCGCCCAAGGCCGCATCCCTGTTGCTAAAACGATCGAGAAAAAGCGAACATCCGACAAAACGCAACGTTATAAATCATGATATGAATGGCGTGTCTATTTGTTTCGGGCGGGTTACTATCATCAACCATGGTATCATCGAGGGATTCAGGAAAATAATTCATGATACAGCCCGAATTCTGCATCGGTAAAACTCCAAGTTTTCAGTAGAGAAAGCATCTGGAATCCGGGGAACCGGGGAAGCCACAGAATGTTCATACCCAGGATGTTTTCTTGAGGAATTTGGGTTTTGGCTGGATTTGATTGATAAAGTGTAGTGGAACTACTGAATTGAGACAAGAGGACCATCCCAATTTGAGCCTCCAACACTCAAGGGTTTCTGATTCCGACTGATCTCAAGAGCCATGGGAACTTCAACCACATTCCACTTAAATCTGTAGGGCTCAAAAACCATGTGCCACAATTTTTTTGACCATGAAAATCCATGTTGACTTGGGACACCCACACTGCCACACTATTTTTCATAGTCACATCCGACCAAAAATCTTTCATCTCCCGAGCCGTTCATCTCTCTGATATCAAAATCGAGTTTGACCGTCAGCATCCCATTGGAACCCATCATTCTGAGGTCATTTTTTTGTGGTTTATTCTCTGGTAATTTAACATAGCGAACTGGAAAATCAACATTTTTAATGGAAAAATCCACTATTTCTATGGCCATTTTCAATAGCAAACTGTTAAATTATCAGAGGGTATTGTGGCAGAAATTGACCCCACTGGTCGCGATTCACAGTTTCCAGGTGGCTTCCTTTTGCAACATCGAGGAGGAGCTCCCGACCGAGGACCGAGCGCGTCTGCGTCAGTGCTTGGTTCAAAAAATGGAGGACCCGAAGGAAATCCCATGAAAAAACCCTTGAAAATCCATGACATCTCATAATTTTACGGCAACGCATCGGGTGTTTGGTTGGTTTTGACTAGTTTCGACCCCTCTTTCGATTGCTGACAACCCAAAATTGGTTTGGGATTCACTTGCATAGTGCTGCTGATGCTGCGAAATGCTTCCCCGATGATCCTTTTCTTTGACGCTATCATTTTCAATGGAGGAAACCCTTCTATCATTGAAATTTGAGTAGTTTGAATCAACCTAGGTCTCCTGTTTATAGTTTGGCTTCTTGATCAGATTTTTCGTCGATGGTCGCTGTCGCCAATGAGCTGAATATTGTTGTGACACAATCTGCCAAACGACTAGCTAAACTCCGGTGTGGTAGCTGCACTGGCAAATTCGAGCCAGAAAGTGTGGAGAAATGGTGGTTTCCTGACATGGGGTTACCCCAATAGCTGGATGGTTTATAATGAAAAATCCGCTTAAAATGGATGATTTATAGGTACTCCTATTTCAGGAAACCTCCAAATATGTAGGAAAATCGCAACAGTAGTAAGTAGTCAGATGTTCTTTTTTAGCACTTGAACCTCTTTGACTCTCCCAAAAAAGAGTATTCATCATACTTTCGTTCTCAGTAAATTGTCTCTGTGATTGCCATTGTCCGATGCTCGAAACGGCCAGGCGATTGCGAGTGTCTAGCAAGGTAACTGTCCAAGCACGGCGTAATTTCAGAAGGTCCAAAAGCTGTTGATTCCTGAGGTTGCTTCTGAAATTATACATTAGCAACCAGAAATACTATGAAACACTGTCCTAACATCACCCATTAAAAACTTGCAAATGTGCAGGACTTAGCAATAGACATTGGTTATACATTGGTTAAAAGAGGTGCTTAAAATCCTATGGAAAATCCACCATTTATAGGTGGTTAAAATCCACCAGAAATCCTTTCCAAAAGGGAAAAGTCACCATGGCGAAAATATCTCCCCAGGAGGATCTTCGAGAGAAGGAAAGACAGCAGTTGCTGAGGGATCTGGAGCAGACTAAGGCGCCAGCTTTTTCATCTCCGAAAATGGTGGATTTATGGTAGAACATCCATGGGAAATCCTAGAAATCCTATGGGAAATCCCATAGAAATGGTAGCTGGGATCCAACTTGCCATGGAGTCAACGGATGGGTTAACCTAAAAAAAGCTGGATGCTTCAACGGTAGAACTAAACCTGAATGTTTGGATTTGAGTTAAACGCTTATTAAACCTTCAAGTTGGGTTTTAGTCATTTCTCCCTTGATGTCAAGTTGGGAAAGTTTAACCAACCAATGGAATTGATTGCAGTGATTGATGGAGATTCACCATGGAAAACTGAACAGCAGGCTTGCCACAAAGTGGTCAACAAAGTTGGCACTCCCTCTGGAAAAGCTGTTTTGGAAGATTGATGAAGCATGTTTCGCTGGCGCAAGATCGAAGATTTTAAGCATCTAATCCCAGCAATGGAAAGGCCATACAGATCTAGAGATTGTCACCTAAAGTTCAACAATTAGATCAACAAACCACCAAGATGAAATTGTGTTGATTCAATCAGGGAACTTCTGGCAAGTTCATCAACGACAATAAATATGATATGTGTCATATAATTAGTGTATGTTGGTAAAGGTTGGCGAACCGGTACTTTTAATGGAAATAAACTGGTTGGTGGTTTGGAACATTTTATATATGTTTCCATTCAGTTGGAAAATGTCATCATCCCAACTGGTCCGAACTCCATCATTTTTCAGAGGGGTAGGGTTGAAACCACCAACCAGATTATATATTATTAACCATCATTATCCATATAATAACCATTAATATTAACCATTAATATTAACAGTATATTACCAACCAATGGTAGGTTGAAACCACCAACCAGGTCATTATTAACCATGAGTATCCATATAATAACCTTGATTAACCATGGAAATCCCATTAAAATCCCCAGTTAAATCACCATGGAAGCGACGAAAATGGCTGTTTTGGATGGGGATCTATCTCGGCAGCGTCAGGGAGGCCCATCAGGTGTTAAAATGGTGGATCTTTCAGTTCGTTATGTTATGTAGTTTGCCAGAGGGTAGATGGTTATAAAATATGATAATTGATGATAGATTCCCATGATTGCTATTCCCTACCCATAATATAACCTATTATGCATTATTATGCCCTAGCTTTATAACCCAATGAAGAAAGCATGGATGAAACTGGTCAACCATGGTCAACCCAACCAACACGTTTTGGGTTTAGGGTGTTCGGTAGATTCCACATGGTGGAAACATCCAAATGGAGATACCCGGCCTGGTTATGACTAACAGTTCGCCATGGAAAATCCCAACCATAAATGGAGGTTTCGTTCGCTGGGAAATCATCTATTTCTATGGGCCATCTATACCATGGCTATGTTAAATAACCAGATGATAGTTCCTTAGGCCTTTCACGGCTCAGATATTTAAACATATTTAAACATTGCATATCAGGGCATCAACAAACCACCCTAATTTTCTCAATGGCCGTGCAACGCGGAGGCTCTGTCCATTGTGGCGAAGAAACTGTGTCTCGGCTGGTTCTACACCAGGTATAGCACAAGAACACTTCTGTTGACAAATAGAACAGATATTGTGCGACAGTCGTTGAATTGAGGGGTTTTACTCGCAACCTTACTGCTGATTCATCAGTTGGATATTCGAATCCATTTGTTCTTGGGGATCGGAATAGCTATTTTTATTGGGGCCTTCAACAGCAACAATGATCAATCCCTCAATGTTGAGAGATTCACGAAAAACATGAGAATATGAATCTACTACCCTCTGGTAAACTAACATGGCTATTGAAAATGGCCATTTATAGTGAGTTTTCCCATTAAAAATGGTGATTTTCCCAGTAAAAATGGTGAATATCTACTAGTTGGCTGGTTCAACAAAGTTGGGGGATTCACTTGGGCAGCCCTGACTGGTAATTCCCCTTTTTCGGCATCCGGCGCAATCGATGTCGAAGCTGTGTCAAGGATCAACCCACTGCTGGGCGAAACCTCGAAAGCCATTGATAGAGTTCACCATCAAGTTCAGCCATTTAAAAAAACTTCACCATTAAAATCCATATTTAACCATAGTGAACCATAACTATATCCATAAAAACTATAGTTCACCTTTTTTTAACCATAGCTCACCATTTTTTCACCATAGTTCACCATATAGTTAGTATGTGATCCCCAAATTCAGGACGAAAATCTGTTTTTCAAAACGCCTCCTTTTTCGATAACTTTTCGGTGTCTCTAACTGTGCCAGGCTCAGTGAGACCAAAATCCCGGTGAACGCTCGGATTGTGGTGGTTGGTGCCAGTGATTGCGGCCTGTGTGGATCTCAGCTGCTGCATGTTGTGGGCCTATTGGATTGGTTCGTTGGGGAAAATGTCACCGGAAACCATAGATGTTCCCAATAAATAAAAGGGGCTGTCCTGTAGTTTCCCTTAAACCAATCCATGGTTTTTTGTTGACCTGTTACATCTCCCCAAAAAAAAAGCATCCTTAAGCAAGTTATAAAGCAACTTAGCTATGTTTGTTGTGGCCCCACCTTGTATCAATGGGAATTCCAGGATAGGGATGGATAGGGTATATCCCCTGACAAAGAATCAATGACACCCGGAAAAACCACCAACTGGTACAGTGCAAATTCCAAACGAAAATCAGGCATTAAGTCATTGCTTCATTGAGGCATCCCTGAATGTCTTGAAAGATTAGACAGTTTGGCCTTTTCCGGATTGTGTTGTCTCGAGGCAGAATCCTTGCCTTTCTCAGATCGGATATGTCCTGGTCGTTGAATTTCGTGCAATCCATGGTGGTTGCAACCGATTCACCTGTTCCTGGATATCTCCATCATAAATTTCGTGTTTTTGTGGTGAATGTTTCAATCCTTCGGTCATGAACCAGTGAATCAGCTGGTCTCAGAGATCGACGACACACCGTGGCACCGATTGGGGTACCGTTCCTCAGGTCATTCTTGGAGAGTTTGCTGAGCATTCCTCATCTTCTCTTCAATTCCCTGACCCTCCTGGCCGCTCTGACGCAAGACAAAAAAAGCGTGACCAAGTGGTGACCAAAATTCTGAACGGTGACCAAAAAGTGTGACATGAATTATCTTCCCACCATGGTTTGGAGGGGTTGATCATTGGGATGAAAGAAATCCCAGAAAGCAAAAAGGTTTGGAGGGCATCTGTTCATGTTTTTCAGGATTGTAATGATGTAATATCTTTTTTTCCGGTTCAAAGATGTTCGAAGGTACCCCAACGGATAAACGTTTACAAATTCCTGTGGAACATAAACCCATGTTGTTTCCCATTTTCAAGTGCTCTACATCTGGTTGGTGGTTTGGAACATGTTTTTCCAAATATATTGGGAATTTCATCATCCCACCTGGTCCGAACTCCATGATTTTTCAGAGGGGTAGGCTCAACCACCAACCAGACATTCATGGTAGGTACAAATGGTAAACATGGTCAACTGAGTCAACTCCACATCTTCCTGGGTGACGGTACCATCGGTACCCAGGCACCAGGTGGCCTCGAGTATCATCACGCGCATCATCTGCCACTGGTTGCAGGCGTGGTGACGGTGAGAAATATCGCCTCAAATGGCCAGATTGTAGGAGAATGAGAAATCATAAGATTTGGGTCACTCTGATATTATGAGACACACTCATAAAGTTAAATCATGTTAAATCTATAATATATCTGATATCTATATATGTTTTTGTTCCATTAAAATGGTCAGATTTTACGCTTAATCCACCATTTTCAAACCCGTTTCACGGACAGTTTCTTTAGGAAAGTCGCCAGGCACAGCGGCATATTCACATCAGGAACTTCGACGAATTATGTTGGAGTTAAGGCCAGGGCTTGGATGGCTTCAATGTGAATCGAATAGCAGTCCCAGGGATGCAAAAAAACATCTTTGAATCCCAGCAGTCGCGAGTGCTTGAGAGTTTCTAATAATCTGATCTGGCAATACAAAAATCCCGAATTTATGGATCCCTTTAGATCCCTTTCTTCCCTATCATTGAAAGTTGAGGAGAACCCATCTTAAACTTGCCCACCAAGCCAGAGAAATGATGCTACTTGGATGTGCATCCCTGGAATGATATGTTGTGACCATGCTACTGTTTACTCAGTTATAAGTGGGCTGAATCTGAGCTGTTAGATACTTCTAAACTGATATAAATGAATAGGATAAATGGAATGAAATATACAGTTATAAGATGGTATAATCTAGTTATGAGTTGGATAAATCATGATCAGTTACCCAGTTATCTGAGTTCTTATCTGGTTTCAAAAAGCAATAAATATGTCCCATGGGTTCATCATCCCTATCACCCTATCGGCCCAGGGTCCGTATCTTGGATAGTCGCATGGTGCACATCGACAGACAGCAAAAGTGCTGCATTCTGCACGATGGTCAGGGTCTCGGTTGGGTGCAGCAACGTGGCAAGCTGGGCCCAGCCATGGAGCTGATGACCGGAGGGTAAGCCTATGGTTTTGGTGGAGATATTCCGCGAAAAAAAGTGTGTATGATTGGAGAAAATCCATGTATCATTGGATTACTTTATATATTACTATATATATATATTATATAATCTATATATATAATATATAATATATATATAATATATAATATATATATATAATATATATATAATATATATATACATACAATTGGAGATATCAGCCAACCATGAAATGTTTGCACTGCTGAGGCTCCATGCTGCCCTATGACTACCTGGTTGTGGCAACAGGCGGCAGTTCATATGGCATCATTGCTCTCTAGTGGCATACATGAGATATATACCCGGCCTGGTAATTTGTTACATAGCTATTGAAAATATGGCCCATAGAAATAGATTGTTTATGATTGTTTATGATTGTTTACCTATTGAACATGGTGATTTTCCAGTTCGCTATGTAACAAATTACCAGAGGCTACTATGATGGGTCTGTCTGAAAATAGGAAATTTCTAGGGGACACTATGTGGATACCTCAGTTTTTCATGGGAGAATGATGATGTTTTTCATCAAATGTAGGCCCTGTGTCTATTTTTAGACACACCCATATGCTACCAACATGGGTTTTAAAAAGTGCTGGGTTCATATTGTCATCAGCAGATTTTTGCCCGAAATCAATAGCAGGATCTCTTGTTGATGTCTAGAATTATTTGCCTGTACTAGTAGTTGATGTTGTGAGTAATAAACCGAAAAATTACTCAACCAGGAACCAGTGTGTATTTAAAAAAATCCTGGGTCGATATGATTAGCAGAATAGACTCTGCCATATAGATCCATATAGGGGGTTGGAAGACTCGTCTCTTCATGGGTTATTTGAGATCTATATGAAAATTGGGGGGGTGGTACCCACTTTGGATTCGGGAGTCAAATCGCAATTTCGGTTGGTCATATCCCGGATATCCCCATTCTTGTTGGCTATTATGCATCCTGTTCATAAATCTGGATAGATTTATAACAACTTCATAATTCACGAGCCTGAAATCTGGCATTTGTTTGGTATTTGTTACTTCCTTTCATCAAACCTATGAAAGAACTTCCGCTTGGGCGAAGAGACCTTCGTCGCGAGGCTTGCAAGATGATGCCCTGCACGCCTTGAAGATTCAATCCATGGGCGTGACCTGGCATCCTGTGCTGGCCATGCTGGTGGATTCTGGGGACTTGTCTAATTGGCCTATTTGCTTCCTAAAGAATGTTGGAAAAATGGGAAAATTGGATGAAAATTGAAGATCTTACTATCATCTTACCAGGTCTTACCAATCATCCTTACCAACATCAAAACAGCTATGATCTTACCATTCCTTTTTCGGTTGATGTTGGTTAAACCACCAGGATGAATTGATCACTGGGGCTCTGAGACCTGTCACTTCGAGATGATCTTCGCTAATTTCTGTTGCATTTAAACGTATAATATATATATATATAACATGCGGTATTAGACAATAATGATTATATGTAATATGAATTATGATATATATATATATATATTATGTATCTATATGTATCTATATATATGCATATACATATACTATAGTTACTACATTTATAATATTGTTTATGATCTATCTAGATAGATATTTTCATCTATTTATCTTGATGCATATCTTCCGTGTCAACAGCGCCGCGTGACACGGTCAGGTGGAGCATGTCACAGATGGATACCGGCGGGTGAATGGTGCCATGAGTGCAGCAGATCCATCCATTCGAGACTTGTCGGAGCCTCGGTCAACTCGGTCAACGGCCAGGGTTGCTACCATTTTATCAGGATGATAATGGGATCACAGGGGTTGGTAACTGTCCCATTTTGGGTATATTGGACATCACCTGAAAAAGTAGCCATGGCATTGACCATATACCTAATGGTTGGGTGATGTTCAATGGGGACATTTAATGACCCATGGATCATAATGGGATAACATGCGATGTTTTTATGAGAAATGGGAGATTTATCGTCGTTTTGGCTCACAGAAAATGAACATGAGATCTTCATTCAAACAATCGTGAGCCATTCCCCTGAGCTAAATCCATTTCAATTCATTGAACCATAGGAAGAGTTCTTATCCGATCATATCCCCATGGGTGAAATCGTTGAGAAATTTCCTCAGTCTCCTGGAAATTGGGCATATCCTCCGCCCTCCGCAGGTTGGTTGAGGGTGGCACCTTAGTCAAATCCTTGATTTGGAACCCGCTGTCCTATGCCGTGGCCTGGGACCCCGAAAGGACCATCCTGGGTCATCCCTGGCACGGAGTTGGGCACAGTCCGGGTGGAATTATATGAGCTATGGTCAATACTCATGGTTAATAATTATTAATAGGGGCTAGTCATCCAATGGTTCATAGGGATTTATAATAACCATTATTTTTGGATCCTTATTATGGATGGGATGACCATCAACCATATAGTGAGTATTGACCATGGCTCATATGATATTATAATGTGTTATATGAATGATGTCAGGTCGTCATGGTTTATGATGTTTATGCTGTGTTTCAACATGCCAGTCTTCTTTGATATCTGTTTTTGAGTTTGGGGGATATCTCAATTCTGAATTTCACTGTTTAAAAGTTTGGACAAGTACCATTATAATCACCAGGATGGTTGATTTATAATCCCTTTGAAGTATAGTTATATCCCCCTAATCAACCCTAGTGAAATTGGACGACTTATTTGCAACCAACTTCGCCAACTGGGGCCCCATCCAGGGATGATGATCCCCGAGGTGGAAGTTCAAAAACAGCGTTGTTCAAAAGGAGCCTTGACTCACCAAATGTGATCTATACGTATTATATATATATAATTATAAACGTGTATACATCATATAATCCATCAATATCCATCAATATCCAAATTATTGTTGGTTGAATCCTCATAGTTCTGGGTTGCCCCATAAATCCCCAGATCTGCCGGGAAGTGAGGTCTATGGACGTTCGCTGAATGCCTACTGCGTGGTCCAAGGCCTTTTGCTGCGAAAGGCGCGGCGGGATGGCAAGGTGACCGTGCCATGAAACGGGTACCCTCTGGTAATTTAACAGTTTGCCATTGAAAATACCCCATTTATAGTTGATTTACCTATTCAAAATGGTGATGTTCTATAGTTTTTCTATGTTTACCAGAGGGGTACATCATGAAATGTTAACATGTTGAAATGGGAATTTAATGGGATATTCAATGATCTATTTGCCATGGTCAATATATAGGTAGTATTATTAGATAGTGACATTCATGGGAATGTAATGGGATATAAGTGATAGATTCTGATAGATAATAGTGATAATGGGTACGATAGATTAAGCATTAAACATTGGGGATTTAATGGGATAGTACTGGAGATAACACTCATGGAATATATGACCAACAATCAGCAACTGGAGATACGTGCCATGGTTGAAACATAGGTTGTTTTCCTATAGAAAGGGATGGTCATCAATCCATTTGATATGGATTTATTCACCATAATGACCCATGTTCCATGTCTTCATGGCACACATGGGCCTGTATAAAAGGGTGGGAAAACACCCCCAAATCCATCAGATGATCATCAGGTTCCCCATGAACATGGCGGTATGGGTATCCCCTCAGACACACCTGGTCCACAATTTCACATGGTGCCAGGCCATACCAAGATGCGAACAGAACCCTTATCCAAATAATGCAATGGTCTTGACCCCTATCAAAACTGTAATGTTATACGTAAATGAAAAACAATGATAATACAGTAATCATTATGATAATATAAAATGATAATATGAAAACATGATAAAATGATAAATATTGAAATAACGATAGATACACGGACATGTGTGGTTGCGGCTCAAAACTTACGGCCCTGATCGGTTGAAACCGGCCATCCATACCTCACTGCGGCATGATCCATACAGATCTACAGTTTGCGAACTTGAAGCCATGACCCAGTCGAAATAGTGGATTTACCCATTGATAGCATGGTGATTTTCCAGTTCGTTATGTAAACGTTTACCAGGCCGGGTACATACATATACATTTACATATATATATATATATAACACTATCTATACACTAGTACTGTAGTACCTAACCAATGCTTTCAACCCTCCAGAGTATTCCCCCTCTACTTTCATCAGGTCCCGGCAAGGAAGATCATCTTGGCGTGGGGCCAAAGACTGTGCAGAAAGTTGGATTTATCAAAAAATAGCTGGCTGGCAGCTTTAAACATGTTTTTTCTTTAAGCATCCAAAATGGGAATATGTGGGTGTTTACCATCGGGAATAGATGGACTTTTACCATCTAAAACGGGAATATGAGGAGTTTTTGACCATCTCAAATGGGAATATGAGGTGTTTTAAAGCAACGAAAATTGCAAAAAAATGGAATAATTCAGGGGTGCTTACACCAATGATGATCCAAAATTGGCGATTTCAAAATCCTTGATGAATTTTCGAGCCTTCGAGCCTGGGAGGATGATCCCCAATGGCTCTAGCTACTGTAGTGTTCCACGAAATCTGCCATATAAAAGTACAGGATGGGGCCCCCCAGTGATGTGAATGTTGCTTTATAAACCATGAAATAATCCCAATTAACTATAGTTATATCTACCATAAACCATTGAATTCAGCCACTTATTTTTACCAACTGAACGCTATCTTGGGGGTCCCATCCTGTACTTGTAGCACCCGCATCCACATTCAATTTTTTTTTTGAAACGACCGATTTACAGGTATCCCCCATGTTCAGACAAACCCCTTTGATCATGGTCTCAATATTTCCTAGCTATTTCCCAGATGTTAGGATAAATCTCCGGTATAAACCCTCCTGCATACTAACATAGATGTGGATTACCTACCATTTCTAGATCATGTTCAGGAAAATATGTGAAAATATGGATGTTCCACATCTGACTTAACTCCATGGTGGCTATCTGCAGAAAATTTCAATCCTTCCCATCCCTGTGGCAGACCCGCTCGCCGCTCAGGTCTTGCCTTCAAGGTCGCAGGAGCCAGTGATCAACATCTCCGGTTGGGTGATGATGATTTTTTATGATTGTTATCTCTATATTTTAAGTGTCACTTGTATATGTGCAAAGACAAACACACGTATGTGTATGTATAATATATATACACTGTTCATATGTGTGTTGTTTTAGGTGTCTAGATATATAGTGTACATGATATCTTTGCAGGCTATTTTTAGGAAATGCGTGGTTTTAATGTCTGAGCCGGCAGATGTTGCTTCCCAACCTGCAGGGTCGGGCCCCAGCTACCATGTTGGCCGAAACCAACGTGTTGATCTGTTCAAGATAGTTGTGGCTCAACTATACTTAAAGCATGTTATATAAGTCCATGATGAGAATAGTTGAAGAATAGCTGATCCGATGGTTATCAAAGATACTTATTGAAGTGTCATCGAATAATATTGAAACTTCAATACTTCCATACTTGATTCGCGATCTATTTTCAACAAAGGCCATAATCATCATTTTGGCATCCTATGTGACGCAAGATATATTGGCAAAGTGGATGGTGGTAGGCTGGTATCGCCTCCCATCTTTGGTGACATCAACATATGTGGGTATCAAACAACAAAAAAATACCATATTTCATCAAAAGATATCCTCTGGTCATTTAACACTATGGAAGCCATGGCCCAAGTACTTTGATTTACCCTCTGGTAATTTAACATAGCTATTGAAAATGACCATAGAAATAGTGGAATTTCCCATTAAAAATGGTGATTTTCCATAGTTATGTTAGTTTACCAGAGGGTATTTCTCAACAACACTGTGGTGATTTTCCACTTCGCAGTGGGTCACAGGAGTCGCAGCAGGGTGATATCTCAGTGAACGCCTTCTACGAGGCCGGCGCGAACCGGTGGCCCGCTTCGCCTAAATGGTCACCGTAAATCATGGTAAATCATCGCACTAAATGGGCCATGGCATCCATAATAGCAAGCTGTGAAAAATAACCAGAGGGTAAATCGGAAATCCGGAGTTTCTGCAATTTTTCCGTCCAAGTTTGAAATGGGAAAGTGACATGCACCGCTGTGTACGTCATGAAAAAGAATACATTGCGAAGGCGTTTTTAGCTAAGGCTCGAGATCATGGTATCTTTTGTTGATTTTCATGGATGTCACTGATCATTCATGGATTGTTGAGACGGCACTTGGCATGACCCAGTCATTGTTTTGTTGACTGCTGACACAGAGATCCACGCATTGTGTACAGACAGTGATTTCAAATGTTTATTATTACTACAGCTCCAACCCCTACCTATGCTGATTCGGACCACAATGTCCTACTATCATTGTGATCTGTAGAAAATGAGTATATGAGATGTTTCAGTCAAGGCTTGGTGGAGCTGGGATGAGTTAGCCATGAAATCAGAAGCTGTTTTAATATCCAAATTGAACTCACTCAAGGAATATGTATCCCCCGGTTATATCGATGACCCTCCCAAGGCACGTCTCCCAGGAATAGTGTTCGCCATGGTCGATCGGAATTTTCCCTAGTCGCCTTGAAAACCAGGGAGATGAGGTGGAGAAGAAGATTCACCACATCTTGGAAACCATGGGTCTGAAGGCGCTATGAATTCTGCTTTTCGGCCCAGTGGGAATTCCTGGCACCCCTATGAAATCACAATGGTTTCTGTACTCATGTTCATTCATGGCAATTAATGGCAATTGATCGTGATTATGGGTTTGAAAAGGTTATTTATGGCAATCAATGGTCAGTAGTGGCTAGTAATGATTATTCATGGTTATATAACGGTTGATTATTAATGGTTGAGTTGGGTTTTTAAATGGTTACAACATGTTACAACCATGAAATACTGGTTGGCTGATATTCTTATGAAATGGTATCCTATCGGGAGGATTCTCCAGCACGCCATGTTTGATTGCCGGAGGGTGTTTTGCCTGACTCAATGTTGCGATTCAACTGGGGATGGTGAGGACGATTCCCCCATTTTTCTTGGACGAGATTTTGGGCGAAAAATGGTGAACTCAAATGCAGACAGCAACGTCTACAATACATCTTGTCTTCATTTCACCTTAAACTATACCGTAATTTAGGTGACCAAGGATACCTCCGATGGTGTTTCTTGGTTCTGGAACAAAGAAGGCCCGTCATCAATGACGCTACTGTTTGAATGACATAGCCAGAAGCCCATTCTTGAAGATTACAAAAGCGAGTTCAAGCCCAATCACAACTAGTTAGTGGTTTCAAATATGTTCTCCCAGCTGACCATCATGTTTTTGCAGTGGGTTGAAACCCTTTCAAGCTGACAATTCCTGGCGTTCCCCCATGAAAGTCATGGATTTTGACCATGGTCAGCATCACCAGAAGCCAATGATATCCCCATGGTTGGTCGAAAGTCGAGTTTCAGTTGGTGAAATCCCATTTCTGTGTTGTTTTTCTCCAAATTTCCCTAGTCTTCTTTGGTTCAGTACAAAAATTACGTCTGCCCAAATCTCATTCCGGTGCATGCCAGGTCTATGAGGGTTATCGCTTGTTGGGCATCCAGCAATGCACGCGAGGACGCTTGAAGGGCCTCATCTTTGAAGACCACAACGGCGGGTGCGGCTCCAAGAATCCCGGCAAGGGACGAGGTGTGGAGGGTGAACCTCCAGAAATCTATGGCTGGAAAATCCCCAGTTTTGAGGAAAATCATCTACAAATGGGAAATCTTGCCAGTGGCCATGTTTGCGTACCAGAGGGTATATGGATATGATTGGATATGGCTGTTAAACCAGATATTTTTCAAGAATCCAATGAGGATATAGCCAATAATATGATTTTGGTGTCTCTATGAAAACAGAGGATTGAGCCCAAAGCTACGTTTGTCGTGGTCCTCAAGCGAATCCAATCGCCAAAGCGCAAGCTGGTAGTTGATAGTAGTTGTATATCAAATTGTATGATGAATCAAATTTCTAGCATAGCATTATGCATTCCATTGGTTTCGTTCCATATTTGGTTGCATCATGTCCAATCCCTTGGTTACGTCACCCTCTCTCTTGGCTAGATCTACATTGTTGTTGGTTGAGTCCCTCGTTTGGTTGGTTTGATCACCAGTTCAATTGAGATCAATTGAGCCATTGAAAATGCATTGTTGATTGATGTCGATTGCTTATGCAATTATAGGGGTTGTACTATGATAGTCCAGAATAGAGATACCCCTTTGCCAACCAATATTTCATGGCATGAGTTGCTGCAATGACCGAAAAACATCGAAAAACCATGTCAGGGAAGTGGTTCCCCTGCCAGCGGAAGAGACGGCGGAGCGGGAACGAGAGAAAAGGCTGGCCTGAAAGAGCTGGAAGGGCTGAAAGCCATGGCAGGTATCAGACCAGGTTCATAGCTGTCCTTGTCCCACTGGTTGGTTGATTAATAGAAGGTTCCCTCCATTCAACAACCAATGGATATTTCATAATACTGTAAATGAATATGATAAAACTTCCCAAACATACCATAGCCCATTCTTTTTCCTAAAAAGACAATGCTATGTTTTCAGGTTTGTCGGCTGGGATGGTAGTGATCAGATATGTTGGAACCTGTGAATCGGCTGGAATTTTAAGAAGTGTTGGGATTTGAATCGTCAAAACTTGCTATTTGACTGATTTACTTGCGAAACCTGGGAATTCACCAGAAAGAATTGGGACTTGCCCTAGAGTGAATTAAGGTAAGAACAGTCCGCCATTGTTGTTCCTTCGGTGCTTCCACCGGTTTTATCCATATCTATGTCACTTGGAACTGAGGCTATAATTCCCATCGTTGGGTATATTTCATTATAAATCCACTTCTAAATTGACGTTTGACATGTGAATTTTCTTTGCTGGATTCACATCGCAATGAACGAGTCATTGGCACATTGGCACCTCGAAGTGAGCCTGCAGCAAAAATTTGCGCGGCAAACATTGGTGATTTGGAAAGCTGTAGCAATTCAGATAACTATTTGGGGGCACTGGGTTACAATGGGTTACAACCCCAAATAGTTACCAAATAGTGCCAGTTATGGCCCTTATGGCCAGTTATGGGGTTGCAACCAAATAGTGGCTCAGAGGTCGTGGTGGGATAACCTGCTTAAGACGAGATCTGAATCAATGAGGTTATCCACGTTTTGTTTTGTTTTGTCATGGGACAAGGATCAATAGAATAATATATAATGTCATATGATATAATATCATATGATGTAATATAATATAATATGATATCATATATGTATGTATATATATATATTTAGTTATTTACAATCATCACTGCGTGAGATCATCACAGTTGATAGAATCATAACGGTGATAAGACTTCTAATCGATCAGTACGAGGGGTGAGGAGACCCTTAACTTCTCAGGGGTACCATGGGTTTTTTAAGGAAACAACCCGAAAAGAATATAAATAATGGATGTCATGTCAAGTCAGCATTAATGAATTCCCGGTTTATGATATTGCGGGCCGGAAGAAACACAACTTTAGTGGTACGTATACTTTGTCACAATTTTAAGGGTTAAGCCCCCACGATGATAAGTTGTGGATTTCTCATAGAAATGTGCCAGGAAAAACCATCACATATTCCCAGAATTGGAATACCGGCTTAAAATTACGTTGGAAAATCCCGAAGAACATGTTGTAAATGTCGAGTTGTATTTCAGTAAACGTTCCTTTCTAAGTCATCCCGAAAACTCGACACCTGCCTGGCAGGTTTCCCGCGCCGGAAGCCGCACGCGCACCCATGGGAATCTTGGAGGAGTCTGATAAAATCCCCATGGCGAGTTCAGGCATGTCCCAGCGGTCAATCCACTCCGTTTTATCTCCAAATGGAGATACCCTCTGGTTATTTAACATAGCCATGGAAAATCACCATTTTTAGTAGGTAAACCATCTATAAATGGGCCATGTTATGCCATTTTCCATGGCTATGTTAAATAACCAGAGGGTACGCATGGACACCCGTCAAACTTCAGTGCTATTTGGAGACAATGCGACCAGTTTACCATGGATTTACTGCGAAGATCAGAAATCCTTCGGTGACATTTGATCACCATTTTTGCCTTATCATCCACCCTTTTTCAGCTTCTGAACCAAGCACTGTTCAAGCGGTTCTTTCACGACACCGCGGAGATGGTTTTGGAATCATCCAATGCTGTGATGATCGTGGCAATCGAGATTTCGATGAGCAAAGCGGCTGTGGATCCCTCGCCCTTCTGCCCAGACACCCTATGGATTCATCGGCTGGGATCTCTGCCAGAAGCTCTTACACACAGAAGAGGGAACAATGCACAGAAAAAGGTTGAGATTATATACAGTTGATATATTTCTTTCGGGTATGCGCTGCAGCTGTATTTGTTTCCATGTTTTTCTCGCAATTTTGCCTCCTGTCGCCTAAAATTCAACACTTACGTCCGCAAACTGTGTATTATTTGTTGACGAGGCCACACAGAAGACCTAGCAAAACATTGTCTTCGGTGGAAGGTAGCATACTTACCTTGCATTACATTACATTAAATTAAATTACATTACACTACAGAGAGAGAGAGAGAAAGGAGCTAAATATATGTTCCAAATATATACACATCTCGAAAATGTGTATATATATATGTGATTTATATATGTATTTTATACACATCTACTTCTCTACATTGACTTTTCCTGTCTATGTTTGACATGGCCTGTTTGTTTGAACGTTTGTGTGTATGTGGGCTGAAAGCTTGATTCAGTGACGCATGGGTTTGCAGACAATAAATCCGTGAGAATCATATGGCTTACAAACGAAAAATTGAACTTGAAACAAAATCTAGGTCAATCTTAGATGGGTACTTCAATCCTCTAGTCTTTTGCTATCAATGGGATTATCTACGTTCACCAGCTAAGAATTTGTCATTGTTTACAGGGTATCTAAGATTGGCACTGTTGTTTATAGGTGGTTTTTACATCCCATCATAATCCCATTATAATATATAATCCCATTATAATCCCATTTAATAATGTGGTTAAAACAATAATAATACCACCCATAATCATCCACATCAAAAAATCATCATCATCACCATTTAATCGGACCACTGTATGGGATTAGTCCTGAAATAGCCATCCTGGAATAGATAAGTGGGGATTTATCCCATCATTATAATCCATAATTTCATCATTATAGTCCAATTGTTATCCAATCTAATCCAATTGTTATCCCGTGAAAAAATCCCATCATCACAATCATTATTTATAATCCCATCTAATCCATGATGGTATGGTTATAATCCAATTGTTATCCAATCTAATCCAATTTCATCAGCCCCCGATTAAACTGGTGAAATGGTCACCAAAATACCGAATCCAGGACTTCGGTGCCAGCCCGGCGAAGCTGCCGCAGAAGGTGGAGAGAACTCACCGACTGAAATCGGGCTTTGAAGCAGCACAATGTGGGGAACGTATGGGGAATATAGGAAATATATGGGGAATATATGATTGATAAATGATATTGCATGATGTTAGTTGAGTTCAGGGGATGACAAATAAATATTTGGGGGATCCTTACGATCGATAAAAGGGAATCCCTGTCAGCCAGTAAGGGACCAGACAGGATTTTGAAGCTCTGGTCTGTGCTATGGTCAGTTGGAGATTTATGGTAACCAAACATGATGTTTTGTTCATTGGATATATTCAGGACTGGTTGGTGGTTTGGAACCATGGAATTTTGCTTTTCCATTCAGTTGGGAAGAAAAATCCCAACTGACGAACTCCATCATTTTTCAGAGGGGTAGGTATACCACCAACCAGGATTGAGGAAGTTTGATGATGCAATGTCAATAGATTGAGATAAAACTTGGGTAAATGACCCGGAATGCTTGGGGGACTGAATTCCCATGTGAGGATGAATGACCATAGCACGTTTGGGGTATTACGTCAATATCAAGATACCGGGGACCACAGCTGAAATGGTTCTCTTTTAAGATTGTCATCCATCCCCGTTGCTGCGAATCCAAAATCAAGGCCCCATAATCAGGGTTGCTCCGACCCACAGGTAAATGATACCCATTTTACCCCTCTATTTGCCAAATGTTTTTCCCCTGTGTACCTGTTTTTTTTTGAACCCTGACAATGGTTGGTTTGTTGCACCTTTGTTGCTCCCACGTTTCGACAGCTGCGCCAGTTGCTGGCCTGCCGCATTTGCATCACAGCAGATGCTGTGAATGTGGATCCGGACATCTTCAACTCGGTGGGAGGGATGAGTTGGGGAGTTGCCAACTGGAAAAATGAGTTCCCTATATGACTGTCATAGGAATGGTGTATCAATATGGGAGAATATGGGTATATATGGGTTATATACTGGTTATATTAACTGATGGGTGGTTACATGTGGTTTCCAACTTGAAACAGACATGATGGTTTTTCAGTGGGATGACTCCCAGCTGGCCATGTTCAACTTAGGATGATCCCAGCTGGCCACTATAGAATTATACTTTTTATATAGCAATTGAAGTACGCGGCCTGGTAAACATACAAAGAACGATGGCAAATCACCATTTTATAGCTGTGCAAATCAACTATTTCGACTGGGCCATGGCTTCAATAGCTATGTAAACGTTTACCAGTAGATAGATCAATGGGAGATCTTCAGGATCCTAAAATGGAGGTACGTTAGTACCATATTGTTTGCCATGTTTTGCGGCATTCCCTTACATAGACCTGAAAAATAGGCCTTATAATGCCTTATATATGGTAGGTACCTCCAATTTAGGTTCCTGAAATGGCCATTGAATAGAATATAGGATGTTCAAAGATATTTCTGGGGATTTATTTGAAATATCGATAGTCTATCTGCTTCAGGATGACTTTCTCCATCCATAACATCCACGGGTTAATCATCATATTCCCTGTTAGAATGTTCATTTGGATGGTATACTCCATTACACACACCCAAATTGGATAGAATGTGGGTAAACCAATTTCATGAACCATCCCCCAGTCATCTAAATATATTGGTGCTATAAATAAACCATTCCAAGTCATGTGTGGTTTATTTATGATTGTTTTACCCACATTATTCCACTAATATTCCCTGTTCCTATAACTATTATAGTTGGTATGATATTACTATTCCATTCATATTCCACTATTGGTGGGAATATTATACCAACTATTACTATCATTATATAAAGTTACTATAATAATTTACCAGCCTTGATACTATTACAATCATCATACCAATTGATTTCTGATATTGATCATACCAATCATTTACCAATATTATACCAACTATCATATTTCTATTACTATTAATATATTCATTATTATTCCACTAATATTCCATTACCAACTATCCATCCAATTGCTTAGTTGCTTCCATATTTCTATCCCATTCTTTCAGGCCATGCTTGGGGATTCCCCTGTCAGGTGCACGGCAACGGCTTGGTCTATGATGGCCAGGGCCCCCAGGGCCCAGCATGAGATTGAACTATGAGAACAGATCGTCCCCGTATAATGGTACGTATATTAAATGGTGTAGTGTATGTATATATATATATATGATATTATGATTATATATAACTATAATTATATATGATATATATGATTATATATATATGCTATGGTAGATTTATCCTCTAGTTGTTTCACATAGAGAAGGAAAAAAAGTAATTAGAGGGCCGTCATTGTATGGATGTGGATCAATATCAACTTTGATCTTGACCAAAAAAAACGATGGCTTGATGATAAAAATTGGCAGCCATTTGTGAGTCTATTGGTACGCCAATTTTGAGACTGTTAAATCGTTCTACAATCTTTCAAGGATTCATTGGGTGCTCCAGTGTTTCAGGTGTCGATTGAGAAGCTTTCAATTGGAGGGATGATCGCAAGATTTCATCTCTCTGGATATCAGAAATTGGTACACCAAATCAGCTGATTTCATGATTCCCGATGCAAGCTACGCCAAGGCAGATTGATTGTGGATCACAACTTTGGTACCACTGACCCTGCCATCTACGGAGTTTGGGAGCTAAGATCTTGGCGATTTCGAACATGGAATGTGTTTAAAAAACTATGCATTCCATTAAACACACCCAGGTTTTCGTCTGGACATGTTGCATCGATCCTCCTGTTTTTTCGCTGAAAAAATTGGGTGCCCTCCTCGGCTCGGAGCATGAGCGAAGCCGCCGGAGCTGAGCAGTGCCCTTTTTCAAAATACCAAACATTCGATGATTTTGGGGGGGTTATTGGGAACATGTGTTTACTGCTTGGTGGATCTTGGTGGTTTGGAACATGTTAAAATTCCATTCAGAAATTTCACAGATCCCAACTGACGAACTCAATCATTTTTCAGAGGGGTAGGTATACCACCAACCAGGTTATACGATGGTTATGCTACCTACTGTAGATCAATCCCTGATTAGGGAATTCTTATGATCAACTCCTCGAAAGCCCAGTGTGATGGGCTGAAGCCCCAAAGATTCTGCAGGAAACTTCACTGAAGCCCATGACGTAAATCCGCCGATTTACTGACGACTAGGAAACCCAACAGCTGGCACTTTCGAACATGGTTTACTGGCGCTTTGTTCGAAAACGTTGATAAACATGAAGAATCATTAATAAACCATGAACAACGTTAATAAACATAAACATGAATAAAAAATCGATAAACATGAAGAACCATTAATAAACATGAATAAACCATCGCCAAAATCACCATTTTTATGGATTCCTGGCTAATCATCAATCCAGGTGGCTGGTTGATTGATGATTCCTACCTGGGATGCTGGTAATCACTGCAAGGTTAGACCCCCAAGTGATACCTTGATTTATAAACCCTATTATACAAGTATAATTGCAATTACCAAGAAGCCTAGTTATTGGAGTTATTTGCTCTAACCTAGCTACCAAAAGTATGTTGCTTGAAGTCAGCACGTTTCGGTTGGTTTTCTTCGTTGCATCTGGCGGCGAGGCCGGGTCTCTGTGTGAATTCAGCCGACGTTTCCAGCGACAGAACTCGCCCGGCACCGAGAACCCCCATGGAGAAATCATTGTGTGTTTAATACATATGGGGTTGGGTCAAAAACCCTGTACCCCAAAAACACCAAAATAGATCAAATAGTTTGGATTTATGGATGTTCATGTCCCTTTTTAAATGTATTTATAGTTTTTTCCTAACATAAATCCACATATGCGGATGGGTCGAAACCTGTTATTACCATATTTTGGAGGAATAACCATCCATTATCCAGCTATTTTAGTGTATCTAGGGTGCCAGGGTTTTGACATGTTTTGACCCATAAATGAATATGAATTATCTAATTGAGTACTCACAAATTCCCCATAATTGCGATGCAGTAGTATTTATTTACGTATTACATATATATATATATATATATTAATACATATATAGTTACGATATATTATATAAGGTGATAAAACGTCATTATAACGGAATATAAAGGATTTATTGGGTACATATTAGGGATACAGGCATTGAATTGGGGTTTGGCGATTCACATCCAATTCACACGGCACGTAAGGCGCTACCTGCGGCACGATGGCTTCAATGGCAGAGAGGTCTGGAGAAGCCTTGAATGGCCGACTGTGATTTGCATGTCGATGATCAACGAGAATAAACACTGAAAACAAAACAAGGAAAATGTGGCAAAAATACCTCAAGTCCTCTACGGGTTATAATCTATACATATTTATACACATACGTACATATGGGTCATACGTTTCAACGGATTTATCCAAAAATACAGGAGATACCCCAAATCGGCACTTCGATCATGGGGAAATGATGATTATGGGCCTTGGATTTGCGGGTTATCTTCTTTTTTCTGAATATGTGTAAAAAATATTAGGGGTTGATCAGAAAAGATGATCATAGGGACTTAACTATCAGGTTTTTAGCCAAGAATAGATCCGCTCTAGGATCATCCTTGGATTCTGCCAGAAGTACTTAGATCTGCTGAGTAAATTGATAGTGAATTTTGGAAATCCATGGAAAACCCTATGTTTCGTGGTATGGTGTCTTGGAAATGTTCCCTAAAAACCAACCCAACCAATACTGTATCTGGAAAAAATGATGAAGATCTATTGGCGGATGTCAAATATCTGGAAAATTGATGTGAATATCAAAATTGGGATTTACATTGGATATCACCCATGAGTCTATATTTGCTGAATATCTCTAAAAAAAAGAAATGACAGCATATGGGGATATCAAACAATACTGGTTGGTGGTTTGGAACATGTTTTATTTGTCCATTCAGTTGGGAATAATCATCCCAACTGACGAAGTCATATTTTTCAGAGGGGTTAGGCTCAACCACCAACCAGAATAAGATATTGAATATGACAATGATATTGATGAATATTGAGACCATGGGGATGAATATTGATGAAGTTTCTCATAACCTGGGGATGAGCTAGCATAGAAAAATCGCTATTTTGAAAATGCTTGAACTGCAGGGGAATCAAACAATTCCCTTATTTGATATATATCAATTGATATTCAGCCATATGAGTTACTATTGGTTACCACATACCCTCTGGTTGTTTAACATAGCCGTGGAAAATGGCCCATTTATAATTTATAGATGATTTCCCCATCAAAACCTCCATTTATAAGGGATTTTCCATGGCTATGTTAAATAACCAGATGGTAAGTATATAAATATGACCACATAAGTATACAGATGTGGTATGATATGGATGATATGGATTTACTTTTGCAGGTTGACCGCATTTAAGGGTATGGCTATGTAGCTATGTACCTCAAACATATCCGCACAAACAATTTGGAGTACCCAAGCAGTTCACCCATTTGTACCTCTAAATATATGGGAGGATCCAGGAATCCCCCAAAAAAAATCCATTATTTGAATGGGAGGATCCATATCTACCCAGGCTGTAAACGTTAGGAGTTTAGCCACTATTTCTAGATGATTTTCTGTGGGAAACCATAGCTTTCCCACATCTTTTGTTCCCTTGCCCAGGTGGGAGCCAAGTTAGCAGGCGCATTGCTGAAGCGCTTAGATCCTGTCCGGATGCCCGTTGGGATAATGATCTTATAGCTGGTTGATTTTTTTCGGAAAATCCTATGGAAAATATGGATGATAAATGGGCTAGCCCTATTTTAGGAAACCATCATATAATTTTTATAAATAAATACGTCAATCCACTGGATGGGTAGAAACTCATCCGCCTTTTGGTCTTTTGGTATGGGATTATCTACCTTCACCAGCTAAGAGTTTTTCATTTTTGTGCAGAGTATCTCAGATTGGTCATGGGGATATGATGATATTGCCCGCTAGTAAACGAACATAGACTGGAAAAAATGGGGTTGGAAGATTGGCTCCCCCTGGTCAAAATTGGTATTATGATATGGATGTGGGTCAAAAAAGACTGTACTCCTAACACCAAAATAGATAAAATAGCTAGGATTTATGGATGTTCATCCCCCTATAAGTGCTAATTTATTGGTATTGATTTATAGCCATATTGCCCTCTAGTAAACGAACATAGACCCCGGCAGATGGGGGTTGGAAGATTAGTTTCCGCAAGAAAAAGTGATTTCCAGGATCTATGTTAATTTACCAGAGGGTATATGGTTCTGTATGCTTCTATATGCTTCTATCGAGTTTTAACATGTAGGAGGTTGTTAACCTAGGTTGACAGGATTATGATTTACCAACCAGTATTTCATGGGATGAGATATGGCTATTTTCCTTGGCTCAAATGGGTTGATTTGCTGATTGGCTGATTTCAGGTTTGGGAATGATTTGAACTTGTCGGAATAGTTGCACTTGTATGGATATGTTTGGGGAATTATTGCATAGATCTATATATAATTATATAAATAGCCATATATATATATATGTAATATTATACATGTAAATATATCTAGGTGTAATGTGTAGTGTGCCTCAAAAGATGTGTTATGTGGGTTGCTAATTGTGGATTTCACCAATAAACTGACTCTGTTTCTCGACAGATTCTCGGCCGAGGTGAATGGCGACAGCGTGGCGGCTGGTGGAGTGGGCATGACCACGCGTGAGGACTCAGTGCTTTTTGTGGCTTCAGGAGTTGACAATGCCCAGATTTTCGCAGGGAAGCTGTGGTTTTGCCAATGCGGAGGTTTCCTGAGGTACCCCAGTTATCCATTTGATGGATTTTCCAAGATGAAGCAACCAGCTATTTTTTGGATCCCCCATGACTTATGGAAACCCCGGCGGGAGCGTCTTGTAAATGTCCCTTATGCGCATGCTGAGAAATACTGGCAGTGGCCAATATGTTCGAGATGTGGCCGTAAGCAACGCGTCGAAGAATATGAACACAAGACACCCAAAATAGCTAGTGTTGATAGTGTTAGCATTTCTCTGGCCCGACAATCTGCGTAAATTCTGGTGCGTTCAACAAGGTACCAGGGTTTTTCTCGGTGTTGTCGTTGGGATTTTCCCTGTGATCCGAAGATGATGTCAAGATAGTTTTTGCTTCGCAAAAAAAAAAACAATGGGTCGAGTCATGAGTATGTAATGATGATAATCAATACAATAATCAATCAATAATCAATAATCAATAATCAACAATAATCAATAACCATCAATAATCAATGATGACACACAATAACCATCAATAATCAATACAATTCATCAATGCAATTTTGAGACGATTTGCTTGGTAAAGATGGCTAAAACATTCAGCGATGTGAGGGATGCTTCGCTATGACCAATCTTGAAAGGCGAGAAGACCAAGCCATGGGTTTTCTCCTTTTCTGTGGATGTTCCCTCCACAATAAAGAACATATGGCTTGGTCAAATGGCCACAGTTGTAGATCAAACACGCAAGCGCGTGCTATCCTATTCTGTTGAGAAAATGCCTCATGTTTTGATGTTGAAATCCTCACATTGCTTAAATCCAACTCTCTGCTGGTTGGTCATTTTTGTTGCAAAATCTCGCCGAAATCCACCTTTCTGGTGCTTCAAAAAAGCCCATACCCTCTGGTAATGACTAAGAGTTTGCGACATTGAAGCCATGGCCCAGTCGAAATCGTGGATTTTCCCATTAATAGCATGGTGATTTTCCAGTTCGTTATGTAAACGTTTACCAGGCCGGGTATTTCCAGGGTTCCCCAAGCCCAACCGCCTGAGGCAAGATCTGCCAAGCGCCTCGATGCTGCAACGCCGTCATGTTTTGCGGATTATGTCAGGTGAATGATATGTGGGTTTCCATAGTCATTGGGATACCCCAATAGCTGGTTGATTTATAAGGAAAATCATATGGAAAATATGGATGATAAATGGGGTAGCCCTATTTTAGGAAACCATCATATAAATAAAATAAGAAATACGTCAACCTTGGATGGGTAGTTTAATGCTATTAATCTGTTTGCTATAAATAGGAATATCCACTAACCAGCTTACATGTTTGCAGGGTATCTGAGATTGGCAAAAACAATATCATAAATTCTTAGATATCCACATATTGTAGAAGCATTATATTAGTTACAATTATGGGTTTATCTGGATAGATATATCATACCATGGTATATAGAAAATCATAGATATAGCATTGCAACCGTGTCCAACCATAGTATCATAGATACTATGCTAAATTATACTACAATGCTTTCTGGATATACCATGTTAAATTATTGTGATTTATCCACATCTACTATTGTATTTATATATATATCATATTATGGTATATAGATATACTATTATGGTATTTATTGTATGTCACAGCAATAGAGAATAGTACCGACTATACCATGTTGTGGGAATGTGATCCTCTAGGATCTGTTTGCACACAGTGGATGTGCCACTTTGCTCGACCAGACAGAAAGATGATCTTGAAATGACTCAGACCACGAACAGATAAACAGGACCCGAAGATGACATGCAATCTCTTGTCTTTGATACCTAAACTTAAACAAAGAGACATATGACTATAATATATATATATATATATGTATACATATGCATATGACACTTGCCGTTTATACCTATATGTCTATCTATCCACCTAATCTGTTTAAACTATGTAATCTATCCAATCTACCCTATCCAATCTATCGACTTGACTCTATCAATCTATCTAATCTAAACTAAAGTAATCTAATCTAAACTTATCTAAGCTAATCTAGACTTGTCTATCTGTCTGTCTATCTGTCGTTGTATTTATCTTTGTTTCTATTTACCTATGTACCTATCTACCTGCCTGTCTACCTTTCTATCTTTCTATCTACACTCTATATATATATATATGCCTTTATCATTTAGCTCTCTATCCAATCTATCTAGCTAGCTATCCAAAGGTTAGTCTCCGGTACTCCCATTCTGGCTTTGCCAGGACGGCCACAGAAGAGGATCGCTGGGCAGAGTGAGTTGGTGGAAAATGACCGGAACATCCATGGTCTACCCACTAACTTTGGTTTGAAGGATTGGTTTTAAGGCAATTTTACAGGAAAAAAACTCGTTTTAAAGGGAAAATCCATGGGTTCGTGTAGAATTTCCCTCTAATTGTCCCAATGACTCTATATATCGATCGCTATATCTATATATTTATGTGTAATCATATTTATGTAATAGGCATTTAAAGTTGTTGATACTGCATTTTGGTGGTGAAAAGAAAAAGATAACGCAATAGTCGTATGCTTGAAGGATGTGTCCCGTGGCAAGTCACTGTAGTCCATGACTGAGTCAGGATTCAATAATCCCTTACGAATTGGTTTTGATATATATATATATACATGCCGTGGGTACATATGTGCATTTACATATGCGTATTATGAATATGTGTATATTATATATATATATATATCAAACAACAACGCATATCAATGCATGCCCCGCCTGGCTTCAGGAGTCTTCGCCAGATCTGCTTCCTGAATTCTACATGTGGGGCACTCGGATCCAGGGCGCTGCACTGCCCGAAGCGCTGTGGGTGTCATGGGGAGATCATGGGGAACCAGGAAATATGGGGATACCCTCTGGTAAACTAACATAGCTATTGAAAATTGCCATTTATAGTGGATTTTCCCATTAAAAATGGTGATTTTCCATAGTTACGTTAGTTTGCCAGAGGGTAATAGCTAATTTAACACAACTATGCAAAATGACCATGTTCAATGGGTTAAATGATCTACAAGTGGGCTAATGTGGGCCATTTTCCATAGCTATGTTCCATTACCAGAGGGTATCATAGAGATTCACAGCAGCAAAGATAGGAAAGTAAACTCCTATCTAGAGGTAATTTCTGGTTTTCTCAAGCCAAAGGAGCTACAACTTTCCATTGTTGAAACCGAAAAGCCAGTGATGATCGCCAGACACATAGTAATCCCCAGATAGAAAGGTTAAACAAAAAGGTTGCAAACCTGGAAAATTAAAGGAAGGCATTCTCTATACCGTCCTTGAAACACTGGTCCATCATTTTCGGGGTTGCTATACACTCGCCAAATTTTGACACGGAACCTCAAAAGTCTCCAAATCCAATAGGTGAATCGTCTTCTGGATCTCATTTTTCGGATTCTCGCTTGGATTTTGGTGCGTGGATAGTAAGAACAATTTAAACACTGTATTCTTCCAGATAAACGTAGGTAAACCCATGAGAAACCCATGATAAACCCTGCTCCCCCAATTCAGGTCAAAACCCTCATCATGTTCCCATACCGAGGCCTATTGCGAAGGGCGGCTTGCTGCCCGGCTCTCTGCATTACTATCGCCGGAAAGCCCAAGCACGGGACATGCAAAGATGACGGAGTTAGAAATGTGGCCGATAAATCAATGGGAATTTCAGGACCCTAAAAGGCCCTAAAATAGATGTACGCTAGTACCATACAAAGCCATATGTTGGGGCACATCCTCTTGAAATTTAGCCCTTCCATGGGCCTGATATATGGTAGGTACCCAATTTAGGTACCTGAAATGGCCATTGAATAAATGTGGAATAAATTCGGAGTATAATAATAAATGGATTATCCATCTTACTTGTAGTGTATATTCACTGGCACTTTCCTCCTGTTTAAGCCGGTTCCACTAGAATGATCTTTGAAGGAGTTTTGTACATTTGGCAAAGAGGATACGAAAATAGGCCATGTTTCTACAATATTGGGGACTTGATGCAGATATCGTCCAGGTATACAATTTTGATCTTTGGGTGTGTCGGGTGTGTCATAAAAATAACCATTCCAGGTGGAAACAACAAGAAATGGGGGAAATGATGGAAATGATGGATCGACCGTTGCGGGTTGGGATGGTGGAAACCAGTGTGTCGCTGTGTCGAATATGGAGATGATATAAAAACTAGTCGGTTATACAGGTGGGTTAAAGTTTAAGAAATACGTGCTGGTGCTAAAAAGTTAGAGGCTCGGAAAAGATCTTAATATCATATTCATTCTGAAGCTTCAACCAATCCCCATGTTTTGCAAACTGTGAAAACTGCATGAAGATCTCTCCATGATTAAAATTACAACTATTGCCTTCGAGACTTAACACCCCTCTGAGTGCACCGAGGAATTCACGCGTGTCGAAGAGGTGACATGCAGGTCGATGGGACCAGCTGGGGCGAGGCTACCAGAATGGCACCAGAATGGCACATGTTCACCCAGGATTTTTCAATGGCCTAAATGTAAGGGAATATCCCCACAAAATATGGTCAAAAATATGGTACGTTTACGTACCTCCATTGATCTGGATCCTGAAGATCTCCCATTGAATTTTGCCAACCTCCATGTTCTTTGAGGAGACACCGTATGCCGATGTATGCCGCATGGAAAAAAATCTGGGTAAATTAAATCCTAACGCAAGATCATTGGAGAATGCTTCCTAGGGGGTAACTGTCCCAAAATACTCGGCGGGCCAGGGCTGCAGCCTTTTTCTCAAGTAAACCGGCCTTATTTCAGGGGAGTGAATCATTGTGATTTATCCAGATTCTTTCGGGGTTTACAATGTTTTATAGATCGATGGTAAATATGATGATACCAGCATAAATACCATATTAGTCCATATTGTATTTTGAGAATATGAGATTTACCAATCATATTGTATAGGTAACTATCACTGATAATTATTTTAATACGACACTGACTCTAATGGAGCAATCAAGATTCTCCAACCATTTCTGGATCAGATCCAAAAAGATGACTGATTTCTACGTAGAAATCGTTCTCGCAGCGAGGAGGAGCCGAGCATCGAGGAACAGGTTATCGCAGGGAAACCCAGCTGTCGTGAGCAGTGTTGAGCGAATCATTGGAGAAATAACTGGTTGGTTTATAGCTAGTTGATATATGGTGGTTGATGATCTATAGATATATTTGATACATTGGTTGATTATTATTTGATCTATTAGTTCTGGTTGGTGGTTTGGAACATTTATTTTTCCATCCATTGGGAATAATAATCCCAACTGACTAATATTTTTCAGAGGGGTTGAAACTGTTGGAAATAGATTTCCAGCATATCTTCCACATGGTCACATGTAATTTGGGATTCAAATATTGAAGCCCTTTTGTAGCCTCAAATCCAATTGGGGAAGGGACCCCATGCCATAAAGCTGCGAAAAGGATTGCAGCATCGGCGTTTGAGGAGGTGCAGCTTGGTGGGACGTGCTTGGGGGCTTCCTGCGACACGCAGGTTATGAGCCCAACGCCGTCCAAGGACCAACCCATGGAAATGCAGAGGAGAAGAGCTAAGGCGAAAGACAACGATGGCACTAAGGCCAGCGAAGCCAAGAGCCAAAGCGATGGAAAGGAGTCTCTCCAGTTGGTGCCGGTGACACCTAATGGGGGTGAAGTTGTAGGGAATGGGGATAGCCAGGGTTCAGGGGATGCCAAGAAAGAGGATAGCGTAGCCATACAACAATATGTTACTCCTCAGCACCCACAGGGGCCACCAGTTGAATATAGTCCCAAGAATCTGGAACCTCTTTTCAGTGAGCAACAGCTGCAGGAAGTTCAGGACCTGCGGGCTAAGGCTCCCATGCTTGATCCACCTTCGCTCTGTTCAGGGGTGGAAGTTGCAATCACACCAGCCATGCGTCCAGCAGTCGACCAAGGACCTAGTTCACCAGGGGTTCCAATGGCGGCAGGGTGTGGGGTGGGATTTGCCACAGGGATGGATCCTAGGATCATAGAAGAAGAACGAATGCGGTTGAGGTTCATCTTAGATCATGAGCGGGGTATGATGCAGAATCTCATGAGGCAGGTTCAAGAAGAGAACATGCGTCTCAAAGTGCAGCTGATGGAGGAACGTGAAGGGAAGTACTCCACACCACCTGACAAGCCGATCGAGGAGAACCAAAGGCCAAAGGAATTTGCAAGCCACAGAAGGTCAGAGAGACAGGGTGGCAAAAAGGAGGATGAGGGCCAAGGATCCAGGAAGGATGAGGGCCAAGGATCCAGGAAGGATGAGGGCCAAGGATCAAGAAAGGAAGAAGGACACCAGGCTCAGGAGGGTGTCCACCAGCAGAACTGGCATGGTCAGCAAGGTGAGACAGCTGATCAGGCCAACGGATCTGAGGAGAGTTCCGAAGATCAGAAGTCTGAGGAGGAGTTTTCAGAGGAGTCTGAAGCTGAGGATGAAGAGAAGAGGCATCAAGGCGGTTCTGCTGAGAGTGGCAGAGACAAGACCGTAGAAGTGATGCTGAAGCTGATGCAAGGAATGCAAAAGATGCAGAAGCAACTGATGTCCCAGCAGTCCAGGAAGGCCAAGAAGGGCCGAGATGAAGACTACAGGGAGGACGAACACATCAGGGCCAATGTCGAAATCCATAAGCTGCCAGAATGGAACATCGACAGTGCCCCGGTTGACTTCCAAGACTGGATGATGGTCATCCACCCTCAGCTATGCGACATGTCTGAATCCTCAGCTGAGTGGTGGACTCAGATGACGGCTGCTGCCAGAGATTGGTACCAGTGCCACCAATCAATGAAGCCTTTGGAGAAGCTGCAGCATGAAGTGAAGATGCCGCAGGAGCTCCTGAAGAAGAAGTGGGCCAGACTGGAGAAGAGGGTGAGCAACATGCTACTCCAGTCCATCCCCGAGTCACAGAAGGAAGAGGTGATCTCCACCAAGAACCTCTCAGTTCTGGGGATTCTCACAAGGCTGATGATCAACTACCAACCTGGGGGCTCTCACGAGAAAGCTGCTGTGTTGGCAGCCCTGGAGTCACCGCCTGAAGCCACCACTGTGGGAGAAGCCATATCTGGCCTGCGACGTTGGATGAGGTGGAAGAGACGAGCCACAGACATCAGTGTCAGCATGCCAGATCCTACAGTCATGTTACGAGGATTGGACCGCTTGGTCAACAAAGTCCTTGCCAGCCATCACAGCCTCCAATTCCGAGTGAACCTCACTCGAACTCACCTCATGGTCGATGCTGTTCCAACTATGAAGGGCATTGAACAGCTGGCCGAATGTCTCTTGGCCGAGTTCGACCAACTCTCATACTCCAAGCGCAAGCAAGAAAAGATTGTGCCAAAGATGAAGAAGTTGGAAGAATCCAAAGAGAAGGGTGGGAGAGAAGGGGGTTCAAAGAAAGGGGAGGAGAAGCCTGCTCCTTGCCGCTTCTTTCACACAGAACAGGGGTGCCGGCGGGGGAAGTCATGCAAGTGGAGTCACGAGGTCAAGGATGACCAGAAGAGATGTTGGACTTGCGGAGCCACAACACACATGAGCCCACAATGTCCAACAAAGGACAACCAGCAGGCAAGCAACAAGAAGGTAGCCAAGGTAGAGTGTGCGAAGACAACAAAGAAAGCAGAAGAGGAGGATGCTGGCTCAGAGAAGGCAGCGGTGTGTCCGAGCGAAGACATGAAGACGCTGCTGGAAGAAGCCGGAAAGATGCTAAAGGGAATGTCCAATGGAGGATCCCCCCGAAGCCATGAAGACCCAGGTGAAGCGAGGATCAGGAGCTTACAGAGACAGCTCGATGAACTCAAAGGGCAGGGAGCAGTGAGAGTGCTGCGTCTGTCCCGCATCCAGGTCGCAGAGGGCGGTCTAGGATTGCTTGACTCGGGTGCCACCCATGCACTCCGTCCACAAAGACCAGGGGAGGATTTGGGGAAGTACACTGAGGTCAAGATCACCCTAGCAGGGGGCCAAGGGACAAAGATGAGGATGTCTCCTGGCGGAGTTCTGGTGTCTCCAGATCCAAAGACGGAACCCATTCTTCCTCTGGGAAACCTGGTGTCTGACCTGGGCTGTAGCATTCAGTGGACCGGTGAGTGCCTCACGATTCATCACCCACAAAGAGGTCAGATTCCGGCCAGACTGCAAGGAGGTTGCCCCATGGTCGACAAGGCCACGGCACTGAAGCTGATTGCCGAGTTAGAAAAGATGGGGGAGAAGAAGAAGTTGAGGAGCATGCAAGGGGAAGAAGAAGCCCTGATGCAATGGATGAGAAGGGTGGTTGATGACCATCCGGCATTCCAGGGAGTCCCACAACATCTTAAGGACAAGATGGTGGTGAGCCCACAAAGCTCAGCCATAGCAGGCAACCGCAAGCTCAGGAAGCTCTGGAAGCGGGAGGGAGGTGTGGTTCTTTTCCTCTACTCCGGAAGAAGCGAGGGCTTCCACATGAAGAGGGCAGCTAAAGACCTGGGCTTTGATGTCAGGAAGCTGATTGAGGTTGACATCCAGAATGGCTCACAGTGGGATATGGTCTCTGGTGAGCTCTATGCCGAGTTGGTGATGATGTCATGTGACGGCCAAATTGGTGCCGTGGTGGCCTCTCCAAACTGCCGCACTCGATCCTGGCTCAGACATGTTGAAGTTCCGTCTTTGCCGGCTCCAGCCAGGGCTTGGGAAGGAGGAGAATGGGGCAAGGAAGGCATTAGCAGCAATGAGGCAGTCAAGTGCTATGAGGATGATGTCATGATGCTCAGGGCTATGATGTTATACACCATAGCAGAAGAGATGAGGAAAGCCAAAGGAGAAAGCAGGCCAACGTCGTTCCTGTTGGAACACCCAAGTCCACCGAAGGACATTCCAGCAGTAGTGTCCTGGTGGCGCACTCCCCAATGGAAGGCCCTAAAAGAAGCTTATGGGCTGGAAGAAGTGGATGTAGACCAGGGGGAGATTGGAGGAAAAGGGAAGAAGGCCACAAGGTTGGGAGGAAATGTTGACGTTCAACTCCCCCCTCGATGTCCCATGAAGCCAGAGGGGCGAAAGATCGAGGGAAAGACCCCGCATCAGTTGGTGGAAGAGTCAAGGCAGCTCTCGAGGTGGGCTCCCTTACTGATGACGGCCATCACCGAGGCGGTGTTCAAAGAACGAGGCCAAGTCCCCAAGCCCCGACTCCGGTCCTGGAGAACACACATTCTTCAGGGACACACCCCCTTCCGGAAGGATTGTGCAGTATGCCAGCAGGCATCCGGAAGAGACAAAGCACACAGGCGAGAGAAGCTCCCACCCCGATCTGGAGTCCTCTCCTTGGACACGGCAGGTCCATTGATGAAAGCCCCAGATCTTGGAAGAGGAACGGCCAAGTTCATGTTGGTCGCCAGCTTTACATGGCCGTCAGCATCAACAGAAGAAGATGCGACAGAAGAGAACGAGGAAGACCTCAAAGAATGTCCCCAGATTGATGATCTGGCCGAGATAGAGAGAGAGAAAGAAATAAAAGAAGACGGCAAGCCGAGAAGAGGACGTCCTAGAATTGAAGACGTCGAAGCCAGAGAAAGAGAAAGAAGAGCGGCAGAAGAAGAGAAGACCCGTCAAGAAGGGGATCTGAAAGCACCATCCATCGGAGAGGAGGAGGATTTGGAGGCCTATCGACAGACCAAGGCTGGTCAGCATGAGGAGGAGGAGGAGTATGATTCTCCATCCTTGGGAGAAGAGCAGGGCCAAGAAGGACAGGAAGAGGAGACGGAAAATGAAAGGGAGGAAGTGCACATGGCTGTGCACAGGATGGCCATACCAATGGCGTCAAGGGCATCGGAGGAGGTCTTGAGACACATCATTGACCTTTACTTGATGTTAAAGGCCGATGGGTATGAGGTGCGACAGATCCATTCAGACAGAGCGGCAGAGTTCATATCACCGAGACTTGAACGGTGGTGCCGCGAAAGAGATATCCTGCAGACCTGGTCGGCGGGAGCCGAGCCTCAATCAAATGGTAGAGCAGAGAGAACAGTGCAGGAGATCAAATCAAGAGTAAGAAGACTCTTACATGCCCAGAATGGTGGCCAGTTGCGCTAAGAAATGTCAATGAGCGCCTGAGAAGAGAAAGAATGAAGGTGAACTGGAATGGCCAGAAATTTGAGGAGATTCCGGCCTTCATGCAAGAAGTCACCGTGAAGAAGAGGTTTTGGCGCACGAAGGAGCTGGAACCGGGGCGAGAGGTGGTGAGATATCTGTCTCCTACGTGGCTGCACCATGGCCACTGGGTCCTTAGAGAAGATGGGACCAAGATGCTGACCCGAGCCGTGTTCAAGAAAGGCACGGAGCCAGTGGATGACCAAGTATGGGTCGCACTGGAGGATGCACTGACCCCAGTCGATTTGAGGAGACGACTTCGGGGCAAAGTGCTGGTCAGAAGGGTAGAGGGAAGTCAAGAAGAAGACAAGCCTCGAAACCCGGATCAAGGAGCCATCGCCAAGGAGAAACACCTAGAGCGGATCATCCAAGAAGAGATGACGTATGTGGTGCATGATGAGATGGAGGTTGCTCAACAGGTGTTGGATGCCACCAAAGCCCTTAGAGGGTTCAAGACCACTGAAGAAGAAGAGATCCTGCAGACCAAGATTGTCAGCCCACAAGATGTGAAGAGAAATGCAGATGCCTGGAAAGAGGCGATAGAAGCGGAGCTTAAGTCCCTGATGGAAACAAAGAGGGCACTCCGAGTCGTCCCCCCTGAAGAGGCCAGACAGATGACTCAGGATCAAGGCCTGTTGGCAGTCCCGGCCAAGGTGGTGTTTACCATCAAACCGGACGCCACAAATCCCCGAGGAAAGAAGAAGTGCCGTATAGTGGCCTGTGGGAACTATGCCCCAGATGCAGAAATGGACTGCTTCGCCGCAGGAACAGATGCAGCCACACTGAGGCTAGCATTGGCCATGGCATCAAAGAAGGCGTGGTATGGGGCCAACTTGGATGTTAAGACGGCCTTTCTAAATGCTCCTATGACCAGGCCCCAGAGAGATTCAGAGGAGGAAGAAGGATTGAGCAAGATCCTCTTACGACCTCCACCAATTTTGGTGTCTCTGGGCCATGTAACCAAGGATCAGTTCTGGGAAGTCCTCAAAGCGATGTATGGATTCCGCCAGAGCCCACGACTATGGAGCGATTATCGAGATGATTCGATGAGGAAAATGAAGACCTCAAAGCTACATCTGGTTCAAATGGAGACAGAGCCAAGCGCCTGGCTGATGAAGTCCCAGGAAGATGATGAGACACATGGCATCATTCTCACTTACGTTGATGACGTCTTGATACTGTCCACCAAGGAGGTTGTGGAAGAATGGGTGGACCTCATCAGAAGGACATGGGAAACCTCATCTCCAGAATGGGTTAATCCCGATGAGCCAACCAGGTTTTTGGGGATGGAGCCCAAGAGGTCAGAAGAAGGAATCTGGACGGCATCCCAGAAGAACTATACGTTGGAAGTTTTGAGGAAGAATCTCAAGAAGACACCATGGCCTAGAAAGAGGATACCAATCTCCAAAGAAGGCGCAGAGAGTGAAGAAGAAGATCAGAAGAAAGAAGAAGATGAAGATGTGGGCCCTAAGACCCCAGCAGAGGTCAAGGAAGCCCAGAAAGTGGTTGGCGAACTAATCTGGTTAGTGACCCGATGCCGACCAGATTTGATGTATGTCACCACGAAGATGGCATCTTGGTCCACCAGAAACCCGAGGAAGGTACTTGACATGGCTGGTCAAGTGTGGGGTTATCTGGCTGGAACTGTGAACTCCACCCTTCAGCTCAAGGGACCACTGGACTCCAATGACATGGAGGTTCACACAGATGCATCTTATGGAGATGACGCTCATGGGTGTGTGGTGGTGAAGTGGGGGGAGGCAGCCATTCTATGGCGCAGCGCCAAGCAGACGCTACAGACAACATCCACAGCTGAGGCAGAGTTAGTGGAGATCATGGAGGGTGCCACAATGGCGGACTCAGTTCGAGTCGTTATAGAAGAACTGGTTGGAGAACGAGTTAGGTGTTGGCAGTTTACAGACTCAGCATCAGCCCTGTCAATTGTCTCAGGGGATTCAGCGTCATGGAGGACGAGGCACCTGAGGAAGAGGGCTAGATTTCTGAGGTGGAGAGCCCTTAGAGGAGACCTGGTGATGAGACATCAACCGGGGAGTGAGATGGTGGCAGATATCGGAACGAAAGCGCTGGCATCAGTTCGTCTGAAGGAACTGAAAGGAAGACTCGGCCTAATTGAAGAAGAAGTGGAAGAGGCAGGTGATCTTCAAGAAGTCAAGAAGAGCGCCGAGAACTGCCATATGGAAAAGCCCCAGTTGGTGGATCAAGCCCAAGCGGAAAGGCTAGTGAAGGTGTTGATGGTGATGGCTCTAGTTCAAAGAGCTAAGGGGGCGGAAGAAGAGGAAGAGGATCATCGGGCACTAGAATGTGCCATGCTCCTATATACCATCGTAGTGGTGGTGGCCACGGTAGTCAGCCAGGCCTTATGGAAGTGGTGGGGTCGAGGTCACCACCCTTCCAACGCACAATCAGACAGCTCCGCAACCACAGATGAAATGGAGGAAGAAGCTCCACTTCCAGCACTGCAAAGAAGAGCTTCACGAGCAGCACACCTAGCCAGCATTGTAGGCAGCACCACTTCCGGGGAAGTTACAGGCCACAGGGCCGGCACCAATGAACCCAGCACCGTTAGCTCTGCTACCAGCCAGATACCAGCACCTGCCCAGAGAGGATGCAGCAGAAACACCGACAGAACACCTGAGGTCACAACTTCTGGCCAAGCAACACCCAGTGAGGAGCCGCAGGCCAGCCAACAGAAGAACTCAGGAGCCAGTAGACACCAGCAGGTGTCAACATCAGACACAGCCAGTGCTGATAAGAAAATCAGCAGTCAGAGCCCAGGTGAAACATCATCTGGAAATATCACAATGACCCCAGCAGGGTCCACAAGCACCGTTAGCATAGCAGCTAAACCACCAACAAGCACCAACAAGCGACAGATGTCACATCAATCCAGCACTACAAGCCAGCTTCGATCCAACTGCCAGGGAGGCCACTCGAATGTCCCTTCCAGTTCAGGAAGCCAGAGCACTCCAGCTCAACCAATTCCAGGTGGGTGGGTTGAAAGGGGGGAATATGAGATATATACAACAGGCTCTGGAGCGAAGTATCACCTGAATAAGAACTGTTATGGACTGCGAAACTCCCAGAGAGTCAATCGGGTGGACAAGTGTCCTGAATGTTTTGGATCAAACTGGAAACCATCTGGCGAAGAGATGCATGCTCAACATACCTGGGGAGATATCCATCGACATGTGAATCACGCCCGGGAACACTACCGCATGACGGTGAATCAGACTTGCACGGTGTATAAAGCATGTAAGATCTGCGCCAAAGGTGCTTAAGCTGGTTTTTCAATAGGGGTGACTGTCAGTGAGATGAGGGTACTGATATGTCATATCTAGAAAGGGCTTGAGCTGAAAGAAACCGATGAAGATCACTCGCGCGGGAATTTGAGTACCCGAGTGACGAATTTTGCGAAGTGGTTTCTACCTCACGGAAAGAAACCAGGGGGAGTGTTGGAAATAGATTTCCAGCATATCTTCCACATGGTCACATGTAATTTGGGATTCAAATATTGAAGCCCTTTTGTAGCCTCAAATCCAATTGGGGAAGGGACCCCATGCCATAAAGCTGCGAAAAGGATTGCAGCATCGGCGTTTGAGGAGGTGCAGCTTGGTGGGACGTGCTTGGGGGCTTCCTGCGACACGCAGAAACCACCAACCAGCCAATGTCTAGTTTACTAGAGGAGGATCAAAAATTATGTAGTACACACTAGAGAAGTGATACTAGATGATCTGCAAAAAATCTGGGCTGATCCTGTTAAACACCATGTTTTTTTCTATCCAATAAATTTCACCCATCAAACGAATGAGGGACCGAGGGACCGAGGGACCTTATCCTCGCTAGCTGGATCCCATGTTCCAACATGTTGACAGCGGATGGTATTTCGTAATTGCCATTGGTTGATTCAGAAAACACATTGTTTAATGGTACAGGTATACCAATATGTGGTAATATAATTATGTGTAATATATACCTATGCCTATACCATTGATATAACATTAATAATTTGCCATTGGTATACCAATATGTTTAAGTTTAATGGTAGTACCAATGGCAATATAATGGTGATAAAGGGAAAGGAGACTGCTAATGGGGATATGAGACTTCACTTATATTATGAGGTGATTTGCTACTTGATTTCAGGACGATTTGTTGGGTTAGGGATGATGCCACGAGATGAAATCAGAAGGAAGATAATTCCACTCTCCATGATGGTTGCTTTAAAAATCCATTACATCAATCCATCTATTTACCAGAAAAAAAAGATGCTCAAAAAGAAAATCGTCCAATGATATTTCTTGGTGAGACTCCTAAAACATAAATCCACATATTAGTCCCCCTAGCCGAGCCCACTCCGAGAGATCACTTTCGACTGAGGTCACAGACACCTTGGACTTGGCCAATGGCACTGGACATTTCTGCACCTTTGACTGCTGGAGACTGGGGGAAAAGAAATGGTAGATTAATGGGATTCATATGGGAAGATGATCGAACAAAATCATCTCCATTATTAGTATTCATGGTGATGAATGGAATCTGTTTTTAATGGGATTGAATGCGATAATAAATGGAAGAATACACATACTTGGGATAATAGTTTGGGATATACCCTCCCGTAATCATCAAACGTGGCTGGCTGGATCCCTGATCAAAATGGAGGTTTTCCTTGCTGGGAAAATCATCAAACTAAATGAGGGATTGGTAGTCAAGAAAGTATATTTAGGGAGCATATGGTGTATTGAGATGTTTCAAAATATCGATCCTAAATGATGCATGATATATGGTAAATCAGAAAAATGGGGTCTTCCAGCAATAAAAATGGCTGCTTTCACCCGCAAAAATGTGGATGCAAGCAACCATAATGGGGATGCAATGAGATATATGTTCCCTCCAACTAACATAGACATATCCCAAGAGCGAGAATAGTATTCCAACCCCCAAATCATGACAGAATCGTATTGTTAGTTGAAGAGAGAATAGATCATTGAATTCGGGCATCGCATATGGTATGGTTAGATGTTTCATGACACCAAAAATTAGGGGATGCAACTTGGTACCACCAACAACAACCACAACAATCACAACAACAACAACAACAACAACAACGTCGTCAACGTCGCCCAATTGATGTCTTCAAACAGATCTGTTATTTTAAACCCAAAAAACGGGATGATGATCCCGGTTGACCATAGGGGGAGCCCCTGGTCGCTGGTCTTCGGTCTTCGTTCGTCTCTAGGCCGTTTGACCTTAGATGCCTTCGGAAAAGTGGATAGCATCACTTACCTAGGCTCCACGGGGATCTGGTTGGGAAACTAGCACTGGGAAGCTGAGACATCCTGAGAACTAGATGGATCGTGTTAGTTTTCGAATGGGAAAATCCATGGAAAATCAATGGTTTCAATGGGAAAATCCATGGAAAATCCATGTCTTGTCCAGCAAGTTTGATGACACCATGGAATCCCAGTATGGGTCCCTGTGATGGGCTGCATCCAGCATATCCAGCATCCACGGAGTGGTAAGCCATGAATGGCCAAGCAGGGTATCAAGATATCATATGATACCATGATGGGCCGTTCTTGGAGTGTTTCACGAAGTCGCATGGGTCAAAACTGGGTAAAAACCCATGGATGATTCATAAGAGTTATCTGGTAAACGTTTACATAACTATGGAAAATCACCATTTTTCATGGGTAAATCAACTATAAAAGGCACTTTTCAATAGTTTGTTGTATGTTTACCAGAGGGTATGTATCTGTGCTGAAGAATGTTTGACCCATACGTGCCCATACCAGGAAGTCTTACTCTCCCCTAAGAGATGACTATCAATGGATCACGAAGTGGAAAGTCCTGTCAAAACCAACCATCAGTCTGCGGGAATATCCGATTATATAGGATATGTAATGGGAAAATGATTGGAGATTCACTTTCTGTATGGGGAAGCTACTGACATTTATATAACCCCAGTAATTTTTGGAGGGGTAACCATTGGCCCTGGCGCAGGTGGTGAGGCTCTGCAAGTGGAATCTCTTTGGAGTTGCTCGGGTGGATGTCTCGATAAACTCGTAGGCAATGGATCAATACAGGATGGGGCCCCCCAGTGATGTGAACGTTGGTTTATAAACCCCATGAATACTATAGTTATAGGTACCATAAACCATAGTGACATGGGAGTTTTAAACCAACTGAACGCTATCTATTGCTATTGTCTATAGTTATTCCCATGAAATTATAATCCCCATTAACTATAGTTATATCTACCATTGTCTACCATAAACCATTGTTCAGCCACTTATAAACCAACTGAACGCTATCTTGGCCCCATCCTGTACCTGTAGATGCAATTTCTTAGGGGATGAATATCCATAAATCCAAGCTATTTTTAGGTGCAGAAGGGCTATATTTTGATGTGAACAGAAGGGTTATTTTGGGTTTTGACCCACTCTGGTTATTTAACGATTTGCTATGGAAATCACCAGTTTGAATGGATAAATCATCATAAATCATCTATCAATTATGTCATTGTCCACATCTATCTTCGTTTACAGGAGGGTAACCCCCCAAACAGATTTTGTTTGTTAATGTGATATATTCCGACTATTTGAGGAGCGATTTACTTTTCTAATCTGTTCTATCTGTTTGGGGATAAGTGGATAATTCTGAACTATGGCAGCCCCAAAATAGATAGAACAGTGGGAAACCTGGGAATTATGGGATAACTATGATCTATACCCATCCTGGAAAAACTTGTGCATTTTTCGGAGTACCCTATTTAGTTGAAATTAAGAGGATTGACAATGAAACTACATCAAGACAATAGGAAATCGTGTGTTCATTTGTTTCCAAGGAGGAAACCAGGCACTCTATGTCATGGCGCGTGGAATGCTGTGCGTTCTATGATCTTCCAGGGGCAAAATACCAACTTCTTGGTAGCGTTGACGTTGAACAACATCACCTGATCACACCTCTAGGGTGGTTTTTTCCCTTGTGCTCTCGGGAGAGGCTGCGATCACGCGAAAACACCGGCACTTTTGACTGAGGTTTAGTAGGTCTCTCAGAGACCTTCTTGAACTACCTCTACCAGAGATGGAGGTGCTTTTGTGATGCCGCCCTTCGCGAAAAGGTCTAGTCTGTGAATGAAACCCATGGGTTGACAACCAATGAAATGAAAGAATTCCTCTACAAACCATGCATTTCTCGCGTGATAGTTCCAATTATAGCTTTGATTTTTGCTATCATTGATAACCACCCTGCTTGTAATATGGAGGGTATCATTTCTGCCATAGCATCATTATTGGAGGATCAGGGGATTTGGGATCTCAGGGTTGATCACACCACATCTGGATATCCTCTGAAGGCAGTAAGCCAGCCAAGAAATTGACGACACGCTGCGCTCCAAAACAGCAATCGGATGGATTTTTATAGATTTGTTCAAAACTAGGAGACATGTTTGTCAGATGTTCCAACAAAGTTGACTCATTTTTTGAGTCAACTGGAGTTTTCTTATCAGAATCCAACAGTTTTGCCACTGGCAGATCATCTTCCAGTGCCATTTGCGCCAGGGATAACGACATCCCAGACATTGTGGAGCGACTTGGACCGGATCGATGTGGTTTACCCAATGCGAATCCCGATTTTTTTAGGGACTATTGCGAAAAAAAATGATTCCAGTATGGATTGTATAATTGTTAACAATGGTTGTTAGAAATCATTCCAATATTAAAAATGATGGTTTTGTTGGGGTTCAACAAGATGAGATTTGCATCGTTAGATAAAATTGCTTCACCATGGTGAGTTCAGTGTTGCCTGGGTTGATTAGCCGTATGGGATATCAGCCGCATCGATATGGCTGGTGCTACCTGATCTCCTGGTACAATATTTGGATATCCTATGTTTCAGCATGTTTCCCAGCGAAAAATACCTTAAATTTATCAAATGTTGGTGGTAAATGCATCTTTAGATAAACCTACCCTCTGGTAAACTAACATAGCTATTGAAAATGGCCATAGAAATAGTGGATTTACCCATTGAAAATGGTGATTTTCCATAGCAAACTGTTAAATTACCAGAGGGTACAAACATCATCCGATTCCAGGTCTGATTCCGATTCCTGGCAGATTCAGGTTCCTGGCAGATGAATGGGCCACAGCTCTCTTCCACGATCGCTTCATGGATTTCTGCAGGGAACTCAGGACAGGTGGAATCCAGGGTGAATTGTTGATCAGTGGATTCGCAAATTAAGATAGGCCAGTGATTGTCTATATATATATATTGTCTATATATTGTCTATATATTGTCTATATATTGTCTATTCCATTATCATTAACAACTGAATTGTCTATATATTGATTGTGGTCTAAATTAAAATAGACCCTGGTAATGGCTAGCGTTATCCAATGTTCAGTGGAAACTAAGTTTCCAAGCGCCGTTTTTTGGCAGGGTCTTGGAGGGGATGTAATGGTTATCCATAAACGAAGGAATATGTCAGATAGGGCTTCGCATCATCCTGTTGGTAAAGTTTCCATCATGTGTATGTTGTATACATCTACACAACTCTATATTATATATATATATATTATTAATTATATATATATCATATATATGATATACATATATTATGTATATATATATATATTCACAGTATGTAGAATTATTATGTGTATATACACATGTACAAACATATTCATATCAACCAACCACATTGTATCTCCAAGGCTGCAACCTTGACATGTGCTTCAGGTCATCAGATCAAGCTGGAGATGTTAGCATCCGAAGAGGTGCGCCCTACCGGTGGATATCCGCCATGGTCAAAACAATGATGTTTGGAGGATTTCGCCTAGAGAAACGATGGTGTAAACCAACAAATCTGGGGATACAATCTGATACATACATATATGCACTATATATATATATATTATTACTATCTATATATATATAGAAATTTACTCTTTATATACCGTATGATATATATATATACACTATATATATATTATATTCAACCATATGCAGATATGGCTGAATTTCCTACAAAAGGGTATTGTCATACCCCATTTTCATAGGAGTTAATATACCCATTTATTGGGGGATCCCATGCATCATGATGCGATGACGAGGGTTCGTACTTGGAGGTGCAGTTCCAGTTATAAGTGGATATATAATCATAGCTACAGGGGTTATATGCCAACTGTTGAAGGTGATCACCATGATTATACCTATTTGTAAACCTGACACCACCAAGTATAAAACTGAATTAAGGGGATATGTTCTGGAAAATCCTACACTGTAGGGAATTTAATGGGCTATTTATGAGAGATTGAGTTTGTCTTGAAACGGGGATACCTCAAATGGCGATCTTTACTGGGAACATCATGATCAGCAGCAATGACCAACCAAAACGGAGATGTGTCCAGCAAAAGATAGGGCTGAACAACACAATGGGGATCTAAAAAGCAATTGGTTTCAGTGGCCATGGTTTGTTCATCCAAACTGTTTTTCAGATGTTGCGAGTGGATGAATCTGGACTACGAACATAGCCTAACATAGTGGCAATGTTTGCCATCTCAATGGATATTTTGTTTGAAGGATTTACATCACCAGCACTTGAATTCCGCAGCGTTGTGCCACAGTTTCGCTCCCCTGAAAAAAGAGAAAGCGATGTGTTTGAAAATGTAGTAAATCATTCATTTGCCCATACGCATATTTACACATATTTAATCTCTCAAAACGGGGAAAAACATCGCTGTTTCTCCTTTCTCCTTTCGGTCAGGTGAAGGATTTGATCAACAAAGCCTTAGAAGCTGTGAACCTCAAGGAAGGCTTGTCCAGGCGCTGTGGGATGATGGATGATGGGCAGAAGTTCCACCATGGGAACGTTTCGGGAGAAGCATCAAAGTCGTGGGAGATATACTATTTATTGGAGATGTTCATTGGTAATTTATTGGGGTATTTTTTTGATATTATACAATACATTTATATATTGGGATTCATTATCATGGATATTTACTGGGATACAATTATTGGGATATTGGGATGTATTGGGATATTATATCATGAATCAGTATTTGATATCTTGGTTTGTAAATGGGAGATTTACCCCATGTCGTAGCCATGTTTACTGTAAATGGGGAAAATGATGACAAGCGAATTTTGGGCGATATCCGAACGGTGCCATCAGAATTGTTGACATCTAACAGGAAATAATAAGGCGTGGATTTGCTGATGGATTGATATTTCCTTACATGAAGCCAGCAAATGGGAGAGGAACAGAAAATTGATGTACCTCTCTGACCCATCATGTTTCAGGAACCCCCTGCTACCATTTCAATGTTTCTTGCTCCATGTGAATGTGGATTTGGGGTCCCAAACCGTGGTCGAACAACTTTAAGCGTCGATTTTTTCAGGAATAGTGCGAAGCGGCTTCTGGTTCCCTAAAATTTTTGCATCAATTCAATACAAGAGCAGGGTCCCATTTTTCCACACTGCTCGATCGGCCAATCATCGATGGCTTATCGTCCAATGGGCATGTCATCAGGTCAATTTGGAAGTGTCGCATCGAATTGCACGAAAACTCTCCAGAGTTGTTGCACCTGAATTTTGAGGTCCCGAAACAGCCAAGAAAATCTTTGGAAATTAAGATGTTTGGCCCCAAAAGATGTTAGGAGAAGTTTACACTTCCATCTTTGTTATATTACATATATATATATATCATATCATATCATCACAATTAATCAGATATATTGTGTTTGCTGTCAACCCTGGATTCATAAACCCCAAACAGCTGTTTTGAATGGTGGGGGGGTACCGGGTACCGTGGTTGATCGCTGCAGGAAGTTGCTGACCGACATCCGAAAAGATTTGCCTTCAGACAGTGTGAAACAGATTCAGGAGCCGTTCTGATGTGGAGCATCTGATGTGGGAGATGATGCATTAATTATCGAATTTTGTGTATGTATATATATATATATATGCATGTGTATGTACATATGTACATATATATGTATATGTGTATTTATATATATATATATACGCATAATCATCTCGAATGATGAGATTGATCATCATTGGTGGAGCATTGGAGCATATGTGTTTATACCCAGAAGGAAGCCATGACCTCTGTTTTGGTTGTATTTTAAGAGCCTAGATTTATGCCCGAGCAGTGAAGAGTGCCCGAAGATGGGGATACAAATCAAAAGCGCAGACATTGGAATGGGGATGTAAAATTCAATTCAATATCAATTGGTTTGTTTACATCCAATTTGGGGATACAAATCAATAGGAATTGGAATGTAAACCAATCCAACAAACGCTCGGATATTGAAAGTCAGCAAGGCCGATACAAATTTTGAGGAAAAGCAAGTCAAAAAGGAAAAGCAGGTTGTATCAACCACCAAACATGAGTCAAAAATTAGTTGGCATGAGGTATGAATCATGAATCCTCCAGTGATCAGGGGGCGGCATACATCGTGACCTAGTAGCAAACGGCTGATTTTGCCAAGAAATATCCGGATTTGTTCCGTCTTCATGCTGTACGGTTGAGGTTGCAAACGAATATGGTTATACTTTCCCATAAGTTGTCTTCAGACCGGTAGCAAAATGGGACCAAAGCCGGAAGTGGGAAGAGATGCGACACCCAACCATCCCTCCTATGGATGATGGAAATATGACATGCTTTATCTGTGATGCAACTAGCAAAATTGTGGAAGGTATTGTTCCGCATGTTGTTTTAATCTCATCTCATTAGTTGCTTCCCCGTTCCCAATATTTCCCAATCACTGCTGCGATTTCCATGTTGTTCTCGACCTCCAGGACCATTTGCTGGACTATTTGCAAGAGAATACCAATCATTTGAAGACACTTGTGCTGAAAAAATGGCAACCACCAGCCAGCTGTGATCCGACAATCCTGTGGGATAACTGGAAGTTGACGGAAGATTCTGTTCCTATTCAAACCGCATTTATTTAAGGGGTGTCTTTAAAAAAAAAGAAGGTATATAGTGGATCACGATAAATATCAAGTTAAGAGGTTCTATCTTCAACTCGGGTTGCACGACACTTTGTCTTGACCGTCGTTGATCGTGGCTGCCGGAGCCAAAAAGAACCAAATCCTGGTGCTTCCAGCTGAGCTTCCAAAAATCGGGACGTATCCTCTGGTGTTCTTTACATAGCTATGTAAAATCGCAATTTTCAAAATGAAAATACAGGTAGATCATCGAACTATCCATGGGCCATGCCTTATATAGGAAACTGTTAAATTACCAGAGGGTATCTAGTTCCTCTGCCAATCAAATCAAAAGGTTTCACGGAAATTTTGGCTGTGGAATATGGCCCTTGATGGTGTCCAATGGAAGCTCTCTTCGATCATTTTTTTTGTCTGGCGACTAGGGTTGGCCTATTTTCTGGGTGATACTCACCGGAATGGAGCTCAGATCCATGCAAGTTTGTACATCTAGTGATCTGATACCCTCAGTAGTGGAACATATGATGTTTAGATATGGCTATTGGTCAAAACCCTGGCACCTAGTGAACCCCAAAATAGCTGGTAAATGGATGTTCATCTCATTAGAATTGATAATAATAGGTTTTGACCCACCCCCATATGTTTAGTAGGTAAATCGTCTACAAACAGGCCATGTTCCATTCGAAAATGACCACTGGCAAATTGGCAAGCCCTGCCACCCTTGAGCAAAAGTGCAAGACTGGCGGAGACCATATCTCCCCGACTGTAGTTTACTCTTGTTGATTGGTGTTTTCGCAGGTCTTCTCATTTTCCCAATGGCAATTTCAAACCATGGCTTGGGGTATCATATGAACTCAAGCGGCTTGGTCTTTTGGGTTTCTTTCCCAAACGCTTTCCACCCCCTTTTGTCGACCAATTTTTCCACCCTTTCTCCGCAACCAAGGACCTACTTCCTGTCGTGGCAGTGGGTACCGGGCCTCAAAGGATTGCCCCAAGGATTTTGTTTATCTCATCTATAAAACCTCCATTTAGGCCACGGGGATGGTCTAGCTTGCCATGTTTGACGCCCCCCAGATTCAGGCAAACACCGACTTTTCAATATGGTCATCGGAAAAAAAAATCAACACATAATGGGGATGTTGGGGGATGTTTTTAATTGCTTTTGGATACCCGCAATGCCGCAAGTGGTGTCGAAGAAATGAGGTTTTTTGTTTTGTGGCACGGGTTACCATCATTGGATACTGACAGTAAAAATGGTGACCTCAGAATAGTACGAAAAAGCGATATGTCATGAGGATGCTTTAACAAAAACTTCCAGTAGTTTCACATAGCTGTATGGAAGCCATGGTTCATGAAAAATTCGAGATGTTTTAGCTATTTGGTTACATGATGGTGATGTTCCAGAGCATCAAACAACCTGCCCTTCCGGGATCTTTTTGGCGCAGCTGAACTGCACCCCCAAGGCAGGAAAACACAGGGTATCCATGTCCTGTGGGAACATCCACAGTTTTGGAGATGTTCCATAGCATTTCGTACCGCTATTCAGATGGTATTGTTGTTTTATTTGTAGGCATGAAAACACCTTTTTTATACGTAGGTTTTAATACCATCCCTATAAATTATAACCATGATCGCCAGAACACACATAAAATTCTGACACTACCTCTTTCTA